AAATTTGCAAAAGACAGCAGGCAACCTTTCAAACATGAAACAACCAATTTACCACAGAAACAAAGAAAGAAGATATGTCATACATCATGTAGTGTCAAAATTAAGGGGTTTCTGGGACCCTTCAAGTTTGCTCCAATGATATTTGAACTCAGCGACCCCTAAATTAGTAACATTAGGGTATTTATTTATGGTTATGACATGGACTCCTTGACTTTCATGCTAAATTTTAAACACGACATACAGTCGCGATCCATGTTATGATCCTTGTGAAGTGTTAAACATTTATATCCAAAATTCACTTGTCAACTTGTCTATTGAGTTACTTGTGAATTACCATGGGGTAATCAGTACTTCTTGATCACTTACCATCTGTTAACATGGTAAAGAGTTTGCTTTATGTCTATATGTGTCATTATCTGAAGCTGTGCTGTGCCAACACAACCAGAGATCAAGTGTCTTAGAGGCCTAACCTGGACAATCGAGCTACATAATCATATTGAAATCAATGCAGAAGTCACGCTGAACAGTTGTGATACCTCTCACACGATTAAACCTTGGTATTACCATGTCCTGTATGCTTCTCAAGCAAAACTATCACAACCATTTAACCTTATGTTTCCATGCAGTCATGGGATCATGTACCTGTCAGTGCTGAGTTAAAAACTGTAACTAAAGGTAATTCGAGATGGTCTGAAGACAAGGCAGTGTGTGAGGGATCCTGGAATCCTATGGGTTTCTTGCAATAATAATTGAATCCAAAAACCCTACAAATCCATCAATTCTCAACATATCTTTTAATTGGTTTACAGATTCAGCTGAGTCTAAAAACAGAAATGTGGAAAGAAATATTGGACAATATCTGAAAAGCACTATTTTTAAATGCAAACACATGTTCACCAGAAGAATTTAAACTTCAAGGCAATTGGTCAAAAGCAGAATCACAATGAACTGCCCCTGCGCATATGGCAATATATTCAGGTAAGAATGAAAACAGTCTAAAATGATCTTCTTAATGTTTTTAGGTAAGGTAAGGTCAAGCAAATGGGATAGCTCCTCTTTTCTCAAATACAGCATTCAAACATGTCATGCATGTCATTGGGAAAACAGGATTCATCTGTATATAGGTATTGTTCTGCCCAAAATCTCTACATCTTTTGTCATTGTTGGTTAGAAGAAACAATAATAGAATGAAAATACTCCCAGAAATTAATTTTGGGGACAAAAATCCATGTAACCATGGTAACCATGGTACCAATTAACAAATCAATCTGAACATCAAAAACATAATCAAAGGCCATTCTTTGTACAGTCGCATGCACACAGGTGTATTATCTCTGACCGCTGGGGTGAAGCGAACCTGGGAGTTTTCATCTGTCGTTCAGGACAACAACCAAGTCCGACATTATGAAGGTGTCAGTGTCATAGCAAGAAACAATGCACCAAATAAAAATAACAATGGCAAAATCATAAAAAATACACGGTCTTCCGTTCGACATTTTGTTGTAGCTTCAAAATAAAAGAACATATCTACGGCATTTTAGGTTGTCTCATATTCTAGAATATTGCTGATTGTTCTTTAAAATGTTCAAAAATGCTCACAAAATAGGTGAAGCTATTGAAGAACGTTCCATTCAAACTTGATTAAATCATCACATTCTCCATTGTTTTTTAATACCATTTACCTGCTCAAAGCGATTTTAAACTCAACTCACTCACTCTAATAACATTTGTCTCCAGCAATCACGCCTTCTTGAAAGTTGAAAAGTGGTTCATAATTTTATCACATGATAAAAATATATATTCAAAAGTAAGCTGTTCTGAACCATGATAGGATTGTAAAAAGTCTGCACTAACGCTACAGCTTAATGGTGCCAATCACCATGCGGTAATCACACGGCATAAGATAACGTAATTAGCAGCTGAGTAGCCTCATGCCCCGGCAATACGTTCTGTATTACATACAGTCAAACCACAGGTCACACTGCACAGATCATTGGCATGCCAAGCAGCCAAATAATTTCACGCATTTACATGCACAAGTGTTACTACAACAGATACTGATGCTAAGCATCAACTGATCAAGAATGTACCTGCTGTACATATTCATCAGACACACCCTATGGCAATTATTCTGCTTACTCATCAGATTTTGGTTGCCAAGGTAACAAGTTCATCAAATTTGTTCCACTGACAGCACCACTGGACATGCTGAAAGGTGGTGAACGGTTCGGTCCAGAAAGAATATTGCAACTTCATCATGACTGTAGTTGTATAGAAGTACATTTATATGTTTATCCCTGGAACACCAGTATATTTAAAATGACACTTTTATTACGGAATTATATTGAAATTGAATTTCATAAAAGTAATTGACACATGACATGATTAAAGACTGTCGAGATCCAAACCAGTTACATAAAAATGTGAGTGAGTTTGGTTTCACACCGCTTTTAACAGTATTCCAGTTATATCGCGGGGTGTCAGCTTAATGTGGGAGGAAAGCCCGAAGTGATGCAGGTCTTAGGCGTTTACCACTTCGGTGAAACCCATGAGCACGGGTATGGTGCTGACAAACCTAGAAACATGATCGGGGCGAACCAGGATTCGGACATAAAAATGTGAAATATTTATGTGGATGGTGTTCATTACTGTGAACATTAATAATTTTTTGGTGAAAATATTTTTATTATTGTGAACTGTTGTAACCATTTTAACATTGTGTAAAATACTTTTATCTTGTACAATGTGTACACAACATGAATAAGAAATAAAATTAATGAATTTCAACTGATTTTAAATCATGACATCATTATGATTGTTTATTATTTAAGAAACATATTCCAATGGTCACAACTGCATAAAAAGCAAACGGATAACCAAGTTAGACAATGGTCAACAGAAAAGAATTGAAGTGGCCATCCAAAACAGTGCACACACATGTCAAATGGAAAATCTGTTTTGTCAGCACACTTGTGCACATGTCACACATCAGCACAAACCACTTCATAATAAATCTGTCTTCATAAATGTCATTTCTAGAAAGCAATAACAGTCCTCATGGTAAGGGAATAGTTGGTCTGACAATCAAAACACTGCTCTATCACCTGAGTGAGCTCGTTAAGCCTGACCCAAATTAATGAACTGCTGAATTTGCTGGTTGAACGGTTGGTGGAATCAATAGCCTTATGAACCAGCCTTGCAGAGACCTAATGTTCTCATCATTAGGTATTGGTAATTTGGTAATCAACACTACCAATAGCCAGAGTGCATGCATATTGCTCACATAAATAGCACAGCATGTACCATACAGTTCAATGATCAGTACATGTATATAGATTTGTGCTCAAAAGATGTAATGACTATGCAGTAATGTTCACGCTAGCATTGAATGTGAAATTCTCAACCAAAACCTTGGTGACAGGCTTTAAATGTTAGTCTGAGGTTTAAGTTTAAATAGATAATGAAATTAATAACTGATGGTATAGTAAGACAGGCAGGTGATAGTTGTCTACAGTTCATGAACATGTATGAATACACAAGACACTGAAGAGCAAAATGAACTTCACTTGTGATTGTCAGTTGTGATGTTGTTTTTATTCTTGCATGTCTGACGTCATCTCGACTATTTTTATCTCTATAAACTTTTTGTTATCTCTTATTCATATTTCGCTCAAGTAATTTCTGTATTGTCAATGTTAATTTACATTGATTCTACTACTTCGTTTCAATACTACCAGCTATACATCACAGCAACTCTCAAGGTAACAGTAGGACTAGGACGATACACCAACTGTGATCCGATACATATTATGATACAGTGTATGATACCTTGTTGACGATCCGATACGTATGTGCTCTTATGTCAAGTATGGCGCAATGAATAAAAATATTTTTTTCACTACTAATTTTCAATACTTATTCGTGTTTGGTGTAACAGTCATAAAAACAAACCATGTAAGTTATGAATAAATATTTCTTACTTAGTGTACGATTGTGATCGATACTTCAATCAAAAAGTAATAAATCGTGATTCACTAATGCATCAGTGTATAATCCCACCACTATACATAACACTTATTAACAGTGAAATCTTAACCTGAGTGAGTGAATATGGTTTTACACCGCTTTAAGCATTATTCCAGGAATATCACGGCAGAGGACACCAGAAATGGACTGCACAAACAGTACTCATGTTGGGAATCGAACCCGGGGAAATCTTCATCTGAATCAACCAGACTTGAAATCATACAATGAATTCCAATAGACTCAATCTTCATATCTTCTCTATGTTCTCAATGCAAGTCCCAGCAGTCAACATCTGGAATAACTTGTCATTCTCTCTCTAACAAAATGATGCCGCTGAACCTGCTGAAATTTAACTGATAAAAAAAAAGAAAGATCTAAAAATGCTGAAACTGCAATGGGTCATATTAAAGAAATGAAATCATTGTGCATATCATGTAATTTTACAGTATACTATTACCTACAGTTGTACATCATCTTTGGGTGTGGCTGTAGGTAAGTGTAACAAAAATGTTACAGCTTTCATCTGTCATAGAAGTATTTGGCTAACTAGTACTTAGGATCATGTTTTGAAATACCAAGCAGGAGGTGATGTTAGTACACAATCAAGAAACAAAATATTGCAGCATACTTGGCATGGATTGTTGACATCTTTGGTTTAGTCTAAACATACAGTAATCAGTTGGTAATAGAGCTATTACAGATGTTCACTAAGATATGAGCTAATATTTTGTGGATGATGGAACTGATTGCACTTTTTTGGCTTAATCATTGTCCCATAAAGCAATACACATGAATGATTTACCTTCTGTAATTATGAAATGTATAGCTGTGGGCAAGTAGCTGCTTATTGAAAAAGGCGTAGAGTGTCAACAAACAATGCTATATATAGATAAATGAAAGTGCCTTGAAGAATCAATAAGTTGGATGACCTCGTAAGATTTAGAGTGCAAAGATGAACATCAGTTTGTATTTACCTTGACAGAAATCCTGAAAATGTTTTGCGCTTAGATTTGCCACCCTTGTCTTCAATACCACTGTCCTGTGACACATTCCGGCAGCGTTCATAGGAGTTTCTTGAATGCAAATTGACATCCATGAATCCACCATCTTCCATATCAAGAGATATACTCTTTGACTCTCCATACTCTTCCCCTAAAGAGGCTGCCGATATGGAGAAGTCAGTCCCAGTGCTTATACTGGATAAACTGGACACATCAGTGTATCCTCTCATAACTGAATCTCCACTGGATACATGAGGTAAAAGACAATCAACACTGTGTAGTGTGATCTGATCTGCTTCTCTTACTGCTAAAGAATCGGGGCCATAACTGGCACTACCGTCACTACCATCTGGAGTACCTGCCTCTTTCACATCAGATCCATTGACAGACCCTTCTCTAGATCCATTGCAAACTGAATCTTCATTTCCCACATCTGATTCCCCATCATTAAGTTGACTTTTACCAAATTTGTTACCATCAGAAGAACTCTGTCCTGCTACAAGCTGTTTTGTTGTAGGGATGTACAGCAAAGGTAAAGGCATACTTTCTAACACGCGAGAGAGTCTGTTTGTATTGCTAGTGCTCCCAACTGACACAGGTACATCTTGTGTTAACGTTATCGGAGACATTACCAGGCCAGACATTATCCCTTTGGGAACTTTCTTGTTTTGATCTTGAGAAGGAATATGACCATTTTGATCAAAGGCTGACTTTGGTTGTGCTGCAGACGTCTCTGTTGATTCCCCAGGTGTATTTGAATCGTCCACACTGTTGCCATTCAACACAGTTGAATTACTTTCTTGGCTACAATTCTGACCATCAACACTTTCACTGCACAATATGGTGTCTGAACTTGAAATTGAATGACTGGCATCACTCTCCTTATCGTAGTTGTTATGGAGCATATCTAGTGCCCCATTTTCTTTTAGATCACAATCTAATGCACTGATATCATCTGCATGTTCCTTGGTGTCACTGGCCTCCGAAAGTTCGTTTGGCATACCCTGAACTCGTGATTTCAATTTATCAACATCTTCATAAGTGTCAAATAAATTAATGGTTGTCACACTACCGTCGTTCTCCTCTCGAGTCTGCCGCATTTCTACCAAAGTCTGATCTTCACCCTCCTCACACATACCTTTTAATTTCATTCTTTCTGACACGGGGCCTGCAGGTTTACCCATTGTTGACATTCTTGGCGACTAACACTGCTCGCATACCAGTTCAACTCACTGGTCTGTAAGGGTCTAGCGGCCATTCTGGACAACACTCAGGGTTCAAACAAGCCGAGTAGACAAGTATACAATTGAGCAAGTAAACAAATACATCGTGATGCTCAATGTGATCACATAATGGTCAGGTTATCGCTGAGTTCACATGCACACAGTTACGTTTCAACTTTGCTGGCAGCCATTACGGAAAATGCTAATTAGGGGGTGGATTTTATAGCGATGAACCAAAGTTTTCAATATGATATCTAACATGATTTTACCATTAGTGTTTTTAATTTCAAATAGATACTTTTAAGTCATTGATTGAACGTCCAATGCGCTAATGACAAATTCTAACAGGACTCAAATTATAAAATTCGTGTAAAATATTATTTTTCCCATCATGCCCTGCAGAACGCGCCATTTTGGAAAAAGCGGTCGAAAAATGGAGTACCGGTTGTCTGCCTTGGTGTAAAAGATGGATTAATAAATACGTGTTCCGTTATAAGAAGATATTGGGGTATGATTAATTAAATAATGACCGTACAAGAATAAAACAACAGTTAATGAATAATGTCAATCACTTTAAAAGGTAAACAGAAGGGGCTGTTCGAAACGGAAGCTGTGGTTGAAACGATCACAGGTTTGCACAAAACCGCTGACACCAGATCATGAGAGTGAATAATACCCAGTAGGAAATATTGAACAGTGGTACTGATAGTGGATTGATCGTGTACGAATACATGTCCGAGACTAAACCGACCTTTATGGGCACAACACATGCATCTTTGCTTAGTCTGAAAAGGGGCGTTTGTTAATAGGCTATTTCTCGTCACGCAGGTGCTCATAAGATTACAAACGTACTGAAGCAGACTGATTTTCTAGGGAGACACAAGAAGCAGATATGTCATAAGTCACCACACAAAAAACCCTCCCTCCATTTCCCCAAATCCACTTGAAAACGTTGTGTTGTCAACTTTCCCAAACATGCTAGATATAAAACTGATAATTGTCAAAACCTGAAATGGCAGCACTTGTTTTCACAATACCATGATACTGTTATGTATCCAAATTTGTGATGCTTTAAAGCAGCGTTAGAAATTGGCACTAGTCCTGTAGTCCTTACCAAACTGCCCAATAGTAAAGGTATCCTAAGGACTAGTAGAAATTGGCCCATTTTAAGGGTTTTGCTATATGTTATCATTATAAGGACTAGTGGACAAAAACTGTTAGGCCCCTAGTTTCTAATCCTGTAAAGGCCCAGTATGTAGGCCCTTCTGAAGCCATGTTTGCAAATAATAGCCAGGAGTAGTGCACTTGACCAGGCACACTTTTTACAGATATCAATTAACGCAATGTAAAGAATTGAGCTCACAATGCCAGCTTGAAGCTAAGCTAGACTAATGAGTTAATCTAATTAGCCAACCTGGGACCATGGGCGCTATCACAAATAAGTTTTGCTTGTTTACCAAGTCTTCAGCACCTTATTGTTTACCTTTATGCACATGTGTAGAGGCCATTTTCTGCAAAACTTGATAAAAATTAGATGGCATTTCTTCAAATTACGTGGGATTAATTCATTAAAAGATATAGCTAACCCATACCCTACCTCACAACTAACCCTGAAGATCGTGAAGGGTGTTTGACCAGAAAGGGGTTCCTAAGCTAGAATACTGCTGAGTGGTATTAAGAAACAAACACACACCTATCATCTAATGAAGGTAGAAAGGATATCTTCCCATGCAATTCAGTATATGTTTGAAAGGAAATATCAACACATAAATGTTTTGAGATTACATCAGGGTTGCAGATCGATTCATTTTCTAGGACATTGACTGATTGTCATCCAAAATACCATGAAGAAGTTTTCCAAATTTGGTAATGATTGAGAAGAATGTTTTATCAAAGATGACAAAATCATTAAAATGTCCTATTGGCTTTGACTCTTGCAAAATCACTGATGCATGTTCATGTGTCCTAATGCAGATGCTTGCACACGCCAGAGAAGTGTGATTGTGGGTGAATGATTTATGTTTCTTGCTTTTTTGGCGCCGTACCCGTGCACGACGGTTTCACCAAAGTGGTAAACGTCCGAGACCTGCATCACTTCGGTCTTTCCTCCCACATTAAACTGAAACGCCATGATATGACTGGAATACATTTCAAAGTGGCAAAACCAATTCACTCACTTATGTAGATGACAATTTTCTTCAGAATTGAAATCAAGCTGTCAATAACTTTTGGTAGTAAAATACTTGTCAGCCCTTTTCTCTTCTGCATTAATTCTTTAATGTACTACTGTTTCAGAATACATGAGCACAATATGAGTGCCTGTTTCCAGAAGCATGTTGGTAAACAAGGCAAAAGGAAGAAAGCCGAGGACTCGGACTCTGATGTAGCAGCTCCTACAGCGTCCACACATACAGATGAGGTGACTCATTCACTCCAGTCAATATGCAAAGGATATACTCTTTGATTACTCATTTTCATTTTGGATTAATCATTATCATGTTAACTAATCACTTTTAACCAGTCTGTGCCAAAAGCCTTTGAGCCTTCCGTGTATTTTGGAATTATTTTCAGTAGATTATAGTCCTAGCGTATGGACTAGAATAAGCTGATCTTTCAAGACAAGTGGCTAAAGTTGCAGACTGGTAAACCATCTTAACACTAGTGACTGTGTTATAGTGGATAGAGGATCTACCCAAAGACCAGAAGGTCAGTGCTTTGATCCCTTGCCATGTTCAACCAACAGACTCTAAAAGATGGTACTTCTTGTTACCCTGCCAGCTGCTCAGCATTAAGGGGCTAAAGCAAGGACTGGTTGGCTCGGAGTCAGTATACTGTGTCTGAGTGCAGTATCCAATTTAAAACTGCTGATATGGGATCTCAGTGGGCTAGCACTATAAAACTGCAGGAACAATACAAGTAACCACGCACGTGCAATTATGCATGTTACTATAAAAGTGGAATAATCTGAACTCAACTTTAAACCCCATTTGAACTCACATAGACACTAGAGATTCTATGTCCCCATTAGAATATATCCCTGGCACTCTATTGCTTGTGGGCAGTGGCGTAGCCTCGTGGGTAATCGATATGAAGGCATGCTATGTTGTTCGTCATGCTGAAGTCACACTATGTCAATCATTCATTTATTTATTTATACGAAAGTCATACTGCTGTGGAGTTAAAACTGCAGCTAGCTTCTTGAATCACTGATGGTGATGTAGACATGGAATTTATGTATAACATTTTATATTGTATGAGAGGGTCTATATTTCCAGTGGGAATAAAAATTATCGTACCACACCAACTGCATTATTTTCTTCATTAGGCGATGCATCTGATTCATTTACCATGTTTACTCACTCATAATCTAAAACAAAATAAAACAAAAGTAAGTTCTTTGCATCTAGTAATACTGGACTTTTGAATGTTACTGGTTCATCATGCTGAAGGCCCTGGTTCGATCATCTCCCTGAGGCAAGAGAGTTAACTGACTTTAAAAGTCCAGTTTCCACCCTTGCCGAACTAGGCTGGAATTCCTGGGCTTGATCGTAGCGCAACCAGTGGCTATTACGAGTTATGTCCCTTCTAAGCCTCTCATATTGACCAGTCACATTCCACCCCTTGTATCATTTGCATTTGCTTCAAACAAAATGGCGGTGCCCAGTCAAGACGATCTGATCGATAATCAAGTCCCATATTGTGATAAAACGGAACTCGCATCGTGAAGTGCATCAAATCACGTGAGCACCGTGATTAAAAACATGAAAAGATTTGGAAAATATCTGTTGACGAGTTGGCAGTGAAATGCTTTGCAAATCCTGCAATCGACCGAAATCTGCACGGCAGTTTACGAACTGGATTTTGATTTCATTGAGCGATTTTGATTGGACTATGCAGAGACTCGTCCAGCCAAAATTTAACTCCCTAATACCAGCCTAGTTTGGCAAGGGTTGAAATTGGACTTTTAAAGTCAGTTAACTCTCGTGCCTCGGGAAGATGTGGTTCCATTCCCCACATGAGTACAATGTGTGAAGCCAATTTCATTTGACATCATACCCCAATGATGTGGGACATTGCTTATACTCTCTAACTTTAGGCCACACTTTCTTAATTTTATGTTTCACAGAATTTCAGCTTTTCCACGCAGGGTCGGTCAAAATAAAACTAAAACTAAATAGCTATGTCAATCATTTATTTATTTGTTTGTTTGTTTGTTTGTTTGTTTGAAAGTCATTCTGCCATGGAGTCATACAGCTGGCTTCTTTAATCACTGATAGTGATGCTGACATGGAATTGATATGTAACAGTTTATATTGTTTTAGAGGGTCTATATTACTAGTGGGAGACATAATAAGAATAAATATTTTATGTTTAATTCATTTCTTTTCCCCCTGCATTTAAGTAGGGGCGGCAGGCCCATGAAATGAAAAATAAAAAATGTGTGGCCTTGAAGGGTGGTGAGATTTTGCTGAAATATTGCTGACACCGGCATAAAACAACAAACGAGACATTCTAGTTACTAGCACACTTTATTTCAGGTGGTCATATCTGATGACTCAAATGGACATGGCAGGACAGACAGGTTAAAGAAACGAAGAAAACGCATCGAACATGAAGTTAAAGATGAGGAACTGGAAAAAGCCGAACATTTGATTCAAAATGGTAAGATAATATACTGATGAAGTATTTTGATTTCAAGGAATAATAAAACAAAACAAAAGTTGTTTTGTTGTGTCTAGTGATACTGGACGTTTGAATGTTACTGGTTCCATCATAAGCCCACACATTGGTTAATTTCAATATCGTTTCATAAATGCTACACAAACTGCCGCACATGAAAAGTGTTTCATCCTTATTTTCAAAAATAAGCCATGAAAACTTCATTTTCTATCCTGTGATTGTTTGTTTACTAACTCTGGTGTGTCATTTTTGTTTTTTTCCTTGTATGTTGTCAATAATTTCTGTCCAAATAGCTTTTACCAACCAGTCCGAGATCGGGCACATGGAAATAACTCAATGTCTGCGTGAATGAAATACACCACTGTCTACACAGCTGTATTTTCTGTAAAAAAAATGTGAAGAAAATACGTTCTGGCTTAGCACTAGTTACTAAGATTACTTGCAACTTTGTCTAACAGCTGTTCAATAGATGCTTATTGGAGCAGGGCTCTTAATAAAGGGAAATCAGTATGTCTTTGCCTGCTCTTAATTCAGAAGCAGCTCTAAAAGTAGTGACCCTGTTGGTCGCAAATGCGACTTAAATCTATGATTGGCACACAATAAGTTTTCACAAACCATGAATTAGATGGAATGGAGTATGAGTTTAGTTAAAGCTTTGTAATACTTATTAAAATTAAAAATTAAGTATGTATGGCAACTGACTTTGAGATTTCTGTCAGTCACTCTGCCAGGAACTTTTGCACCTACTTGCTCGATTTTTTCCCTTTTGTATCATTTCTGCAGATAGTTAATGTGTAGACAATGACTAGCTGTTCCTGCTCAGCAGGAAGAAATGTTACTTGTCTCAGTCTTCTGACTAGTGGCTAAAGTTGTTGATTGTAGGCAAGTGTTACCACAAAATATTGTAAACTATGGTTATAAGAACTCAAAGGGACCACCACTTTTAGTTTGTTATAACCGTAGTTCATTATAAGCATATACACAGCATATATACACAGCAAAAAAACAAACAGTTTGTTATATCCGCCAGTTCATTTTAAGCGATCTGTAGTAGAAAAGGTCTTCAGCAACCCATGCTTGTCGTTAAAGTCAAATATGCTTGTCGTAAGAGACCTCAAACAGGATCGGGTGGTCAGGCTCGCTGACTTGTTGATGCATGGCATCGTATCCCAATTGTGTGAATTGATGCTCATGACATCAATCACTGGATTGTCTGGTCCAGACTCGATTATTTACAGACCGCCGTCATATAGCTGGAATATTGCTGAGTGTGGCGTAAAACTACAAACAAGCCAAATCATTTTAAGCGTGTTCGTTATAAACATAGTTTACTGTAGCTTGAAGAACGTAGGCTTGGGATATTTCCCCACCCTCTTTTCTACCCTCTTGGATTTTAGTATTTCACCCATGACATATAGTTGTTGTTTCATAAGTCACTGGACCATGGTACAGTGTCATTGAAGAGATAGCTTGCCGAATACATAAAGTGAATCGACAAAGGCGTTGGGCCCTGGATCTACTCACTCACTCACTCACTCACTCACTCACTCACTCACTCACTCACTCACTCACCTTATCTGTCTAACAGTCATCACAATTATTTTTGTGCAGAAAACAAAGAAAGTTCATGGGGTAGTAAGTAGCAGATCTTTTGCTTATATGTAACATTACTTGATGAAGCTATTGTGTAAGGTATATCATGGTATTTATGTTTTGACTTGATCATTTCTCTTCTAGATTTCGGCATTCCAGTGGATGCAGGAATGTCCCGACAGGAAGTTATTGAACTGGCTGTAAGTACCAACCCCACATCTTTGTAATTGATGTTCCATTAAAGAAGTCATTTTCCAAAGCTTGACTTGCACTGGATTTCTGCTCTATTCAGTTATCATGTGACAATGTAGAGTACTGTTTTACTGTACGTGTTTTGCTACACCATTGAATGTACTCAACCAGGGATGAAAGTCTTGCAAATGTTTTGATAAGGTGAGCAGTTAATATGACTGTGAACTATAGCAATTTCAGGGATGAAATTAGCAATAGCTCGCAAGCCCGGAACAGTCTTGTAATGCTAAAGCTATCCTAAGGGCAAGAAGAATTTCAAACATTTTTGGGTGGTATTGCTGTTATGACTATTCAGGCTAGAAGACATTCTTGGTTAATTTCCATCCCTGCAATGTGCTTTCTAGGTGAAGAAATGATTTGCCTCTATGAAATGAGACAGTGGACCAAGCAAATGTTCTAGTTATGAGTTTCTTTTTCTTTTTAAATGATTCTATTTGTCTGGTTTCAATTGTAGCAGATTTAAGAGGGAGGCCGTAGGAGGGCCGTAAGAAAAGTATCTGTCAAGGCTAATTTATTCATATGACCATCCCCATAAACAACTGCTAAAAATGTTTCATCGATAGTGGCTGTCAAAATGGAGTTTCTTGTTTCAAATTCCCAACATCTGACTCTCATCTGATTGTGCAATGCACCCGCCACCACTTTTAGTGAAATAGTTACAGTTTAGGTGAAACACAACTGTCTCACAGATGCTATTGTTCAAAGTCCTTTATGAATGATTTTATGTAATGTGTTTTTTCAAAGATAGTAAATCTGTGTATTCATTTAATATGTTACTAATATTGAACACAGACCCTGCACGTTATGTTTTCAAAATGAGTGCAACTTGCATCATGCTCTTGACATGCTCGACTCATCTGTGATATCATATAATGTTCGCACACAATGGGTCGATGTGTGTCTCTCGTGCACATGTTCCACCTTTTTTTTGCTGTTTAATTAAGAACATTGAAGTGCTTAACACTGACCACGAGTAAAGATGGTTATGCACCTGTCACACCTGCCAATAAACAACATGACTGATCATAGGGACTAGGGAGTCCTTAGGGAGACAGAAGTTTGTCCTCAATATTTCAATATTTTGCAGAAATACTGTTGACTACATGTAATGCTTGTCGTAATAGGCAACCAAAGGGATCGGGTGGTCAGACTCGCTGACTTATTTAATGCATGTCATTGTATACCATTTGTGTAGATCCATGCTCATGATGTCAGTCACTGGATTGTCTGGTCCATACTTGATTATTTACAGACCACAGTTATTGGAATATTGCTGAGTGCGGCGTTAAGTAACAAACAAACGTAAAGGAAAGCAACAGTGCCGTATTGTATTTGCTTCCATTCATGGTCGGGTGCATAAGCTCACAACAGCGATGCATGTCCAAGTTACAAAAAGCGAAACTGCACTTTTGTGTATGATTCACTGCAGTAGAGTATGATATGTATGATATTGATTGTATAAGATCTGTAAAGACTCCTAAAGACGTACAGATATAAGGGAATAGGTTACATTGGTTAATCTGGCACAGTGTTGCTATACATTTTTTTAAAAAGAAGTTCATGTATGTAATTTTTAAGCTTGTCCTATCTCACAATATGCATTTCTTCCTTTTTCTTTTGGTCCTTATGTGGAAACTTGCTTGAACAATGTTTCCAGTTTCTAAAAACAAATCACCGGAACACATCCCAGCATCACTTTGGTCCCCACCCACACAAATTGGTCTCGCAGTGTAATCCCATGGGTTGTGCCATGCTTGCCGTAAAAGGTGACTATGCTTGTCGTAAAAGGCGACTAACGGGATCGGGTGGTCAGGCTCGCTGACTTGGTTGATGCATGTCATCGATTCCAATTGCGTGGATCGATGTTCATGATATCAATCACTGGATTGTCTGGTCCAGACTCGATTATTTACAGACAGCCGTCATATAGCTGGAATATTGCTGAGTGCGGCGTTAAACAACAAACCAACCAACCAACCATGGGTGGTGATTTTGCATGATCGTCTGCATTGCCACTGAACTAAATGATTATGCGCAAGCCTTTACGTTGTGCCTACACAATTGCCACAAGCGGGAGGTTGACAGCGGGACACGGAGCATGAGCCTTCCTCTACTAAGAAGTCAAAACAGGACACCAAGCTCCAGCCAGTTCCGTCGTGAAGCCTCCTACAGCATCTTACCATCCCTGCCTTGTCAGTTGAAGATGACGGTGTCTCGGACAGTTTCCTTACCGATGATGTTCCTGCTAGATCGGACCACCGGTTGTCACCAGCGTGCCCGTGTCAGAGCCTACATCGGACATGGTTCTCTCTAAAGACAGCATGTCCCACATAGCTTTGAAGACTCGACCATCGTCCTTCCTAGTGCTCCCTGACCGTCATCTGCCAGTCACCTATCGTCCTCCGCTATTTCATGCAATGTTCCAGCTTTCACAATGCTGAACGATTAGTTGCAGGACAAAGTCTCTTCCACATCACCAGCGCAGGTTTTTGATGTCGCCCTGGAACAATCCATGCCAGTTCATCCTCTACTTCTAAGAATTGACAAAGCGAAGATCAATCTCATGCTTCAGAAAAGGATCGCTGTGCTTTAATGCAGAATCGCACTTCCCGGAATCAACATTCAGGAAATCACTCATCAAAGGATTGACATTCCTGATCTGAGGATTGCCACTCTCCTGGGGTTCAACACTTTTGTGATCAACATTCTTGGGATTGATGCTCTACGGATCTAGATTGCAGTGGAGTTACAGATTTGTCACGGATCTCTCCTGATTGCCATGACGATGACCGTCTTTCGGAGGATGACTCCTATACTGATTTGGCTAATCGATAGCCGACTTGGTATAGCTTCCCTACTGCGAGTTACCTGGATCGTTGGGATTGTTCCTACTCCTACGACTCAAACCCTCTGCAACTGGACTTCCAGCTTTTTCCAGGGATCACCTTCACCACAGGGAATAGTCCTTGACCCTCTAATTCACATCAAAGGACTACAGTGTTAGTGCTACTGATATGCACCTCCAAGATCGGTCCGTTTATGGTCTTTGACCCTCTTCTTTTCATCAAAGGACTTCAGCGCTAGTGCTACTGATATGTGCCTCCCAGATTGGTCCATTTATAGTCCTTGACCCTCTTCTTCACATCAAAGGACTACAGCACTAGTGCTACTGACATGCGCCTCCCAGATTGGTCCATTTATAGTCCTTGACCCTCTTCTTCACATCAAGACTCATCACCGATGGACGCTCGAGCAGATTGCTGTTCTCCTTGTAGATCTACGTCACTGTCTCATCTTCAGTTCCTAAATTGCCTGTTTCGGCAACTACTACAGAAGTCCCTCTGTCTACCCTGCCCCTGACTACCTTCTGAGACCATCGTGACCAGACTAGTACTTCGTCTCCAGAAACTCCTGCAGGCTGTGACAACTGCCCTCCCGCACCGTTCAGGTCAGCCAGTAGTGATTGTGTAGTTCCGGACCCAGGTTCTCTGGGAATCTACATGCCAATCTTCCTGATCCCCGAAGAAATGGATGATCTTCAACATGAAGACATTCAATGCCGAGAAGGTCCACTGCATTTTCACATGATATCGTACACTGCATTTTCACATGATGTCCATTGTGCTTCTTCAAACAATCATCTGGTCAGGCGACCACATGGTCAGTCGAGACCTTAAGACACATACCCATCCATCAGGGTATGGAATCTGGAATGTGTTTGGATGATTTGTTGTTGGAAGCTGGTAACGTTGTTCAAACATGTTTCCACATTAGGATTGAAAGAAAAAGGAAGAAATGCATAGTGTGAGATAGGATAAGTATATATAAATATACAATTAAGTGTAAAATTTTCAATTTACTTGTTTGCTTAATACTTTATAAACAACATTCAAGTGTATTGCCAAGAGCTTCAAGATGCTTGTATCTCCCGTAATTCAAGACCTGCTCTAAAGGTTGATATTTGACCTAAAATGTTGGGAGCAAATGTCAGTAAAAAGTCCAAAATTTGAATAATTTTCCCATTCATGTTTTCATTGTTATACATTTGGTAGTTATACATATGGTAGTTATACATATGGTAGTTATACATATGGTAGTTATACATGTGGTAGTTATCCATGTGGTAGTTATACATATAGTAGTTATACATATAGTAGTTATACATATGGTAGTTATCCATGTGGTAGTAATACATGTGGTAGTTATCCATGTGGTAGTAATACATGTGGTAGTTATACATATGGTAGTTATCCATGTGGTAGTTATACATATAGTAGTTATACATATAGTAGTTATACATGTGGTAGTAATACATATGGTAGTTATACATATAGTAGTTATACATGTGATAGTTATCCATGTGGTAGTTATACATATAGTAGTTATACATATGGTAGTTATCCATGTGGTAGTAATACATATGGTAGTTATACATATAGTAGTTATACATGTGGTAGTTATACATATAGTAGTTATACATATGGTAGTTATCCATGTGGTAGTAATACATGTGGTAGTTATACATATGGTAGTTATAATTAAGGACTTTGCATGGTTGATTTGTGTTTGATTTATTTCCCAACAGATGGTTCTCCTTCAATCCAGGGAAGATCGAGCCCAGTCACCTGATGCTGTCAAAGCAAGGTCTCCTAAACAATATTCAACATCTCAAACTAGAAGAAGCACGTCAGATGAAGATTCATTAGATTTGGACATCCCAAGCTCATCAAGAGGAGAAGGAAAGAAGTCTCCCATTCTTAACAAGGTCCAATTTTCCAAAGTAGATACTAACAACAAGAAGAGCAGCAAGTCTCCTGAACCAAGTACATCCTTTGCAGACGAGGATGGTATAGGTCTATCTGTGAAGAGGACTTCCAGAAGGAAAGCCTCTGCAGAAGTAGAGGCGGAAGCATACAAAGATGATCCTGGAGACAGCTCGCCTGATGAGGTGATGTTCAGGGGAGGAAGCAGAGATGCTGGGGATGATGATGAGAGGGAACCACCTAGCACTAGGGTGAGTAGAATTACGTGGATTGTAATCATAGGACAAATCCAAGCCAGTAGATTCCAGCTGTTCAAAACTTCAACCAGAATGTTATCCTCATAGACAATGTTTCTGTTGACAGTCAGTACGGATATATGTCGCCATCTTCATCTCTCTTATCTCTAACCTAGCCTAGAATATCTCTCTCATGAGAGTAATTTCATGATTCGTAGGGTCATTGACTCATGCTATTCAAAATAATGCTATTGCAATGAATGGATCCAGGGTATTTATTCATAAAATGGAGATATTGTACCCTGGGTAACTGAGGATGAGCCTTTATCATGTGCATGACTATGAGTTCCCAATTATTTGTAATCAATGTCCCCCGCAGTTATATTGCTTGAATTTTTGAATGGAGAAAACCATTACTCGCTCACTTTTATCTATGTATTTTAGTTATGTGAGCTCAGGTGGTAATAAGCCAGATTCTGAGTGAGTGGCTGCCTCTGTGGTCTAGTGGTAGAGCGTCTGCCCAGAGAGCTGAAGGTCGGGAGTTCGATCCGCGGCTGCCACTTACCAAAGTTGTGAAAGGACGTTAAAAGATTGTACTTGTCGTTACCCTGTATTGCGCTCGGCATTAAGGGACTAAAACAAGGACTAATCGGCTCGGAGTCAGTGTACTGTGTCTGAGTTGGATATTCATGTTAAACTGTGGCATGGATTCTCAGTAGGCAAGCACTATAAAATCGTCATTAGTCCAGACGAGTTCAAGCGCACACATGCACACGCACGCACGCACCCACATTGCTAAGTAAGTGCAATAATCTTTAACACGACATTACACCCCAATTTCATCGAGCCTCACCTTCTGAGTGAGTAAGGAGTATCACTTTGTAAGATTTTTGTCTGTTGTCTCAGAATCAAAGGAAGATTGCTTCAGAGAAGCGACAGAGAAAGCGAAGACTTACTGATGAGGCTGCTGGTGATGAGAGTCCCAGCTCCCAGGAGGCAGACAGCGCTAACACCAGGCTGAAGAAGTCCCGCAATCTGCAACTGAACAAGCAGCAGCTGGAGACGATGCAGGCAAAGACGTCCACGCTACTGAAGAAGTCAGCAGCCAAGGTCAAGTTCTCTCAGGTATTACAGAACTTTTCATGTCCAAATCAGGGTTGGAGCGAGAACTTTTGGATTAAGAACAAACACTGAGACATCAGATTTTTGTTTCAGTGAGCCCATCCATAATTTTTATAAGTCATATGTTGGAGGGAAAATGGTCATTTTTTCAACTATTTGGATAAAAATGAAAATGGGAAACGATCTATTCCAATTTGTTATTTTAGCAGTAGTAATAGTATCTTTTGTGCAACACCCTCCTTTGGGTGGCGTACTGACATACTTTTTTAATTTTTTGTTTCATGCATTTTGTCCAGTTTTTCCACACATGGTCGGTCGAAATACAAATAAAAATATATGTTATTTATTAAGTTAGATAGTTAGTTATTTAGTTATTTGAAAGTCATTCTACCATGGATTTAAAACTGCAGGTGGGTTCTTGAAACACTGATAATGACTAAGACACAGTATTTATATATAACAATTTGTATTATATTAGAGGGTCTACATTACTACCGGGACACATAATTTAAAACAATATTTTTATGTTTAATTTATTTCTGAGACCGGATGTATTTCATGAAGGTGCGGTGGGCCTGTGAAACAAAAATTATGAAATGTGTGACCTTAGGTTACTATGCAAACTTAATGGGTAATCAGCATTAGAAATTGGCACTAGTTCTGTTGTCCTTGCCAAACTGCCCAATACGTAAGGCATCATAAGGACTATAAGAAACTTGCCATTTTTAAGGGTCTTGCTACATGTTATCAAATTATAAGGACTTGTGGATTAAAAATGTTAGTGTGCACAAAATGATAATCCTGGGTGAAAATGATGACCCGCATTTCGTGTTCATGAAGAAAGCTCATTAAAATAGTCTTATTCCACCTGTGAAAATCCAGGTTAGAATTGGTCTAAGAGCCGACTAATGCAATAGGGAGACTTGGTTGATGCATGTCATCATATCCTAATTGTGTAGATCGATGCTCATGACGTCAATGACTGGATTGTCTGACTCGATTATTTACAGACCGCCATCATATAGCTGGAAGATTAAACAGCAAACGAATAAACAGTCTTATACATTAGAGGGCTAGTGTATTGCAGTTTCAGAAAACAATATTTGAAACAATACATAGTGTTATACTTTTGTGGTATACTGATAAAACAGAAACTTGGAATTATTTTGTTTCTTGAAAAGTTCTCATTAGTCATTGAAAACAGATCAGAATTTTTTTTTGCAGTGATATATAATGATAATATATAGAAAAACCCTTAAAAATGGCAAATTTCTACTTGTCCCTATCATACCATAACTATTGGGCAGTTAGGCAAGGACTGTAGGACTAGTGCTAATTTCCATCACTGCAATTGGTTCCATGAAATGTTGCTGGAGGTATATGACACCATGTGACTTGTACAGTGTAGTGTTCATTGGTTCTTCAGCGATTTACCTGGGTTACTTGTATTAAGGGGTTCAGAGGACTCCAGGCCTTTAATTGTAGCGGTTACAGATATACGTTATCTTGATAAAATACTTTATCATACCTCCATGTCAGTATGATGAGATCTTATTAGTCCACATGATATTGATAAAATACACTGTATCCCGATTTGGATGGAAGCAAATTTCTCAGCGGAAGAATAAATGCCTTGTACCCAGCAACGAACAAGACAGGCTGGACATGGATTCTGACAGGGAGAATTAATCCCTTATTCACCACATCAAAGCAAAAAGCTGCAGGCCTTTCTTTGTGAGTCAATGAAAGTCACATTACATAGCACAAGTTAACCTCAGCACAATCAAACAGCAGTTTTCTATCAATTATCAATTTGTTTTTATTTCTTTTACAATGTCATATTAAAACATGTGACGATGATGTCGGTAAGATGAATTCATTGTAGCAGCATTCCTTGGGGTACATGTGGTTTTATGCATCCCTCGTTAGGTTTTGTACCATGGGCCGGATGCATCAAACCATATATACCCCTCGTGATACTGCTACAACTTACAATCACTCATTCACTTTGTTATTTGACTGATTTTGTGTCATCCTCACCAAAAAGCATGGAACATTGCTCAAATGTTTATTGTATATCTATCACTGATTTGTGTGGCTTCGATTGAAACTTTACAGACTGCTGTTATCGTGAATATTGCTCAATCTGGTATAAACCAACAAGCAAAACAAACTGCTAATATTGTTAGTTACCTATTTGTTCTAGTGTGGGTATAGAAACAAATTGACACTAGTTTTTATCCCCTTACCGTATAATGCGGTGGGATATAGTCACAATCTAGTCTGTCCTTCCTTATTTCGTGTCCGGAGCATAACAAGATGGTTCATCCAAACATGGTTCATGTAACCAGGGGCTGAAGTGGTGCCTTATTCTGTTATGGGGGCTGCAGGGATTTATCATTTTCTGATGGCTCTTGTTCTAAAATGTTTTTATCATGAGGCCAAGGGGTTAAGAAGATAATTTCTGTGTTATATACCGTATTCGACGTAATAAGCGCCCACGGCGATATTTGCTAATATATTGGCCAGTGAACAATCATAATTAGCACCCCTTCCGATTGATCAATGTACACAACACTTAATTATGGGCAATTAAATTCTGGAAAAATATATCTGTCGTACATAAACATTTCAGGCTGTCAGCATAAACCACAAAATTTATCTTTTAACTCTGTTTTTTTTTTCACTAAAATAGTATTCTAATAAGAGCCCCCTATTTCTAATTTTGAGAGCGCCCTGGGCGCTTTTTACGTCGTATACGGTAGCACCAGGTTACTATCATTGGGATTTTATGACATCTTCACAACAGTCTGTTTGTTATACATTTATAGTCCATTTGGAGTTGTCTCCCTTCAAACACTGACCATAATGTCAGATGTGTTTGGGACATGATACGTCTTCTAAAGTAAACATTACCAGCATATCTGTTATCTCAAAGAAGGAGGAGGTGTATTCTAGGGAGCAGGAGACGTGAAAAAGCAAGTGTAGTAGTTACAGTCTGTACATCCAAAACTTCAGTCTACGAGCCTGAACTTGTATTTTGGCATTATTTTTATAATATTTTGTTCTCAGTATCTGGACTATAAACTGATCTCATTAAACAAGTAGAATCTAAACTAGATTCTTGTTTCTGACTTGTGGCTACAATTGCAGTATTTGTGACATTTCACAAAATTTCACAAATCTGCTCAGGTAGCCAAGTGGTGGTAGCATTTGCTCGTAATGTGGATTGCCTGGGTTTAATTCCCCACTTTGATACAAAGTGGGAAGCCCATTTCTGGTGTCCCTCACTGATATAGCTGGGAAATTGCTAAAAGCAGTGTTAAACCAAATTCACTCATTCACTCAGAGGGGTGGTGGGGAAGCCTAGTGGTTAATGCGTTCAGTAGTCACATCTAGGGTCAGGGTTCGATTCCCCACATGGGTACAATGTGTGAAGCTCATTTCTGGTGCCCCTGCTGTGATATAGCTGGAATATAGCTAAAAGAGGCATAAACCATACTCACTCATTCTCACTCACTCACTCACTCACTCACTCACTCACTCACTCACTCACTCACTCACTCACTCACTCACTCACTCACTAGAGGGTTACAAGATACTTATGGAGCAAACACTAAGGAACCTTGGAATTCACCTCCCCTAAATTTGGAACACTAATAGTTGTATGCATGTCAACAAATTTATTCAAAATTGCTAGAATATGCATCATTTTACATGACCCACTCAGATCAATAAATTATGAATTAGATACAAATTCCATTCCATTTCATTATAATGCCAGCTGTTGTTTGCGGCTTGTGATTTGCATGTCAGTCAACATTAACTATAGTGAATAGGGCACAAGCTGGAACACAGCAACTACTGAAAGTGGCCAGACAGGTTAGAATTTTGTTCATAGAATCTTGACTTTGTTGTACTGACATTGCTTTTGTAATCAGGACTCAAATTTCTTTATCTACATTAAAATGAGTTACAAATAACTAGATGTGTATCAATTGAATTGAATCATCCATGCATTGTCATGATTATAACTGATGTTGGTAATACATTGCCGACAAGTTAAGCCTATGAGGTCAATACTTACTCAAGTTAGAATATTGAGGGTTTCGAAAGATGGATAAATGAAATAGTGATAGAAAACCTTCTGAACTATTTGTTTTAATTAAAAGTCAACCTAATTTGAGGCATATACAATAATCAGATCTACGTCCGTTGATGCTGCAACTTGCCTGCAATCTGCTGCTCAAGGGCATGGCAGACATGATAGGACATTCCGTCATGGGGAATAATTCCTGGAAATGCAAAACTAATGTTTTTAGCCCTAATCATGATAACATATAGCAAAACCCTTATTTGCAGCAAATTTCCACTTATGATACTTATACTATTGGGCAGTTTGGCAAGGACTATGGGACTAGTGATTATTTCTGGTGCTGAAATATGCATTGTGGGAAGGAAAGAGCACAGTCGCAACGCTTGCCAAAGTTGAAATGTTCCTAATTGCTTTCTTATTATGTCTGTAGTGATACATGCTGTTGCGATGCGATACTCAGTGGTTTACCTTGACTTCCAGACACCCCCCAATTACTAATGTCAAGGTTACAAATATGATGGTCCTCCGCAGTAATAACATGATGTACTGTACTGTACTGTACTGTAAGATTTTATGATTACTTTAATTACAGGAACTTAATATTTCTTGTCAAGAAGTTGGCACAATGAATGTTATTGTGCAACCCTCGGGATGCAAGATATATCTTTTCTGCGTCTATTCTATACATTTGTGCGTATTGGACAGACATTTCTGCGTCGCATAAAACCGTGGATATATATCTAGGAGTAAAGTCAAAACAATATATATGACACCTGGACACTTGATATGCTTAAAATTAGATATTTAGAGTAGTATGGTATTTGTTAAGTTTCCCAATTTTTTTGCAGTTCTGTATATATAGGCCTTTTGGGCCCTGAGGTTTAAATTAGGACACGTCCTTGGATCCTTGTAGTTGCCTGCTATGTCTGACCCTACATCAACCCTTTTGGGGCTGTAGTCATACACCTTGTTGTGATATGACATGACAGGGAAGCATTTCCATCATCAAAGGAAATGAATATTAGCCCAGCTGAAAACACATTCAGTAGATTGAGTCATTTAATACAACAGCGAGTTTGATGCGTTATTGTATATATGTTTTGTATCAATACATGATCTGTTGATATGATGTGCAGTGTCACATCTTCACAAACCTAACAGTGGCACAGGTGGCCCAGTCGTCTAAGGCACCGCAATTCACTGTGCAGAATTTGTCCCTTGGGCATGCCAGAGACCTGTGATTGTAGGTTTGAATCCCGGTTCCCCCCGATTATGTTTCTAGGTTTGTCAGCACCATACCTGTGCTCGTGGGTTTCACCGAAGTGGTAAACTTCTAAGACCTGCATCACTTCGGGCTTTCCTCCCACATTAAGCTGACATGCCGTGATATAACTGGAATACTGTTAAAAGCGGAGTTAAACCCAACTCACTCACTCACTCACTCACTCACTCACTCACTCACTCACTCACTCACTCACTCACTTTGTTTGCATGTTGACGAGGAGTGTGTCCGTGTGCAGATTAGAAATGACCCAGTAGTGTAGCCAGATCAGTGTTTTATCTCACTCAACTCACTCACTCACTACAAACCTAACCCCTACATATGCCCATCATATTGCCTTTTATAACCATCAAATTTTAATGTCATACACTTTATGTGCATAAATGGTCAGACACCACCATAACCATACTAGTGCTTGTGCTTTTCACAAAAATGGTACACATGCATAAATAAATCTTCAACACAGTGTAAACCTAATTTCGCGAAAATGATGTTCTCAATCACTGTCTCAATGTATTATTGATCATCAACATGACGCAAGTGACCAGTAATTGACTAATGATTAAACGTAGCCTTTATTACGAAGAATGATATCTTATATTGTCCCATTCATCACTGTCAAAGAGGAACTACACTCAATGTAATTGTCAGTTCAAGCAAATTTGATTCAAATCGTTTAACCAACTTTCTTGGTATTTGGACTCAAATTTTTATGGCCAATATTAGACAGAAGCAATGTCTCACGTGGCACCATGGACAATGTCTTGACCTCTGGACAGAGACACCAGACCGTGAAGCATTGGCTTCCATTAAGGGGATCATTGTGCAAACCCACTCATGCATACATTATTATTCTTGGTTTGTCAGCCAGCCCTGTGCTTGGGGTTTCACCAGCAACGCCCTTTCCTTATGTTTTTATACCACACTTCAATGTGTTAGTTTTAGAAATAGTAGGATGCCAAAGGCATCTTTCAGCTGTGCCTAGATAAACTTGATGACATTGTCACAGCAAGTCAGAAAAAAATAACTTCAAGCCAATGGTGAGAACCATGTTTGGATGTAAGATCATAACTTTCTAGCAACATTTTACCAAGTAATGAATTAAAGATTTTAGCATTTTGAGCAAGTTGGTGGCTCTATTCAATCAAATTACCATTGGCGCTCCAGCCCTCTGACTGTTGTAACAATAACAGGACCAAGCTCAGTCACTGACCCAACACTGTGCAGAATATATCTGTTTCATAGAACTGTTAATATTGCTAGAACAAGGTCAGTGTTGAGAAATCCAGACTGATGAATTGATCTTGATGGTCAACTGACTTTAATTTGAATAAAGTACATCTTTGTCTTATTGATGATGCTTAGTCTGTCTGCATGCTTGATGTTTGTGTTAATGACCAACAGTCTGTGCCAAACCTTTTGAGTCTTCCAGCCTGAGACTGTCTCTTGACGTATAGTGTCAGATATAAGTGTTAGTGTATGGAGTTTTGTTTGGCAAATCTTACTAGACCAAAAGAAGTCTTATGAGACTAGTGGATTATTGGCTAAAGTCTCAGTTGATTTCTGATCTTCTGGATGTCAAGTCGGTCACCTTTATGTTCCAGGAAACTGCTGGCTCAAGTGGTAGCCAGCCCAACCAGGTGATGGAAGATGATATAGATGAAACTCAGGCCCCGGGCTCACAGGAGTTGTTTGAAGGAGAGACTATCCCCATGGTGAGAGGTTTTACATCTTCATCCAGTCGTGCCTTGTACCTTATAAAGGTCGGGATATGTCACTGGGAGTAGGAGGGCCAAGCAAGCCTAGGCGTCACATATGTCTTGACAGTCTTCTTGGCCCATAGGCATACAAGAATCCTATGATTGCAGGTTCTAATCCCAAATTCACCATAATTATCTTTTGTAGTTTTCTCAGCACCATACTCGTGCTCATGTCTTTCAATAACGTAGTAGATGTCTTAGGCTAAAAAAAATAATAGTCTTGGTTCGCAGGCACTGCCCACATCATCATAAGTTCTCCTGTACCTTTCGTTTTTACTTTCATTTAAAAAAAGCACTTTAAAAATCCTTAAATATTCCAAGTCCAGCATTAGTCAATTACTGTATTTAAGTATTTTACTTATCAGTGAATACATTTATGTCTGGAGGCCCTTTAAAAGGTTGATTTACACAACTGTTTATTTGGTTACATACTAGTTTGAACAATCCAAAACAACAACAAAATCGACCCGCCCGCACTATATTTTCAAACGCCATTGCCTGAGAACCATTTTTTTTACCCTAAGACCTGCATTGCTTTGATGTTTCCTCACGTATTAAGCTGATTAGCTCTACAAAATAACCACACGGACGAATGAGTAGTGTTACCATGGTTATGATAATTTTGGATGTCATCATCAATCATTGGTTTCATTTGGCTTCTTCCAAATGATCAGTTATTACTGTTATGATAGGCTACTTGTATTTTGTGTATTATGCTGGGTTTTATCATGATTTGAACTTCTGTCTCTTTGTTTGTTAGGGGGACACAGGTGGCCCAGTCATCTAAGGCGCCGCGATTTGCTGTGCAGAGTTGCGTCCTTCGGCACGCCAGAAACCTATGATTGTGGGTTTGAATCCTGGTTCGCCCCGATTATGTTTCTAGGTTTGTCGGCACCATACCCGTGCCCGTGGGTTTCACCGAAGTGGTAAACGTCTGAGACCTGCATCACTTCGGGCTTTTCTCCCACATTAAGCTGACACGCCGCAATATAACTGGAATACTGTTAAAAGCTGAGTTAAACCCACTTTACTCACCCACATCACTCACTCACTTTGTTTGTTTGCATGTTGACGAGGAGTGTGTCCGTGTGCAGATTAGAAATGACCCAGTAGTGTAGCCAGATCAGTGTATAATGTCAGCACAATGACACATGTGCTGCAGTATGACTCACATAGTTCTGACCCCAGTCCCTCCTGTTGCAGGATTTACCTGGAACACCAGTCTCAGATGAAGAGGCAGACCAACACAAGGGCAAGCCAAGGTACAGCCCATAATGGAGTTTTTATACTGTATAAAGTATATGCTCCTAAACAAACAAATAGGTGACACTGACATGCATACATGAGAGACATTAGCACATTTACAATGTGTGAAGCATGAATAGGATGTCATTTTGTTCCAAATTAGTCAGATCCAAATGTAACGACCAAATGCGTAATCCGAACGTAACAGCACATGAGAACAATGGGATGAATGCACACAGATTTTCTGCATGCGGCATATGAATTTCCATTGCTGGTAAGGCCAGACTCAGTCTGGTTGATACCACAGACGTCACAGTGGAAGATGTTGCATCAAAACAACCCCCCTGACAGGCTGTCTGGATCAGGGACTTGCCTCAATCCTGGCTTTGCTGCTGCTGCTGGGAACTTTAATACTAGGTGGTTGTTTCTGTGTGTTCTGTCAGGTACTAAGGCCATGTATTCTGTCAGGTACCAAGGCCATGTATTCTGTCAGGTACTAGGCCATGTGTTCTGTCAGGTACCAAGGCCATGTGTTCTGTCAGGTACCAAGGCCATGTATTTTGTCAGGTACAAAGGCCATGTGTTCTGTCAGGTACCAAGGCCATGTGTTCTGTCATGTACTGAGGCCATGTATTTTGTCAGGTACAAAGGCCATGTGTTCTGTCAGGTACTAAGGCCATGTATTCTGTCAGGTACCAAGGCCATGTGTTCTGTCATGTACTAAGGCTATGTATTCTGTCAGGTACTGAGGCCATGTGTTCTGTCAGGTACTAAGGCCATGTGTTCTATCAGGTACCAAAAGGCCATGTGTTCTATCAGGTACCAAAAGGCCATGTGTCCTGTCAGGTACTAAGGCCATGTGTTCTGTCAGGTGCTAAGGTCATGTATTCTGTCAGGTTTCTTAAGGCTATCTGTTCTGTCAGGTACCATGAAGATCCAGGGTAGAATAGGTCTTCAGCATCCCATGCTTGCTGTAAAAGGCGACTATGCTTGTCGTCAGATGTGACTCACAGGATCGGGTGGTCAGGCTTGCTGACTTGGTTGATGCATGTCATCGTATCCCAATTGTGTGGATCGATGCTCATGGTGACAATTACTGGATTGTCTGGTCCAGACCGCCGTCATATAGTTTGAATATTGCTGAGTGCGACGTTAAACAACAAACAAAACAAAACTAAGGCCATGTGATCTGTCAGGCACTAAGGCCATGTGTTCCATAAGGTACTTTTAGGCCGTGTGTTCTGAAGGGTGCTTTCAAAACACATGTTCTGTTTGGTACATTTAGATCACATATTCCGTTCGAGTCTTTAAGGCCATGTTTCTGTCATGAAGTAAGGCCATATGTTCTGTAAAGTAATTTAAGGCCTTCTATTCTTTCAAATAGTCTTAAACTGTGTGTCCTGATAGGTGCTTTAAGACCATGTGTTCTGTTTGGTGCTTTAAGGTCATGTGTTCTGTTAAGTACCCGTTAAGGTCATGTTCTGTCTCTCTTCCCTCAGGGCCTTGAGGAGTGCAGGAAAGAAAGGCACAGTTGCAGAAAATGTAGGTTCTTTAAATTGTTCTTGAAACAAGAGATCACAATATCAAATAGTATAAAAAGTCTTATTTTGGGGTCACCAACTACAGAACAGTTGATATCCAAGAAAACAGCAAGTAAAGAATTAATTTGATATTCAGATAGCTTCAGTTGAATGCCTAGTATTTTTCCCTGAGGAGCCTAATTCCATCAATATTTTCTTCTTTTTTTCTTCTTTAAGACTAAATTCAACTGAAAATGATTCTGAAAGACATTTTCAGGCCAGCATTCTCCCATATTTGTCTGAGAAATTGGTTACTCTGATGGAGATCTATTCTTATTATGTTTTCTTTACAGGATTCTCATTTGTCCCCCCTGATTCCCATGAAACGCAGATACTCAAAAGCTGCGTAAGTATTAACTTTATTGTTTGTACACTTATGTAACTCTGGCTTATCTGCCATTTTCATGGATATATGTGGATGACTCGGTTTGACAAATGTAATTTATAAAAGTAGTGAACAGTAACAGAGCTACTGAAAAATCACTGGGTAAGTTTTCTCACCTTTCTAGCTAAACCATCTAATTCCTGTCCTTTCAATTTGTTGAATTGAACACATTTATAATCCCCCTTTGGTCCTATGGATTTGGCCTTGATTTGTAAACTCTTGGTCCTGGTGTCTTAAAATTTAATGAAATCTTTTCTTTCTCCTTTTTGGACCGAAACAGGTTACTCAGGAGATCGCAGGAAAATGTAAGTTCTTCCTATTCCTATGGAGTGTTCTAATGGTGTGTATCACACAGAACATCCAGCATGCATTTGTAGTAGGGAATGAATGGCATAATATCTCTCCCATGCCAACCTTATGTATATATAGCTGTCACTTACTGAAGTCACAATGCAATAGTATGTTGATACTTAGTTTGTCCGTTTAGGCATAAAATATTCCGTGTTCCATGTGAGCTGGCTAACAAGCATTTGTTCCTATCAATCAGTTTGTGATTGACTCAAATTATGGTTAGTTCGAATAGTATTATGCAATGAGATGTAGTATTTTGTTAGGCAGTTGGAAATACTCACCCAAGTAGTTGACTTGATTACTTCAATTTTCTTTATAAATATTAATACACAATACCATTTAGAAAGCGGTCAAATGTAACAAATGTTATATTTGGGATATCACTTTCTCAGTAAAGTACAGATTCTAGTAACTTTTTGGGTTGAATCCCATTAGGGAAGATCTGGGGTAGAATAGGTCTCCAGCAACCCATGCTTGTCATAAAAGGCGACTAACGGGATCGGGTGGTCAGGCTCGCTGACTTGGTTGATGCATGTCATCGATCCCAATTGTGTGGATCGATGTTCATGATGTAAATCACTGGATTGGCTGGTCCAGACTCGATTATTCACAGACCGCCGTCATATAGCTGGAATATTGCTGAGTGCGGCGTAAAACAACAAACCAAACCATCATTGGGCCTGTGTTGTGTGTCATTGGGCCTGTGTTGTGTGTCATTGGGCCTGTCTTGTGGGTCATTGGGCCTGTCTTGTGTGTCATTGGGCCTGTCTTGTGGGTCATTGGGCCTGTCTTGTGTGTTATCGGGCCTGTGTTGTGTGTCATTGGGCCTGTGTTGTGTGTTATTGGGCCTGTGTTGTGGGTCATTGGGCCTGTGTTGTGTGTCATTGGGCCTGTGTTGTGGGTCATTGGGCCTGTGTTGTGTGTCATTGGGCCTGTGTTGTGGGTCATTGGGCCTGTGTTGTGTGTCATTGGGCCTGTGTTGTGGGTCATTCGGCCTGTGTTGTGGGTCATTCGGCCTGTGTTGTGGGTCATTCGGCTTGTGGGTCATTCGGCCTGTCTTGTGTGTCATTGGGCCTGTGTTGTGTGTCATTGGGCCTTGAGGGGTGGATTACTGCTCAAACAGTTGGCCACTGGATTGCCTGGCCCGGACTTCAGCAAAGTGGAAGTGGGATATAGAAATGCTGTCTGTCAAGTTTCGTTTCTGGAGCAGGGCCCACTTGCACAAAGCGATCTTAGCGCTAAGACTATTGTAAGTCAATGCTAAAGTATGGGAGTTACGATCATCTTAGCGCTAAGATCGCTTTGTGGAAGTGGGCCCAGAACTAAAAAAACATGAGAGATATTTTAACCAAACTGGGCACTTAAATAGGTCTAGTGGTGAACTGGTGCCTTTTGATAGTTTTGGATTTTTTTTCAAGTCTCCATTGCAACGTTTTTGACTTTGACTGATAATGGTGGTAGTGATCCTTCCCGGAGCAGATCTTGAAAACCGTACAATATTTCTTGCCTTGCACCCAACCAGGCATGTCATATAGGCAGGGGATGAGAGTATTTCATGCTTGTTCTTCTTTTATTGTTAGACCCTTGTTCCATATTTGAAAATGGTAAACATTCATGAAATTATTGCATGATTCTATTGAACGAGACTACATCTCCTTTGGAAAGTAATATTTCATGTTAAGAATCAGTGAAAATATGTTTGACATGCATCTAATTGACTTGGACCATGTTTCTGTCAACTTGTATGTTGGAATGAGTAATGGAATGAAATATTGTGGAAATTTCTTTCTAGTTGACCCATTTTGAGAGTTCATGTGTGCATTTTTATTGTATTTTGTCAGGACATTTCCAAGAGAAGCTTCTTTGCTCCTGTCTCTGCTGACCACATATCCTACACTAAAGTCATCATCCAGCTGTTTGATATTTATTTCCGTAAACTGAGCAAGGAGCAGGTGAAGGCAGACTCGTATATTGAATGGGGAGAATCAGTTAAGCCTGGCAGACATATGACCCGTACAATTGATGCCAAAGGCCGTGGACAGAAATCTTATTCTTGGAGTTCGGAGTCCGATGAAGAAGTTACCATTCGTTTAGACAAATCTTCCGACGAGGGAGTTGAGAGCGGTGAAGGTCGTTTAAGAACGAAGTCACGGACAGGAGAAAGATCATTACGAGCAACTAAATCTCGGAAGGTAGTCCACAATAGTAATTCTCCTGATAGTCCGAAGAGCTCTGAGACAGATGTGAATGAACATAAACGTATACAGCCACGGCGGATCATCCCAACACGAAGAGATCCTCTAGATGCATCAAACGAGGACGAGGAGAGTCTTCCAGATATTGGAATCAGTTCAAGTGACAAACCCCCTGAAGCAGGCCAGTGTCGTTACAGTGAGGACACTCAGACAGACTCACCAGTCTACCCAACACTTGTACCCCAGACACTAGCCATGGAGGAGGACCTCTATATGGCTGACACAGAAACATTTGAGCCAGAGCTGACTGAAGTTCAAAGCAGGGACTCGGACAGTCCCATGGAAATTCAACCAAGGAAGACCATAGTGAACAGCCCAACTGAGATCCAGAAAAGGAGGACAATAAAAAGACCGGATGATGTGAAAGAAAGTGACAATTCTGATCTTGCCACAGAAATTCTGCGAAGGAGGTCGTTAAGAAAATCTAGTCCATCAACCGTGACCTGCTCTCAGGATACGAGAAGGGACAGTGTCAGCCTCAGCCCCAAACTTCCTGGAAGTCAGGCAAGTAGTGGGAGTAGAGAGTCAGGTTCTTTAATTAACTCTCAAGGGGAAATTAAATCTTTCCAAAAAGCAAGGCCAGGGAAGACAGGCACTTTTAATTTTGACATAGATGAAGAGGATTCCAAAGATTCAGATGTTGGAGGTTTTGTTACCAAGAGAAAGCCTCCAGTGAGCCCCAGGCAAGTTGTTGGTAGTTCCCTGTCAGTGTCTGAGAGAAGAACTCAAAGGGACGTACAGGACAAATCTGTCAGAGGTAAGGAAGAACCTACAATAGACATTGTGTCATCGGATTCCGATGAAGGGTCCCCCGGAAAGGAGAGACTTGCCTCTCCACATGAAAGCCCTATTCTCTCTGTACGGAGAAGCGGACACACATTCACTAGGAAGAAGCGTTCAAGCATGACAACCACCAGGCAAGAAGCTACTTTGGATGAGTTCTTCGGTAAAGACAATTCTGATTTTGTAACAAACAGGATTGGATTAAAAGTGAGGAATTTGAGTCCTGATTCTAAACAGCCTCCAAGGGCTTCAACATCAAAGGACAGAATCATTCCGATAATTTTAACAGACACTTATGAAAAGGAATCCACTTCTGCTGATAGTTCTCCAGTAAAAGCGAAGAGCTTGAGGAGTGAGTTGCACTTTGCTGACTCCGACGATTCTGGGGATGTAGTTCAGTCAGGACCAGAGCTGGACACAGAAGGAAAGGTAATAATTTTATATTTAGATTTTGATTGTTTGCCAATCACACCTATTGCCAAGGTTCCACTCCCAACATGGGAACTATGTGTGAAGCCTTCTCTCGTTTTTGTGCGTGTGTATCCTAGTTACCCCCGTTTGAAAAACAGGAGCATATAGCGACCACCATGTCCGTCCAAATCTCTTTCCGTTTCCAGAGCAGAACTCCTAAACCGTTGTATATTTCTTTTTGAAACTTGCTAAACAAATCTGTCTAGTGGTGCCTTTTGATGATTTCGGATTCATATTATTTTTCATACTTTTTGTGTGTTCATGATTATAAGTTGAACTTCACTGAAAATGAGACTTGTGCTCATTTCCAGAGCAGAATTCCAAAACCATTGAATATTTTCTAGATGGAACTTTACATACAGATCAGTCTAGTGGTGATTTGGTGCCTTTATATGATTTGGGATATTAAAACATTCTGAACAGCAATTTTTTTCTTCACTGAACAGAAGGTATCCAATGGCAATGAACTAAAAGTGGGGTATTAGTAGCCAAACTCGATTTCCAAAATGGACCAGACCACGGGAATATTTCATCTCCTGAATGATGACTCTTGTTTGATATTGCTGGAATATTTCAAAAAGTTGTGTCCAGCCATTTTGCTCTTTTTGTGTATAAAAGTACATTGGTGACACTTTATTGATTGATCAGTTTACAGAATAATCAACCAACCAGAGCCACAAGCAAAACAAAATATATAAGTTATTATTATTTGTCTCTTCTGAATTTTGGATGGAGTAGAAAAATGCACATACAACTACGAAATGTAACCAAAAGTATGTATTATTCTTTGAATAAAAGCATAGATGTACAGCCACTGGAAACACCTAATGAAGAGGACAATAATCTTTGCCTTGCTTAATAGTCATCCTACTCAGGCAATGTTCTGCCAACTAGGAACAAGAAGTCAGTATTTTATAGGGCTGGCTTAAAAGATCAATAATCGGAATTATCGTAGATGAGAAGAAATATTTACAATAATCAATATGAGTGAGTGAGTGAGTGATGTTTTACGCCACTTTTAGCAATATTCCAGCAATATCACGGCGGGGAACACCAGAAATGGGCTTCACACATTGTACCCATGTCGGGAATCAAACCCGGAGCTTCGGCGTGACGAGCTAACGCTTTAACCACTAGGCTACCCGACTGCCCCATAATCAATATGAAAATTGTGTCATCAATAATGTCTTACATAAACTATTGTAATGAAATACAGTGTGAAGTTGCTGAAGCAGACTTGTTTTTGTCCACTGCCAAAGACGGAAAGCAACTGAATCCACACATACATCTGTCACCACTCACCAGTGACGTGAAATAGGTTGTTTTGTCTCTGAGCTTTTTGTATATTTGCTGAAAGTCACTTCTTTGATATTAATCGATAATTGGTCAATATTTCGTTAACGGTAATCAATCTCTAAGATCTATATCGATAGCCAGTGCTAGTATTACCCAGGTTTAAGTTAGTATTGTAATGAAGCAAACCCTTGAAATAATAACGTGACTGGGACATGATTGAAGTTTAGGGATTTACTTTGGTGGTTGTTCAAGATCAAAAATATATATTTAAGATGTGAATGAGATTTATTCATTTTGAATACTCAGTTTTTCAGTCAGTGAATGGACAATATCATGAATTAAAGAATTTGTTGGTCTTTCAATGAATAACTTTTCACTTGTGTGTTCCTAGATCCAGTGCCCAATGTGTTCAAAGCTGTTCCGAGTTAACCTGATAGAGCGGCACGCCTCGGACTGCCTGGGTCAGCAGGAGGTGACGTCTACTACAGGAGATGATGGTATGCAATGTCAGTCTGCCACTTTACCCACGAGTCTATCACTTCACTAAGCAGGACTTTAGATATCTGGACACCTCACTAAATTTACTTTTGACCTACATTACCTTGCACACCTAACTCTCACTTTGAGACTAGGTATATCTATTTTATGACTAATAAACAGCTAAAATGATTTGTTTCATATCATATTTGTGTTTCAGGAAACCTGCAAGCTTCTACATCCACAAGGTAGGACATTCTTGTTGTGTCCCTAAATGAAATCCAGGTCCAATGAGGGCCCCAGAACCATATGCTATAAGCAGCCTACGAACATCGAGAGCATATAGCGACCACCAAGTCTGTCTGCCTGTCTTTCCATTTCCAGAACTATCCTAAACCGTTGTATATTTCTTGTTGAAACTTGCTATACAGATCAGTCTAGTGATGCTTTTTGATGATTTCGGACTCATATTATTTTTTTATACTTTTTATCCCCCGCCGCGCGAAAGCGCGAAGCGGGGGATATAGTATTCACGACCGTCCGTACGTCCGTCCGTACGTCCCACCTGTTTGTTGCCGCGATATCTCAAGAACTAAACACTGGATTGTCTTCATATTTGGAACTATGGTGTATATACAGACTCCGCAGACACCAGTCGGTTTTGGAGACCTTGACCCCATTTTCAAGGTCACCTGTCAGATTTGATCCCATTTTCAAGGTCACAGCAGACAAATCTGCTTTTAGAGTTGGAAAACGGTGTTGCCGCGATATCTCAAGAACTAAACACTGGATTGTCTTCATATTTGGAACTGTGGTGTATATACAGACTCCGCAGACACCAGTCGGTTTTGGTGACCTTGATCCCATTTTAAAGGTCACAGCAGGCAAATCTGCTTTTGGAGTTGGAAAACGGTGTTGCCGCGATATCTCAAGAACTAAACACTGGATTGTCTTCATATTTGGAACTGTGGTGTATATACAGACACCGCAGACACCAGTCGGTTTTGGTGACCTTGACCCCATTGTCAAGGTCACAGCAGGCAAATCTGCTTTTGGAGTTAGAAAACGGTGTTGCCGCGATATCTCAAGAACTAATCGCTGGATTGTCTTCATATTTGGAACTATAGTGTATATACAGACACCGCATACACCTGTCAGATTTGGTGACCTTGACCCCATTTTCAAGGTCACAGCAGGCAAATCTGTTTTTGGAGTTGGAAAACGGTGTTGCCACAATATCTCAAGAACTAATCGCTGGATTGTCTTCATATTTGGTAGTATGGTGTACAGGCGGGGGATATTTCGTCACTCTGTGACAAATACTTGTTTTGTTTGTTTTTATGACGATAAGTTGGACTTCACTGAAAACGAGACTAGTGCTCATTTCCGGAGCAGAACTCCAAAACTGTTGAATATTTCTAGATGGAACTTGCTATACAGATCAGTCTAGTGGTGAACAGGTGCCCTGTGATGATTTGGGATATTAAAAAATACTGAACAGCAATTTTTGTCTTTATTGAACAGAAGGTATCCAATGCAATGAACCAAAGTGGGGTATAAGCAGCCAAAATAAGATTTCCAAAATGCACCAGACCACGGGAATATTTCATCTCCTGATGCCATCATGGACATCAAGCCATGTTTTGCTGATGTCAGTAGTAGTATACCTGTAAAACTGTGCAGTCCTAGGGCTCAGGATTTCTAATGTAATGCAGTATTTGAGAGCATGATTTGGACTTTTGATGAGGTTACAATTAAAACAAACTCACACTGTTTTGGTATCAGGATATGATGTATGTTTGTCTTGGACTGGAATTAAGTCAAACACAGTAGCTTCATGGGCCCTCCGTAATTTCAGTGGGCAACATTTGAAACTCCATGTGACAATGGCACCGGCAAGAATGAACTTTGTTGACCCCATGGGGAATGTGGGGCAAGACCGTTCCCCATCACTTCATGCTTGTTGAAAGAGTTGACTACTGAGGATCTGATCATTCTGCTGTTGTTTTGTGCCCCATTGTTAATGACCCCCTTTCACTATGACCACGAATATCCCGAATCAGAAACTTTCAAAATTCTTGATGATTCGGCCAATAATAACTTTCGTGGCTAATCGGGTTGAAAAATATGAAGAATGCCAGGAATGGGTTATGAAACATGTACGTATTACAAGATAAATGAACGGATCATGCACAAATTGTTGATAAATCCTACGACTAAGTTACGAATATGCCAAATGTTGTTCTTACTTAATTCTTACATGATTTGTAGTTGACTGGGAACATTCGTGGCTGTTTCGGGATGTTTTCGGGTTGAGGACAAGAAATTGTGGGAGCCATGAATCGCTAAGAATAGCCAAGAATGCAAAAGAATCAATTATGAAGCTGTTACGGAACATAAAAAATAATTATGAATGGATTACGATACAGCCACCAAATTGCAATTCGGAGACCCTTCCACGAAAGTTTTTGAAAAAAACCAACAAACTTTCTTGCCTATTCGACGAACTGCCACAAACTGTACGAATGTTTGGGAATCAAGTAAGATTCATTTGAGAACGTCAAGAAATGATTGAGATTTATCTACGAACATGAAAAAGTTCCTATTCGGGGTGATTTGGGATATTCATGGTCGTAGTGAAATGGTTGCATAAGACTGGAGTATTGGCCCAGTACATTCTGTAATGACTGTAGTTGTACTGTACAAGACATGAATAACAGTGGGTCTAGCTAGACACCGGTTACAGATTGGGGAGTTCCCAACAGAAATCTAGAGCGACATGGTGTCTTCCCAGATATATTGTTTAATGTTTATTGTGTGCCCCAAGTACCCCATTGTGTGTCATGTGACCTGAGTGAGTGAATGTTGTTTGCCATGATGATACTATGCTGCAGAAAATGTCATTTATTTACTTATATCTTTAATTCTGAACTTCACAGATCTAGGCATCAGGAAAGTGACAAGGGAGACTACTCTGGCAGGACCAGAATTGCTAAGGAACAAGGTAACATACTAGCTATACATCAAGGCTCTCAAATCAAGTAATAATGATTGTTTAATGTGCCACAGTTAGTAAATTGTGACATTATAAGTAAATAATTCTTAAAAACAACAGAAAAACCATGACTATATTTATGAATGCAGTGAATCTTCCTTAGCTCCAACTTCATTCCAGGATATGTCACATGATACCATGCGACGCCATGATTCTGGCTGAATCAGTGGCGGCCCTTTCGTGTCTCAGAGTTGTGCTCTTCTTGTCTCAATCTGTAGATGACTCCATTGTTCCCCAGACATTGAAGTTCACTAGGTTCCACTGTTTCAGGGTACACTGTTAGGACAAACAAGTTGATGTACACCATCATCTGCTCTCCTCTGACAACAATGAATCTGTTTTGTCCTTTCAGGTGATGTTGTAGAAGAGCCAATACCAATCAGAGTTAAGCCAATTCTGCAAAGGTATGAATTAATGTTTGTCTCTCAGAAACTCCAGCGCACAATAAATCCCCCTCTCTTTGGGCAAAGGGGAAGTTGGTGATTTGGCTTGAAATGTCAAAGGCCTGGGTTCAGTCTACCACAATTGTGGGATCCACTGCAATGTTTGTGAAAAAGCCCACCACTATGATCAAATGATTTATTGCTTGGAGCTTCATCACTCCTCCTTTGTCATCCATACTCAGAATAACAACTAAGTTTCAATGTACAAAATATCAGTGCTTCACCAATACCCAAATAACTGTTGAATCAGGATTTGTCATTGGTCAGTTTTGACAAAGTGATTAGAGATGGAGTGAAACAAAATGGTTAAGTGTGTGAAAAGTGAGTTGGTAGTGACCACACCCAATACCATGCGCTGGCAAACTCCTCAGAAGTACATTGGGGTATTGGGGTAGCTAGCCAATGTTTGAATTTAGACTGATAGTAATGGGGTTCTTGTCATAGCCTTCATGTAAACAATTTAGGGGTCCCTAGATTCAAATATCACAGCTAACCTCAAAGACTCCAGGCCTCCCTTTTCTTTGTGTTTGAGGTTGAAGCCTTGGAAGCTCTCATTCAAATCCAGCATGATCACCATCACCATTTTCTTGTTTGCCTGAAGACCTAGGTCATTTCATCTCATGGACGGAGCCTATTTTACGTTTTCCCTCTGTTATTGCCCAGATACACCAGAAACATCATTCATCTAGGCTTATTCATTCCTTTATTTGAAATACATGTTTTTCCAGTCAGCATATGGAACAGTGCTGTGTTTGTAACATGCTGGTGAGACAAGACCTCATCGAGAAACACACAGAGCAGTGTATAGCAGACAGAATGCAGCAAGCAGAGAGAGGAGATCAGGATGTGCTTGACCTTGAACTTGAAGCTGATGAGCCAGATCGTAGAGCCACCCGGTCTAGAGGACGAGGTACTCAGATGTCTAGTTTTGAATCAACCTGGTGTCAGTTCAAGGACTTTAATCAGTGATTGGGTAACTTTTAGACTAATTGGGTATTGATTTGTCTTCTACTCTGCATGGCTCAGTGGATTTGGTTTTAGTTTTAGTCAATTTACAATATGCATGCTGCCTGAGTAGATGGGATATTCTCTCACAATATGTCCTTTTCTGTCTCCCTGCAATCATTCCCAGGAGTTTGCATCACGCAGACATATGCATCCAATACACACACATGTATAGAATGGATGCAGGATAAAAAGATGTTGCATCATGAGGGTTCCTATTGACAAGCAGTATATAGATCCTGTAATTGAAGTAAGTATCAAGTCTTACAATACAGAACACTACACCACTTCATCAATTTACAGAACCCTCATACTTCTTGTAAGGATCCTTGAAATTAATAATTGCGGGTCCCCTGGACCCCTAGTTTTGTAGATGAAGGTAAAACCCTGCATTCTAAAATGTCCCGTTAATAGTTTGAAGATTCCATTGATCTGAATCATACGTGCAAGCATTTCAAGGGCAGTGTGATTGCTTCAAAATTTGATACAACCTGACACATTTTTTGGACAATGTTAGGTATGATTGTGATCTGAGGTGACATTTGTTAGGTAAATGTGTAGAAAATAGTCATTAGGTTTCATGATCAGAATTATTTGTTTTTACTATCTTTATTCACCTTAGATCTGTCATGGAGTTTTGAAACAATGTGTGTGATGGAAAATCTTCATGGATTAAAAGTTCATAACTGTCCTTAAGATTGATGGAAGCAATGAGTTGGACACAAGTTTGGATTTTCACTACAATCCTTGTTAGAAGTACCTGTCATGCAGAAATGAAAATGAAAAATTCCTTGTAAAATGTTGTAGATACTGTATTTGACGTATAAGCGCCCACAGCTATATTTGCTAATATATTGGCTAGTGAACAATTCCAATTAGCACTGCTTCCAATTGATCAATGTACACAAGACTTATTTATTCGCGTATAATATGGACTTGTGTGTTATATGCACCCTTAATCATGTGCAAATAAATTCTGGAAAAATATATCTGTCGTACATAAACATTTCAGGCTGTCAGCATAAATCATGAAATTTATCTTTCAACTCTGTTTTTTGTTGTTGTTGTTTGTTTTTTTCACCAAAATAATATTCTAATAAGAGTACCCTATTCTTAATTTTGAGAGCGCCTGGGCGCTTATTACATCAAATACAGTAACTGAAATCAGTTTTAGATTTAAGCAGTCTTCAAGGTATGGAAGCTAACATTTGATCACTTCAAAATAATAGCATGGGTGATGTTTGCTGTGAAGTTCAGGAAGACTGCACCTGTGATGATGTCCAAGCACACTACCTTCAGGTTACTAGTTGGTCAACTAAAGGTCATTGTGACCTCTTCCAGTAGAGCCCATGGTGGTGCTGCAGCTGTCTGTGCCTTGTTTATGTCTTCTAACACGAGACCTGTTGGGATAGAATAGGTCCGTGATTGTAATCTGCTTGGCAGGTTCAGTGTCATGGTTGATGGTGTGTTTACGTACGCCAATTGCGTGGATCGTTGCTCATAACGTCAGTCACAGGATTGTCTGGTCTTGATTTGATCATTTACAGACAGCTGTGACAAAAGATGGAATATTGCTGTGGCGGCGTTGAACGACAAACACTACCACCATTCAAAGCAGGACCTAATATCATCAGACGGAAGTGCATTTGACTTTCTATTAACGAACTAACTTCTAACTAAATTAACTTCTTGGTTTTCAACTTGGAGGCAGGGGTGTCATAGAACCAGAAGTCATGTGCACATATGAACTATGTTAGCTAGCTGGAGGCATGTTTCTGTAATGTGATGGGTCTGTTTTCGTTTTTTGCATCTTATGCAATCTTTCAAGTGTTTGCCTACTGCAGTAGCCTGGAACCTGTTACACTGTATTAGTACTGCAACTTTCGTCATCTTTGGGCGTTACGAATGTCTTAGCACTACGATCATTGGGGTACAAGGGCTAGGGCTAAGAGATTAAACTGAGTAAGTGGTGACTTTGTAATCTGAAAGTGTCATCAATGCAGTAGTGCCCAGCAGTACTGACATCAGCGTTATATGGGATATGTTATATTCTGCATTAATAGGTATAGTTTTCAGAGCTCGAGATCAGCTGCATTTTTGCGTAAAATATGCATTAGATAAACTAATATGCATACAAATCAAAACCGCGTGTCAAATAGGCAACTAACTGTAAATACACTTTTTAAATAAAACTAATGTATATATTACACAACTGTAGATAAAATAGTTATATATCAGCCGATCACCAAATTCACCTACCAACAGTAACATTCGGAAAAGCTTCCATGACAAACAAATCGAATACTGATAGATTCCAATTGAAAAGCACATCAATGTATCTTCACCAGTCGCTGATTGGTGATTAAAAATTGGCACCTTTCTTACAATGCTAGGTTTTGCAAACTAAAATGGTTTCCTAAAGAGGGAACTGCAAGCAGACGCAGATGGGTATACTACTATTCAGTTAGTTTAGATTGATTTACAGGGTTTATTATGAAACAAGTTAAAATTCCCAAATGTCAACAAACATGTTGGTAAAAAACTTGAATACCCTCTACAAATTGTGTTTACCCAGTCCATATCAAACCCCTGGGTAAAATACCCAAATAACCAAAAGCTAGAGCTCCATGGTTTGTGTGCGACCTATAACTTCAAAACTATGACATGGATTCATTTCAAACTTGCTAAACACTTTTTATACCTATAGGAGAGTTTGTGCAAAGTGCAAAGTTTGATTTCAATGTATGGATTTTCTATAAAAAAATCAGGGGTGGTTGGGTAGCCTAGTGGTTAAAGCATTTGCTCGTCACAACGAAGACCCAGGTTAGATTCCAAACATGAGTACAATGTTTGAAGCCCATTTCTGGTGTCCCCCGCCGTGATATTGCTGGAGTATTGATAAAAGCGGCATAAAACCATACTCGCTCACTCACTAAAAATAAAATCAGCTTTTCTTTTCTCTTCTTTTTGCTGAGAATTTCTTTACTTAAACATTTGTGCTACCTAAAAAAAATATTGCTTTTTTTTCATGTTTTGAACTTAGAAAGATGTTGGAGTCGAAGTCGGGGGTATTAGTGAGCCCTGATCACTTATTGTCTTGGTTATTATGGCTTAATGTGAGAATGTTGTGTAACCATAATGATTTATGAATTGGTTGTGCAAATGAATGAGAGGACACTAAGAGTTTGCCTCAAGTTATTTGCTTATTTTGGTCACTGGTGTAACCTCAGCAAGCACCAGCATGATGATCAGTGAAGCAGCCATGACACATTGTGTTTCTGTTGCAGGGCACCAAACTCCGTCAGGGATGCGACCAAACATGTAAGAAGACATTTGATTTATTTGCCAATTTTGATAGCAACAACAAGCCTTATTCCGTAAGTACTGTACACCTCTTGGTGTTGCACCATGGAAGCCAATTCTGCTGATGTTAGAGGCGACTAGGTAGATGAAAGGACCTCTTTAGAATAAGCCTGTGGTAATTTCAGAAATTCACTTTGAGTATGTCCAAAACATAATTTGTGGGTGTTTGTCAAAATATATGTTTGACCAGAGACCATATACCGTACAGTAGATTATCATTAACGATCACTGCCACGCCCATTGGTGTAATTGATGCATTGGGATGCCACAGCACATGTGCAGATGCTCTTATCTGAGGAATTCCATAGTCTAGTAAACAATCTTGCGAAATGCTTGAATGCTGAGAATTAATTCTCTTTGCTGATTTTTCGATTATTGGGCTAAGAGCAGTCAAAAAACCATTTTATCCCTTCAGGGTAACAAAACAGAAGATAAATAACAAACTTGTTCTATGAAAATGTGATGATTGCGAGAAAACATCACTAGACATGATGATTTACCATTTCAATGATATTTCTTGTTCTGCTAGGCATTGTTTTCTATGCAGAGATTCAGATTACCATGCATGAGTATTTGTCTTGTAAACTAAGCCAGAAATAGCAATCAGCTGTAAGCATGTTTTCTCCCAGATTGACCGGAGACTCAGTTAAAAAGTACCCCAAATATAATTTGAAGGTATTTTTGATAACAAACAGCAGATATTGTTTGACATGTAATAGACTATTCCTGATTTTGAGTTATTTTGCAATTCATTGTTCTCATCTGAGCTAAATGGACTGTACAAAGAAATATAATAAATCTTCCGGTTGACTCCAGTAACTAAGGACTTAGTTACATATTTAATGGAGTAATTTGTACTGGAAAATGGATAAATTGTGAAATTCTCACAGGCCACCATTTTCTTTTTGTAAGATTGAACAATGATATGTGGTACGATTTTTCCGTTTGTTAATTTGCAAGAATGTCAACGTATACATATAGTTACTTATATGTCCTTTAACTCAATGTTTGTAAATATGTAAAACGGTGAACAGCTGATTAGTTTATTCACGAAAACCTCGCATGTAAATCTTTGAGTCTGAAGTGAAAGTGCCACTTGGTCTTAGATGGCAATGATCAGTCTCCAACAAGCCTGTCTCATAGTATATGGGACCCATGAAGATTCCGGGGTAGAATAGGTCTTCAGCAACCAATGCTTGCCGTAAAAGGTGACTCTGCTTGTCGTAAAAGGTGACTAATGGGATCGGGTGGTCAGGCTCGCTGACTGATGCATGTCATCAATCCCAATTGCGTGGATTGATGCTCATGATATTAATCACTGGATTGTCTGGTCCAGACTCGATTATTTAAAGACTGCCGTCATGTAGCTGGAATATTGCTGAGTGCGGCGTTAAACAACAAACAAACAAACAAAAAACATAGTATATGGTCTCTGGTTTGACTTTGGTTTTGTTGTTTAAATGACTCTCTTATCAGACATCAACTGTTAACTCACTATGGACAAAAGATTTGTGTTTTCCTGAGCCTCTTTAGCAGAAATTGACTGCATCTCTAAAAGGTGCCCAGTGGGGTATGGGAGGCCCAGTCGTCTAAGGCACCGCCATTCCCTGTGCAGAGTTGCATCCCTTGGGCACGCCAGAAACCTATGATTGTGGGTTTGAATCCCAGTTCGCCCCGATTATGTTTCTAGGTTGTCAGCACCATACTCATGCTCGTGGATTTCACCGAAGTTGTAAACGTCTGAGACATGCATCATTTCAGGTTTTCCTAACACATTAAGCTGACACGCCGTGATATAACTGGAATACTGTTAAAAGCGGCGTTAAACCCAACTCACTCACTCACGCAGGGACCCAAATGACCTGTTGAGAATTACGTCATACAGGGATTCATTTGTTGTGGGTCTGGATCCCAACTTGGACCTGATCATGACATAAGGTGTGTCAGCACCATCTATACCCATGCTCTTGGGTATCACCACGGTTATAGTTGTCAGCAACCTGCATTTGCCTTTGCTCCACATCGGGTTATTACAGGCTGACATCATACAGCTTGAATATTGCCGAGTGTGGTGCTTAACAACACTCACTCACTCACTCCAGACCAACGGTCCCTCTTTAAATCCGATTCCTTGACACTTCCAGAAAGCATCGCCTTTTGGACGAGGAAGCAGATTCTCTGTCCAGTGAGACGTCCGACAACCATGACCCCGACTGGACAGCAGCGTCCACAACAACGGAGGTGGAGTCGGAATCACCAATGAAGTTCAAGAAGATATCCCAGTTAGACGAGGCGGAATTGGACTTCAAGAACCAGTTTAAGTCCAAGGCTGGAGGCAGAGGTGGTAAAAGGGGTGGCGCCTCCCGGGGAAGAGGAAGGAAGTGATACATGGACTTACACAAGGACCCTGGTTGTCTGGAAACCTTGCTTCTCTGGACAATCATGTTGGTAATAGATAAATATAACATAACCTGTATGCATGATTCATTACTCCAGACGACTTCACTGGAAACAGGATATTTTTTACCAATCCTGCATTACTCCTTAATGCATTCACTGCTTACTTACGACAACTAGAAGGACAGCGCTGCGAAGGTCCTGGGTGAAGAAATAAAGTTGTTGTTCTCAAGTCCCAATCAGTGGCCTTCCGTCGCTGTCCTGTGACCTTGATGACACCTAAGGTCATCTCCACATCACTGCTTGTCGCAGCACAGCTAGGACGTGTCCAAGCGGAGCTCTCCTTTTGGATTAATTTTAGACCTTCAGTTTGTCTACAATCTTAAAAATTGATCTGCGATGGGTGATGTATTCTTTTCATATTACTTTCACCATGTTGTGTAGTTTTATGTGAATTAATTAGGCGTGAAAAGACTCTTGTCTTTTTTCCCGCCAAAATATTGTTGTTCGCCGCCATTTTGAATTGTGTTACAATCGTTTGCCTGCCAAGGTAGTCATATTGTTTACAATTCTCAGCTACGTATGTATAACATATTCTTATGTTTTTAAATACTACTAGCTTTGGCGTAACAGTGAGTTGCGTATACTAAAATTATTGTATACTTTTTCAACTCGTTAAAAATATGGTTGTCGATAGATTAATATCAAATCTACGGCTTTCTTCCAGTCCCGCTTCATCAACAATTCTTTTATTGCGTACCTATGTTTATGCGATTAAATAGTTTTTTGTTGGTATTTTTGGTTTAACATTGAGTTGCGTATATGAACTTTGTATACTCTTGCAACTCGTAGTTTTTGCCGATAGATTATTGTTCAATTCTATGGCATTCTTCCAGTACCGCCTCATCAACAATGGCATAATTGTGTAACTTATGGTACTAATTGTCGTGGGAAAAATCTTACAAAGATTATCATCCACGTTGTTTGGTTTGCGCGCAGATGTGCTCTCCAAACCCTAAATGAAAATATAAATACCCTTGGTTTACATTGAGTTGCGCATACAAAAATATTGTATACCCTTGCAACTCATAAATTTGCCGATAGATTAGTGTTCAAATTCTTCGGCACTCTTCCAGTATTTTCTCATCAACAAGGGTTTAATTGCGTAACTACCTTTGAGCATTGTACTAATTGTCGTGGAAAAAAACTTACAAAGTTTATCATCCACGTTGGTTGGTTTGCGCGCGGATGTGCTCTCCAATCTCTAAATGTAAATAGCCTTGGTTTACATTGAATTGCGTATATAAAAATATTGTATACCCTTGCAATTCGTATTTTTGCCGATAGATTACTGTTCAATTCTACGGTATTCTTTCAGTACCATTTCTTCAATGGGTTAATTGCATAACTTATGTTTGCGTGGTGTACATATTGTCGTGGAATAATCGCCCAAAGCTCTTTATCCACGGTCATAGGCATGCACGTAGATGTGCTCGCCAAAATTCAAAATGTAATTTTTGTGTAAATCTCTAATCCAACGAGTTTACTATATAAAAGCAGATTACTCACAATCATATTTTGCAGTTATTCCGTCGTGAGACGAGAGGAATGTCACTATCGCAGAATAGCGAATGACATATGGTTCTGTCATTACCACCCAACCGTTATTATCGGCAGGTATTATGACGCCTGTGATTGCAGAAGTACACCATCCACCGAAATCAACAATACCGGAGGATTTTGTGAGTATCGTAACTGCTCCTATTTTTTCAGCCGCCGGACACTTCCAGATATGTTAATCTGTGACGTCGGCGACAGCACCAGCACCAGCGTATCGAGATGCTATGATGGGGGTAGATTAGACTTTGAGCTTTGTGTCTGATTTATCTGCGCCGAGCGCAGCACTTGACTACAACCCAAGCACTTCTATTACGCAAGCGGCACACAATCAGCTTAGCGCTGTTCCAACATATCCAGCATAGACCTGCGCCGAGCGCAGCGTCTGACTGATACCCAAGCGCTCCTATCACGCAAGTGACGCACGATCAGCTTAACGCTGTTCCAACATATGCAGCATAGACCTGCGCCGAGCGCAGCGTCTGACTGCTACCCAAAGCGCTCCTATTACGCAAACGTCGCACGATCAGCTTAGTGCTGTTCCAACATTCCAGACCTGCGCTGAGCGCAGCGTCTGCGTACCAATCAAGGTCTCTACAATGACGTTAGCCCAAGGCTTACAGTGTACTCGGTTACGTAACCGGCACATGATCAGCTTAGCACATGATCAGCTTAGCACATGATCAGCTTAGCACATGTACCCGATTGGGAAGCACACCATCTCGTGTCAGTAACGCCTTCCCCTGATAACAGGGTAAATAAGAGGGACACCACGAGGTCATTAGAGGAAGACTTCTCCAAAACTCACATTTGCTCCGTGATTTAAGCGACCAATATCGTCAATGTTTGCAGTGGATCAGAATCTATTAGAGGATAACCATATCTGATTAGATCACTTCCAAACTATGGTGTTTTTCCTACAGCGTCAGTTTGACCACAGGAAAATTCATCTTGAGACCGTTCTGACGGAGATTACCGTTACACCCAAGACTTTATAGCGTTTCCAACTGAGATGCTGGTTTCAAGGGCAGTCTATTACTTCAACCTTGGTCATCTACTCCCCTGTTCAACGAACAGATCGCAGACACGCACGTCAAGTTCCCAAAAAGCTTGGAAAGTCCAAGCGGGCTGGCAAGTCAGGGAATTATAAGCCTAGACGCGCGTTTCTCAGGGAAGACCAGCATTCCCTTACTGAGAAAGGGAGTGGCAGAGACAAGTCTCAAGGACGATTTCGTACTTATCGCACTATATCATGGTGTCCGTATAAGGGTAGAGATAACCCCACCGTTGACCACAGTTTGATTGGGAAAATCCAACATAGACATACTGTTGGTAAGAAGAGCTGTAGAGTGGGTTCACAACCCAGTCTTTACTCCGGGGTTTTATCCTCACACGTACCTGGTACTCATGAAGGACCCAGACAAGATGAGAATGATCCACAATCTCTGTGTTCAACGAACGTTTGATTCTTCATCAGTCTCGACTATCCATCCCAACCGTAGACTTTTCAGGTCCAGTTCATTGGGGTTCACTACCAATGGTAGTATTTCCCATTTGACATGTCAGTGACACTTATGGCTATTTACAGGAGTAATGAAGCCAATAACTATCTACACGTGACGAACACTTGGTTCGAGTCGTAGATGGAGGGCGATCTACTGTATCATCAACACATGTCAATAACTGGGATAGACAATCAACGAGGCGAAGTCGGGAGTATTCTCCTTCCTATTGACTTCAGTTCATAGGAGACCTGTTTAAGACAGACCAGGATATCCTATCTGTACCGAGGGACAGATGGCACAAGTTTCTACTTCTTTTGTCATCTACTCTACACCAACCACACACACTTCGCCAGTGGCAAGTGTTGCTAGGGTTAATCACCTCGGCACAGGAGTTAACTAGCATGGGCCGCTTACAACTGCGACCAATTCATTTTTTTCCTGAACCCTTACATCAGGAGTCAGGATCCACTCAAGGCCATCACTCTACCGACTAAGCTAGAGCCTTGCCTCAATTTGTGGCGCTGAATGTCTGCGGAGTCTGTTTATTCGGGTTTTCCCCGAATACACACCTGTTTGTGGACGTCCCCTTTCAGGGGTGGAGTCTTCACTTACAAGACCAGATAAGCTCAGGGCTATGGCCCGGCGCACAATGGAAGTGGCACATAAACAACTTGGAGTTGGAAGCTTTAATTCTGGCTATATCACATTGGCAGAATCAACTACAGTTAGCCCGACTCGCTATATCCACAGACAACAGCACTGCGGTGTGGTGCCTGTGCAATCGGGGAACAACACACTCCCACTCTCCACTTCTAAGGACATTCAGATTTCTTCCATCTTGTGGATCGGCTGTGACTAAGGTTCATAGTTCAGCACATCCCCGGATGTAGAAACATACTGGCCAATACTTTATCACGTCCAGACAGGGTGGCTCCCACCGAGTGGAAATTTCTCACAGAAGCATTCCAGTTACTGCTTCAGGAATTCAGGCAACCAAACATTGACTTGTTTATTACTTGCCTAGGCCACCAACTCATGACGTATATCTCCCCGTTGCCGGATCCGCAGACTTGGGCGGTGGACGAGTTCAGTATCACTTGGGAAGGGCAAAGAACTTACACTCTTCTGCCACCACTTTTACTTCCAAAGGTGCTACAGGGGATCAAGGCGACAAGGTATCTCGATCTCTCCTTTGGTCGCACCCTGGTAACCGGCGAGAGGGTAGTTCGTCAAGCGCGGAAAAATCTAAAACGATTCACTTCCCCTCTCACAGTGGTCCAACCTACTCATCCACCCTCAACAGAAAATTGCCTCACCCAACGTCTGCACGCATGGTTCGTCTTTAAAAGGCGTTTAAGTGCGGAGGGTTATTTCGACACGGGCAGCAAAGCTATAGCTTTAGTTCATCGTTACTCTCCCAGAGACGACGATGACAAGTGGGGATCACTTGAGACTTTTTACAGGGAAGAAAAGAAACAAGACCCTACGATTGCGTCACAATTCCTAGAGGAATACCTCCTACATTGCGTACCCAAAAACACTTGGAAGGTAGCACCATTACTACGTAATTGGCTGCAATTATCTTAGTGTTGGCCGTTTCCGGAAAATCACAGTGTGATTAAGGTCACGGAACTACAGGCCATATTATGCTCATTCAGGTTTGAGGATCAGAAGGCCAAGTTCCAGCCACCTGATTGGGACTTGAACGTGGTACTTCGAGGTTTGCGAGGGCCCCCTTCGAGCCCCTCATTGCATCCTCATTTTCAAGCTCCTTCCCAGCACGTGACACCTTCGTTACACTCTCGGTATAGTATAGAGAGCTCCGCGAACGTGCTATCGCTGTGAGGAGCTTGGACATCACCAAGGAAACAATGGTTTCTCTTGGCATTAGCAATGGCGGTACGGGTGAGCGAACTACATGTGATCGACTCAACCCGGATCCGTTTTGAGCATGGGACGCACGGAACGGGACATCAAGGGTTATGCTGGGATTTTATTGCTAAAATCTACTACCAGGCCAACCCGACCGTTCCTTCACCATCCCACCGATATCGACTATTGTGGGAATCGTACATGGTGAAGTTCTCCTGGGCTCGGTGCGAGCAGTTCGAGTTTTCATTCGACGCTCCAAGACTAGGCGTGGTTCGTCCACGACAGAAGTTAGTCGCATAATCGCAAACACCATATCTCTATGGTTACGCGCAGTAATCCTTCAGGCCTACGAGATCATCAAACGGAACTCGCCAAGAGCGAAGTACCCTCAAGATCTCAAGGTGTCAGCCTTACCAGGGCTCAACACGGCAATTGTGGTTTTGGAATAATCGCGGAAGGATATTTCTGGAGATTCGACACATATTTTCGTTAGTCATAACCTCCGCGTTGGGGCTCTCGAGGATGTCGAAGACGTTCGAAGTTTGGCCCTCTGGTTGTTATCCTGCAGATTGCCAACCCCTGACGCAAATAATGAATTCGTCCTATACAGAGCCAGTCAACTTCCATGTGCAGTCACTCAGTCGCCACCAGTGGAAGAATATTAGACAATCTTGTTTGTCAGCGACGGCTCTATGACGCAGTAAGTAAAGAATTAGCTGAATAGCTATTATTTTCTTTATTACTAAGCATGTATAGGGAATTTCTCTTTAATTCCTATGTTCAATGTTTTTGATTTTTGAACAACCCTACCGTAATGGCGTTTTTGTCTGAACTTTTCCGCTTCACGGTTTATCGACCAAATGGGGTCGTATTGCAGGGTGTGAATTATTGAGGTTTCTGTATTCTGAAAGTTTACCCACTTCCAAACCGTCCGATACAGATGCATTAAGGAGTAATGCAGGATAAGTAAAAAATTTAGTAAAATCTAAATATTTTTTACATTTGTATACTTATCCTGCATTACTACGCTTAAGGCCCACCCGTCGTTAGACTTGCCTCCCCACTTTGGCTTCAGAAACCTCAAAAGTATGTTTTTCTAAGAGCTTGGGCGACAGGCAGTGATGTGAAGATGACCTTAGGTGTCATCAAGGTCACAGGACAGCGACGGAAGGCCACTGATTGGGACTGACAACTTTATTTGTTCACCCAGGACCTTCGCAGCGCTGTCCTTCTAGTTGTCGTAAGTAAGCAGTGAATGCATTAAGGAGTAATGCAGGATAAGTATACAAATGTAAAAAATATTTAGATTTTACTAATATTTGTATTGTCAGAATTTCTCTGTCAGTCGTTTGTCATTTTTGTGATATAATCAAGCGTAGATTAATACAATGATGGGTAAATAATATAGGACAAACCATATGTAGCCTTATTATGGAAACGGTATTGTGAACTGGATATGCTGAATTGTTTGTCGACATGCATGTGGACCGAAAATAATCACATTATGGACCACCACACCACACCAAACCACACCACACCAACACCAACACCAGCCCCCGCCCCCGCCCCCGCCACCAACACCAGCCCCCGACCCCGACCCCACCCCACCCCACCCCACCCCACCCCACCCCACCCCACCCAAAAAAACAACACATTTATTAGGACAATTAGTTAGACGTGTTTTAAGGGATAATAAGTTCGAAAGGCATGACAATTTGTTGATTTGTTGTGTTCATTACACAGCATTCCTTCATCCTAACACTTGTAATCACAGCCTTTATCGCCAGTATTAGAAAGTAATTTCAACACTGCAGAAACTATTCACAGGAAGTGTAATTAATGGACGTTACATGTATATCCTTTTTTTCCATGTACTTATATCATAAGTTCAACAGTATTGTTATTCAACTAATCATGCTAATTCGGGGTATTCCAAAAGACAGTTATGCCCAGTACCTCATGATTTTGATAGGAGCAGACCAAAATGGCAATTGGGTGGTGACACCCAGGTGACTTTTAATTGTTGCTTAGACCTTCAGACCATCACAAAGTACATTTTCAATAGCTCCACCATTGTCGTCTTATGTTGAAGGTATTCTGAGAACTAGTAGAAGTTCAGGCTTTTTATAGGCTGTCCGTGAGTTATCACTATACAATCTAGTGAACAGGTTGCCCAGTTGTCCGATCTGATTGCTCTGATTATAATCCTTGTGTGTCAGCACTGTACCCGAAGTGGTAAACATCAAGTGCATTGTTTTCACGTGATCGCCACTGAATGTTTTCAGCAATATCTAAGATGCTATTATGTTATTTAATGTTCTATAAACATGTGACATAATCGATTGTATATATTATGCTAAGCTGATAGCATATTGAACTACTCAAATGTGTGTTAATATTTAGCCAAATTTGGCCAAAAGGTCTGAATTGGTTTCCAAAATTTGGTAACCGGTGACATTTTTAGAATGTTAAGAAGCACATGTTCTTTTCCGCATAAAGTCTTGCCAATGTTTTTACCAGGATTGAAAAGTATCAATATTGATGTGAATCCAGAGTGGACTTTCACTTTGTGAGTTCATTGGAGTATTGACAGCCAAACTGTATAAAAGTCCTAGCTTGTACCGACATTTATGGAATGATTGTCCCTCACTATGAAGGTTCATACTCCACAAAACTGACTCCAGGTGAATGTCAGTTCTTACATTTTATCACTATTTTACACCTCGAAGGATGTATACACAATTTAAGTAAGTACATGCGGCATTCAGTCAAACTGTCTGGCTTGGTTTAATATCAAAAGGGTCTACGTGATGAGGAACAGCACTTCTGTCTTTATTCGTGCTAGAAAGTTCCAGGGATATCCACAGGAATGTGAAAGTAGTCCGCCATTTCAAGAATAAAGTCTCGTAAAAAATGTATTCATGTCAAAATGTGTTGCTCATACACTTTTGCAGTCATGTGACTGGCCTCCAATGGAAAAGTTGTATATTGTGAAAACTTCACATTAAAATTTATCATTAAATAAAATTTGTTCTCAGTTACTGACAGTGTCAGTAAAACATTCCGTCTTTGAGAGAGCATGTTTTGACTAGAACTCAGTTTGAAGCAATACATTACTTACACACCACTAGAACCACAGAGAATTAGTGATATTTGATTTTATATTCTCCACCACATGCTGCTTTGCTGGTGATTATTTAGATACAGTATATCTACATGGTCCTATGATTGTTAAACTGTACTGATTTGATGTTATTGCAAATAAAACCTTTCAGGGTTGGCATTAAGGTCTCCGTGTTTTGTTTGTGATGCACCAAGGTGGATGTTGCAACTCACGTTGGTATTTTATACCGGTACAGGAGGAGCACATGGAGCCCAAGAGTCGGAATAAGCACCATGAGTGACAAAGGAGGAGGAGGTCAAATCAGAGATCAGGGCCCTTTTGGTCCACTTGAATGTTAATTTTTAGCCTTGTGGAAAACTGTGTAATATTGATGTGAAAAATATCAGAAATGTTCAAATAGCTGTCAACTTGCTTTATTTAACATCTTTCTTTCATCTGACAACATGAATGAAAAAGGCAGATTTTGATAACTTCAAGGTGGGGAACCTATGAGTAAGTCTGTAACCAAGGAAGTGTTTTTGTGGACTCATATGAAACTCAGCTTGTATCAAAGACTTGCTCCAACACAAGAGATACACCTGAAGATCCCTTAAATCAGCCTTCTTACATACATGTATTCCAAACCATGAAAGTGTTGAAATGGATAAAGTCTGAGGCTAAAAAACAAATAATAGTCTTTGATCTTAGGCACCGCCCGCATCATCATAAAGTTTGCCACATGTTTCATTTTTATTTCCATTTTAAAAAACAGACAATTCCTTTAATATTCCATATCCAATTGTTGTCATATACTATATTCCAGTATTTTAGTCATCACGGAGTACATTTATGTAAGGAGGCCCTTTCCCAGGTTGTGCCGTAAAAGGCGACTATGCTTGTCGTAAAAGGCGACTAACGGGATCGGGTGGTCAGGCTCGCTGACTTCATTAATGCATGTCATCGATCCCAATTGCGTGGATCGATGCTCATGACATTAATCACTGGATTGTCTGGTCAAGACTCGATTATTTACAGACCGCCGTCATATAGCTGGAATATTGCTGAGTGCGGCGTTAAACAACAACCAGCCAACCAACTTTCCCAGGTTGATTGTACACAATTGTTTATTGGGTTACACAACTGTTTATTTGCTTACATACTCATTTGAACAACCAGAAAAAAAGAGAGAAAAAACACCACCTGCCCACACTATATATTTTTTTTTAAAAAAACATTGCCTGAGAAACAATTCTTTTATTTTTTTAAGCCTAATTATCCTTTCCATTCCTTAGTTGTTTCAAGGTTTGAATCCCACATTTGGCAGGACTATGTTCCCTGGTTTGTTTGCACCACATCCATGCTTATAGGTCTGCAACCATGTGTTTTCTCTCACAGCCAACATTCTGTGTTATGGCAGATATACAGTTCAAAGCAGCATAAACCCAACTCATAACTTGTGTGGGACTTCTTGTTCTGGATGCTGGAGGAGTGGTGGTAGTTATCTCCCTTACACCAGCTTGCTACACATAGACTGGGCTCCTGTCTACCTAAACTAGTACACAGACAGAAGCTGATTTGTTGTAGGCTGTGACTGGATGACACTAAACATAACCTATACCCTTGAAGATCTGGGTTAGAATTCATCTTCAGAAATCCATCCATGTAAGAGGCAACCAACAGTATCAGATGGTCAGACTCGGTGACTTGGTTGATGCATGTCATCGTATCCAAATTATGTAGATCAATGCTCATTATGTCAATCCGTGGATTATCGACAGACCGCCATCATATAACCTTGAATATTGCAGAGTGTGGCGTTAAACAACAAACTAAACTAAACATAATATAACCAGAGCCCTTTTACCAACAACATTCATTGATCCTCGGTATCGAATGAAAACAAATAGACTACTTGAAGTTTGTTTGTGAAGTAAAAGTGGAATAGTGCGGCATTCAACTGCAAACACTCACTCTCACATGATCACCACAGATGTTTGAGATTGCACGTCTTTTATCCATCAAAAGTGATAGTAGATAGTTATACTCAAAGGGACCGCCTCCGTGGTCTGGTGGTAGAGCATCAGCCCGGAGTGCGGAAGGTCCGGGGTTCGATGCCCGACCATGTCATACCAAAAGACATTAAAAGATGGTACTTGGTACCCTGTCTGGTGCTCGGCATTAAGGGGCTAAAACAAGGACTGATCGGCATCAGTCCAGACTAGTACAAGCAGCTACACAAACACACACACACGTACATGCACGTCGCTATATAAGTGCAATAATCTTGGACGCGATGTTAAACCCCTTTTACCTCACCTATACTCAAAGGCAAGGCAATGGTTGCTGAAGCATTGACCCCACACACTCTATATCAATCTTAAATTACATGTCCTTGATTTCCTTTAGCCTATTTGATTGGCTACGCTACTAGGTCTAACGGACCAATCAGAATGTGAGTTACATACCAGCCTCAATGTTGGGTTGGCGATATCAACATCATCGCGGCCAGTCCCATTGAGTACCATAGTTTGTAAGAAATTCAATGTTGGAAAAACTGACACGCAAAAGAAAGGCTTCAAAAGTCATTTTGTTAGAGAGGATGTCTTCATGTCCATAAAAACTGGTGGTGGCTTTGGTTCTAGGCAATACCAGTTACCTCCCTTACTCATTTTCTTTTTCCTTATCTCAACGTTTGATTGGTACATGTAAGTAAAATTTTCAGGTAATCAAGGGCAGGTAATTTAAGACAGCGAAAACCTTGTGAATGGGTCCAGGGTGAGTGTAGGTTTACTGAAATGGAGATATGGATGGTGTTACCCACAGGGTGTTTATTTTGCTCAGGAATCCTGATTTTAATCATGTTCTTAATGCAGAGAGGCTTAGTAAAACAACAACAACAACAATTTCAGTTGTTTATTTACAATCATTGTCCAAGGTTCACTGCCAACAGTTCAACCTTGACATCTCCCCCCAACTCATTCTATATGCTGAGATTTGATATATATTCACCTCAACATGGTTCAAAATATATTCAAATGTATTTCTGAAAAAGTTAATTTCTCAACTCTGCAATTATGATTGCCTGTTCAAGATTCAATCAGCATGACCACAGGCAGATAGTAAACAAAGAAAACAGAAGATAGGCATGTGTTTGCTCTTCGTTATGGCCCAGTAGTTCAGGGAACACTTGTCAAGCCCTGTCAGTCACACCCAGGCATGTCAGCTTGATGTGGAAAGGACCTGTGAAGATCCAGAGTAGAATTGGTCTTCAACAACCCATGCTTGCCGTAAGAGGCTACTTACGGGATTGACTGGTCAGACCTTGTTGATGCATGTCATTCTGTCCCACTTATGTAGATCAATGCACATGTGTCAATCACACGTTTGTCTGGTCCAGACTCGATTTAAAGACCACCATCATGCAGCTAGAATACTGCTGAGTGCAGACGTTAAACAACAAACAAACAAACAAATGATGTGGAAAGCTGAAAGTGATGCAGCTATTGGATGTTTTTACCGCTTTAGTGAAACCCACGAGCTCAAGTATGGGGCTGACAAATCTGGGATTCCATCCACAATCAGGTTTCTAGCCAGCTTTAGGGACACATCTCTGCACAGCAATTGGTGGCAACTGAGAAGACTGCGCTCTGTTACAAGGAAGAAGGCTCTCCGTTCTGCACTGATTACCATGAAATATAGGGGATCTGACACCATACAGAACCATGTAGACGTATATAATATTCTTGAAAAGGAGCTGATTTTTTTTAAGTGAGTGATTGGGTATGGTTTTACGCAACTTTTAGCAATATTCCAGCAATTTCACGGCGGGGGACACAAGAAATGGGCTTCACACATTGTACCCATGTCGGGAATCGAACCCGGGTCTTCGGCGTGACGAGCAAACGCTTTAACCACTAGGCTACCTGACCGCCCACCAAGTACAAAGGAACTCAATGGGGATGAGCATGGGTTGCTGGAGTTGAGTAGGACATGATAACGGAAAGGGGAAGATCGAGGGTATGTAGCAGAGACTAAGAACCACAAAGCTATGCTTCTCTCAGTTTGGCCAACAGGTCATTGTATCCACATTCCTCCAACGCTCTCTCCAGATTCTGCCACCAGTAAGGTGCCCTCTGTATGTACTTCCACAGTTCCTGGTTGATCTTCTTCCTCGGCTTGACTTTCCCAACAGACAGCTGAGATATGTGTTCCTGAAAAGGTAGATTCCAATGTATTTATGAGTACTGTGAATTGTCTGATAATGTCCATGAACAAGGATGGCATATATTTGTTAATTTTGACCTAGATGATTTTTCTGTGATTACAGTGATGGTATTATTGTCTGCCACTTGGCAAATAGCCAACATCACCATAGCAAGGGACACCATCAACATCACCATGGCAGGGGACACCACCAACATCACCATGGCAGTTGACACCACCAACATCACCATGGCAGGGGACACCACCAACATCACCATGGCAGGGGACACCACCAACATCACCATGGCAGGAGACACCACCAACATCACCATGGCAGGTGACACCATCAACATCACCATGGCAGGGCAGGTGACACCACCAACATCACCATGGCAGGCGACACCACCAACATCACCATGTCAGGGGACACCACCAACATCACCATGGCAGGGGACACCACCAACATCACCATGGCAGGAGACACCACCTACATCACCATGGCAGGTGACACCATCAACATCACCATGGCAGGGCAGGTGACACCACCAACATCACCATGGCAGGCGACACCACCAACATCACCATGTCAGGGGACACCACCAACATCACCATGGCAGGGCAGGTGACACCACCAACATCACCATGGCAGGTGACACCACCAACATCACCATGTCAGGGGACACCACTAACATCACCATGGCAGGGCAGGTGACACCACCAACATCACCATGGCAGGTGACACCACCAACATCACCATGGCAGGTGACAACATCAACATCACCATGGCAGGGCAGGTGACACCACCAACATCACCATGGCAGGGGACACCACCAACATCACCATGGCAGGGAACACCACCAACATTAACATGGCAGGGGACACCACCAACATCACCATGGCAGAGGACACCACCAACATCACCATGGCAGGGCAGGTGACACCACCAACATCACCATGGCAGGGGACACCACCAACATCACCATGGCAGGGCAGGTGACACCACCAACATCACCATGGCAGGAGACACCACCAACATCACCATGGCAGGTGACACCATCAACATCACCATGGCAGGGCAGGTGACACCACCAACATCACCATGGCAGGGGACACCACCAACATCACCATGGCAGGGAACACCACCAACATCACCATAGCAGGGCAGGTGACACCATCAACATCACCATGGCAGCTGACACCACCAACATCACCATGGCAGGGCAGGTGACACCATCAACATCACCATGGCAGCTGACACCACCAACATCACCATAGCAGGGCAGGGGACACCACCAACATCACCATGGCAGGGGACACCACCAACATCACCATAGCAGGGCAGGTGACACCATCAACATCACCATGGCAGCTGACACCACCAACATCACCATGGCAGGGCAGGGGGACACCACCAACATCACCATGTCAGGGTGGGTGACACCACCAACATCACCATGGCAGAGGACACCACCAACATCACCATGGCAGGTGACACCACCAACATCACCATGGCAGTTGACACCACCAACATCACCATGGCAGGGCAGGTGACACCACCAACATCACCATGGCAGGGCAGGTGACACCACCAACATCACCAAGGCGGGGGACACCACCAACATCACCATGGCAGGGCAGGTGACACCACCAACATCACCAGGGCGGGGGTCCCACCACCATCCCTGACACAAATAGGAGACCCACCATCCCTGACACAAATAGGAGACCCACCATCCCTGTCACAACTAGGAGACCCACCAAGCCTGTCACAACTAGGAGACCCACCATCCCTGTCACAAATAGAAGACCCACCATCCCTGACACAAATAGGAGACCCACCATCCCTGACACAAATAGGAGACTCACCATCCCTGTCACAAATAAGAGACCCACCATCCTTGACACAAATAGAAGACCCACCATCCCTGACACAAATAGGAGACCCACCATCCCTGTCACAACTAGGAGACCCACCAAGCCTGTCACAACTAGGAGACCCACCATCCCTGTCACAAATAGAAGACCCACCATCCCTGACACAAATAGGAGACCCACCATCCCTGTCACAAATAGGAGACTCACCATCCCTGTCACAAATAGGAGACCCACCATCCCTGTCACAAATAGGAGACTCACCATCCCTGTCACAAATAGGAGACCCACCATCCCTGTCACAAATAGGAGACCCACCATCCCTGTCACAAATAGGAGACCCACCATCCCTGTCACAAATAGGAGACCCACCATCCCTGTCACAAATAGGAGACCCACCATCCCTGACACAAATAGGAGACTCACCATCCCTGTCACAAATAAGAGACCCACCATCCTTGACACAAATAGGAGACCCACCATCCTTGACACAATTAGAAGACCCACCATCCTTGACACAATTAGAAGACCCACCATCCTTGACACAAATAGAAGACCCACCATCCCTGAAACAAATAGGAGACCCACCATCCTTGACACAATTAGAAGACCCACCATCCTTGACACAAATAGAAGACCCACCATCCCTGAAACAAATAGGAGACCCACCATCCCTGTCACAAATGGGAGACCCACCATCCCTGACATAAACAGGAGACCCACCATCCCTGACACAAACAGGAGACCCACAATCCCTGACACAGATAGAAGACCCACCATCCTTGACACAAATAGGAGACCCAACATCCCTGACACAAACAGGAGACCCACCATCCCTGTCACAAATAGGAGACCCACCATCCCTGACACAGATAGAAGACCATCCATCCCCGACATAATTAGAAGACCCACCATCCTTGACACAAATAGAAGACCCACCATCCCTGACACAAACAGGAGACCCACCATCCCTGACACAAATAGGAGACCCACCATCCCTGTCACAAATGGGAGACCCACCATCCCTGACATAAACAGGAGACCCACCATCCCTGACACAAACAGGAGACCTACAATCCCTGTCACAAATAGGAGACCCACCATCCCTGACACAAATAGAAGACCCAGCATCCCTGACACAAATAGGAGAACCACCATCCCTGACACAAATAGGAGACCCACCATCCCTGACATAATTAGAAGACTCACCATCCCTGACACAAATAGGAGACCACCCATCCCTGACACAGATAGAAGACACACCATCCCTGACACAGATAGAAGACCCACCATCCCTGACACAAATAGGAGAACCACCATCCCTGACACAAATAGGAGACCCACCATCCCTGACACAAATAGAAGACCCACCATCCCTGTCACAACTAGGAGACCCACCATCCTTGACACAAATAGAAGACCCACCATCCCTGACACAAATAAGAGACCCACCATCCCTGACACAAATAGAAGACCCACCATCCCTGTCACAAATAGGAGACCCACCACCCCTGACACAAATAGAAGACCCACCATCCCTGTCACAACTAGGAGACCCACCAAGCCTGTCACAACTAGGAGACCCACCATCCCTGACACAAATAGGAGACTCACAATCCCTGTCACAAATAGGAGACCCACCATCCCTGACACAACTAGGAGACTCACCATCCCTGACACAAATAGGAGACCCACCATCCCTGTCACAAATAGGAGACCCACCATCCCTGACATAATTAGAAGACCCACCATCCCTGACACAAATAGAAGACCCACCATCCCTGTCACAAATAGGAGACCCACCATCCCTGTCACAAATAGGAGACCCACCATCCCTGTCACAACTAGGAGACCCACCATCCCTGACACAAATAGAAGACCCACCATCCCTGTCACAACTAGGAGACCCACCATCCCTGTCACAAATAGGAGACCCACCATCCCTGTCACAAATAGGAGACCCACCATCCCTGACACAAATAGGAGACCCACCATCCCTGACACAACTAGGAGACCCACCATCCCTGACACAAATAGGAGACCCACCATCCCTGTCACAAATAGGAGACCCACCATCCCTGACACAAATAGGAGACCCACCATCCCTGTCACAACTAGGAGACCCACCATCCCTGACACAAATAGAAGACCCACCATCCCTGTCACAAACAGGAGACCCACCATCCCTGTCACAAATAGGAGACCCACCATCCCTGACACAAATAGGAGACTCACCATCCCTGTCACAAATAAGAGACCCACCATCCTTGACACAATTAGAAGACCCACCATCCCTGACACAGATAGGAGACCCACCATCCCTGACACAAATAGGAGACCCACCAACCCTGACACAAATAGGAGACTCACCAACCCTGACACAAATAGGAGACTCACCATCCCTGTCACAAATAGAAGACCCACCATCCCTGACACAGACAGGAGACCCACCATCCCTGACACAAATAGGAGACCCACCATCCCTGACATAATTAGAAGACTCACCATCCCTGACACAAATAGGAGACCACCCATCCCTGACACAGATAGAAGACACACCATCCCTGACACAGATAGAAGACCCACCATCCCTGACACAAATAGGAGAACCACCATCCCTGACACAAATAGGAGACCCACCATCCCTGACACAAATAGAAGACCCACCATCCCTGTCACAACTAGGAGACCCACCATCCTTGACACAAATAGAAGACCCACCATCCCTGACACAAATAAGAGACCCACCATCCCTGACACAAATAGAAGACCCACCATCCCTGTCACAAATAGGAGACCCACCACCCCTGACACAAATAGAAGACCCACCATCCCTGTCACAACTAGGAGACCCACCAAGCCTGTCACAACTAGGAGACCCACCATCCCTGACACAAATAGGAGACTCACCATCCCTGTCACAAATAGGAGACCCACCATCCCTGACACAACTAGGAGACTCACCATCCCTGACACAAATAGGAGACCCACCATCCCTGTCACAAATAGGAGACCCACCATCCCTGACATAATTAGAAGACCCACCATCCCTGACACAAATAGAAGACCCACCATCCCTGTCACAAATAGGAGACCCACCATCCCTGTCACAAATAGGAGACCCACCATCCCTGTCACAACTAGGAGACCCACCATCCCTGACACAAATAGAAGACCCACCATCCCTGTCACAACTAGGAGACCCACCATCCCTGTCACAAATAGGAGACCCACCATCCCTGTCACAAATAGGAGACCCACCATCCCTGACACAAATAGGAGACCCACCATCCCTGACACAACTAGGAGACCCACCATCCCTGACACAAATAGGAGACCCACCATCCCTGTCACAAATAGGAGACCCACCATCCCTGACACAAATAGGAGACCCACCATCCCTGTCACAACTAGGAGACCCACCATCCCTGTCACAAATAGAAGACCCACCATCCCTGTCACAAACAGGAGACCCACCATCCCTGTCACAAATAGGAGACCCACCATCCCTGACACAAATAGGAGACTCACCATCCCTGTCACAAATAAGAGACCCACCATCCTTGACACAATTAGAAGACCCACCATCCCTGTCACAAATAGGAGACCCACCATCCCTGACACAGATAGGAGACCCACCATCCCTGACACAAATAGGAGACCCACCAACCCTGACACAAATAGGAGACTCACCATCCCTGTCACAAATAGAAGACCCACCATCCCTGACACAGACAGGAGACCCACCATCCCTGACACAAATAGGAGACCGACCATCCCTGACACAAATAGAAAACCCACCATCCCTGACACAAATAGAAGACCCACCATTCCTGACACAAACAGGAGACCATCCATTCCTGACATAAACAGGAGACCATCCATCCCTGACACAGATAGGAGACCATCCATCCCTGTCACAAATAGAAGACCCACCATGCCTGACACAAATAGGAGACCATCCATCCCTGACACAAACAGGAGACCCACCATCCCTGACACAAATAGGAGACCCACTGTCCATGACAGATACACCAACACCAGGCTAACCACTGTTCCTGTTTAAAAGTATATCCAAACCCATACACATTGTTCGTCCTTAAGGCATCCCCTGAGATGCTGCTGCAGAAGATTTGGGTCAACCCTGTCAGTGAACATGGGCAGAATTCCCTCCATTTTCTTTTTCTTGTTGTCATCAACTTCAACGGGATACTGAAAATGAAAGAAAGTAAATACAGAATAAAATATGTCCCGGTTCTGTTTTGCTTGTAGTAAGAAGTAACTAACTGGACAAGGAAATAGGTCCCTGGCAACCTATGCTTGATGTAAGAGAAGTGGATCGGGTGGTCAGGCTTGGTTGATTGCATGTCATCTTATCCCAACCGCGAGAATCAATGCTCGATTATTTACCAATCACAAATAGCGGAAATATTGTTAAACAATATAGTTTAACTACAAACAAACAACAACAAAGTCCTAGTAATATGTTTCGTGATACTGAGTGAGTTGGGTCTAACGCCAATTTGAATAGTATCCCAAATATATCATCGCATGTCAGCTTGATGTGGGAGAAAAGTCAGAAGTGATGCATGTCTCAGACATTATCCGCTTTGGTGAAACCCACGAGCACGGGTATGATGCTGACAAACCTAGAAAAATAATAGGGATAAACCAGGATTTGAACCCACAACCATAGGTTCCTGGTGCTCCCAAGGGACGCAACTAAACACAGCGAACTGTGGCACCTCAGACAATTGGGCCACCCGTGCCTCCATGCTTATTTACAATGTCTTGATGATTAAAAACTTGTCTGTAAAGGAGCCATATTTCATCCAGGGGTTTGACACAAACACAATACAGATAGTAAGTATAGGTCAATGGCTTGAGAACCTTGTACTATCAGGAAACTGCCTTCAACCATTCATGTTCCTGCCATCTAAATGTCCCACTTCTCAGTCATATTATTGTCTTGGACTCATTACCATCCTTGTGTCACAACGGGGCGGTCGGGTAGCCTAGTGGTTAAAGCGTTCCCTCTTCACGCCGAAGACTCGGGTTCGATTCCCGACATGGGTACAACACATGAAGCCCATTTCTGATGTCCCCTGCCTTGATATAGCTGGAATATTGCTAAAAGCGGCATAACTCCATACTCACTCACTCAATTTCAATTTAATTTTATATTCACTTACGTGGCATAAACTATATTCACTGAAGCATGCATCCCATTATACACACGCGAAAGGCATCATTATTATTACTGATGGTATCAATCGCCAAGAAAGGCTGAAAGGTTGAAAGGTGGAGTAAAACCATGCTCACTCACTTTTGTGTCACAAAGTATCGTGATGCAACAATGCATGCCTGGTGCTTTACAGATATTTTAATCAATAGTTCAGAACTGTTTCCACATGAAGCAGGACATTTGACCAAGAACACTGCTCCTGCAAACTCACCGGTTTTTCTTTGGATTTCTTTCTCTGTTTGCGACGGGTGTTTGTAGTAATGACCTCTCTGTCACCATGACTACGCCTTACATGATCTGGAGTTGCCCGAGAAGATGGAGGTTGTTCCATCCCAGCTTCCCCACCTGTCCCTCTCTGGTTAATAACCTGGTCCACATTTCTTGAGCTAGTTCCTGATCTGCTGCTTTTAGGTGGTTTCTTCTTTGGACTTGTCTTCAGAGGTGGACCAATGCTGTCTATACGACAGTGGGGTGGAATGGAGTCATGGCTGTCCATGTCTGGTGGAAGGTACTCTTGACCATGCTGACCACTGAATGAACTGACTGCTTCCCCGTGTCCAGCGCTAACTTGGCCAACTGCGGACCTCCCAGACCTGCGATAGTTCCTCCTGTCCTCTTGTAGCGGTTCTGATGTTCTGGAAGTGTGATAGCCTGACGATGAATCAAGTAAATTTGAACTTTCTAGAGTCGGTACTGAAAGACTTGACAATTGACTGCTGTTGTAATCCTGATCACGTTCTATTCCATCCCCGTCCCAGTTGTCATCAGGTCCCATCTGTGAATGGTCTGGGTTTGCCACGTGGAGACTGTCGTGATCGGAACTATTGCCATGTTGTGGGTGGGATGATGGGATCGCTGGTACGGGTTGTTTGGTCAAGCTTCTTCTTGCTCCCCAGGTCCATGGGGCAGGTTCTGCAGGGTACCCCTGATGTCTCTGTTCTCCCCAGGTCCGTGGGGCAGGTTCTGCAGGGTACCCCTGATGTCTCTGTTCTCCCCAGGAGGTGTTCCCTGGTCTGAGATGATGGGTGTTCATGTTCCCTTGATCAACCACCAAGTCAGGTACCATAGTGTGTCTGTGTTGTTCTGCATCAACCAAAGGCCTACCACTCTGTCCAGGACGGGCGTGGTGGTCAGCAGCCACATCCACACCCAAACAGTTCGGTACCACACCATGTACGTAGGGTCGGGATTCAGCCAATGATCTGCTTCCCTGTCCACTGTTAGCATTGCTGCCGACTTCCCCATCCCCCCCAGGGGCGAGACTTCTTGCACGTGACCCATGGCTGTAAGGGATTATGTTGTCACTAGCATCCTGTGTCGGCTGTGATGGTGGCAGATGTATCCTTGACAGACCCAAATCCACCTCCTTTCGATCACTGTCCCTCATCCCACCACCTTCCTCATCCCACAGCGTGACTTTACCACCAATGTCACTATCTTCATTTCCAGTAGTTTCAAAGTCCATTGTTTGTCCCACTTGTGGTATTCATTCTCTTATAGTCAATCTATTCTGGCAAAATATACAATCTTAGTTGTAAATTGGGACCCATTATGTAGAATTAACACTTAACTTTTTTAACATATTTACGTAGATACAGAGACCATATCATAAAGGTGTACTAAAAATAGGGATTATGTAGAATTAACACTTAACATTTTGAACATATTTACGTAGATACAGAGACCATATCATAAAGGTGTACTGAAAATAGGGATTATGTAGAATTAACACTTAACTTTTTTTAACATATTTACCACAGGCCCCTGAAGCATGATAGTGATATAACTGAAACAGTGGACCCATATATATAAATAGACTATATCTATATACATGTGTCCACTGTTTCAGTTATATCACTACCATGCTTCAGGGGCCTGTGACAGAGACCATATCATAAAGGTGTACTGAAAATAACAATTAAGTAAACAAACGGTTATAAACATTTGCTCTATTTTGGTATCATTAACAATATCAAATCGGAAGATACGTGTTTCCGTTAAATGAAATCTCACCTTTTCTTCGTACCTGCCAAGGGCGTCATTTGATCTATTTATAGTATCGGTTTTACCAAGGGGATTCCCCGTCAGCTACAATCGCTTCAAATTTCTCCAGGACGACGACAAGAAATGAAAACATGATATAATAAGTGGACTTAATAAGCGACTTGATCAATAATAACCGTTCATATGTATGTTTTGTTTCCTTTTCTATCACTGCATTTGTACACAGCGACCTCCATGTTTGCGATTCACCGTGTATCCTCAAAAGCGAAAGCTACTTTGAGACTGAGCTAAATTTGTAGCTCCACGCAGAGTAGAAAACTTTTCGGCACTGCACGAAGTTTATAACCTAATTTATAGTCGGCTCCATTCACAGAGTGTTCTATTACAGAGGCCACACATTCAGAACTGTTAATACAGCAGCCATAGTGCACACCCAGTTGCCATAACGGTCGCCTCTTACACATTGCAGAGCAGAGTTATGTACCGATACAAAGAATATGCGTGCATTATGGTAAAAAATCTGTAGCAGCAATTTTATGCATCATTTTAAAATGACATTTTCTTCTCTAGTTTTTAATGATCATTTTTTTATTATCATTACAATAATATTTGCGGTATTTTGCTTCAACCATGGTAGTTTGGTCTCCAGATACGGTTGGTACATCTGGTGGTTTGGTCGATATGTATGGGTGGTACATCCGGTGGCTTGGTCGATATGTACAGGTGGTACGTCTGGTGGTTTGGTCGATATGTACGGGTGGTACGTCTGGTGGTTTGGTCGATATGTACGGGTGGTACGTCTGGTGGTTTGGTCGATATGTACGGGTGGTACGTCTGGTGGTTTGGTCGATATGTACGGGTGGTACGTCTGGTGGTTTGGTCGATATGTACGGGTGGTACATCTGGTGGTTTGGTCGACGTGTACGGGTGGTACGTCTGGTGGTTTGGTCGATATGTACAGGTGGTACGTCTGGTGGTTTGGTCGACGTGTACGGGTGGTACGTCTGGTGGTTTGGTCGATATGTACAGGTGGTACGTCTGGTGGTTTGGTCGATATGTACAGGTGGTACGTCTGGCTGTTCGGTCGATATGTACAGGTGGTACGTCTGGTGGTTTGGTCGATATGTACGGGCAGGTACATCTGGTGGTTTGGTCGATATGTACAGGTGATACATCTGGTGGTTTGGTCGATATGTACGGCAGGTACATCTGGTGGTATAGTCGATATGTACAGGTGGTACGTCTGGTGGTTTGGTCGATATGTACGGCAGGTACATCTGGTGGTTTGGTCGATATGTACGGGTGGTACGTCTGGTGGATTGGTCGATATGTACAGGTGGTACGTCTGGTGGTTTGGTCGATATGTACAGGTGGTACGTCTGGTGGTTTGGTCGATATGTACAGGTGGTACGTCTGGTGGTTTGGTCTCTAGGTACGGGTAGTACATCCGGCGGTTTGGTCGATATGTACGAGTGGTACGTCTGGTGGTTTGGTCTCTAGGTACAGATGGTACATCTGGTGGTTTGGTCGATATGTACGGATGGTACAACTGGTGGTTTGGTCGATATGTACAGGTGGTACGTCTGGCGGTTTGGTCGATATGTACGGGTGGTACATCCGGCGGTTTGGTCGATATGTACGGATGGTACATCCGGCGGTTTGGTCGATATGTACAGGTGGTACATCCGGCGGTTTGGTCGATATGTACAGGTGGTACATCTGGTGGTTTGGTCGATATGTACAGGTGGTACATCCGGCGGTTTGGTCGATATGTACGGGTGGTACATCTGGTGGTTTGGTCGATATGTACAGGTGGTACATCCGGCGGTTTGGTCGATATGTACAGGTGGTACATCTGGTGGTTTGGTCGATATGTACAGGTGGTACGTCTGGTGGTTTGGTCGATATGTACAGGTGGTACGTCTGGCGGTTTGGTCGATATGTACGGGTGGTACATCTGGTGGTTTGGTCGATATGTACGGATGGTACAACTGGTGGTTTGGTCGATATGTACGGGTGGTACATCCGGCGGTTTGGTCGATATGTACGGGTGGTACATCCGGTGGTTTGGTTGATATGTACGGGTGGTACATCCGGTGGTTTGGTCGATATGTACGGGTAGTACGTCTGGTGGTTTGGTCGATATGTACAGGTTGTACGTCTGGTGGTTTGGTCGATATGTACGGCAGGTACATCCGGCGGTTTGGTTGATATGTACGGGTGGTACATCCGGTGGTTTGGTCGATATGTACAGGTGGTACGTCTGGTGGTTTGGTCGATATGTACAGGTGGTACGTCTGCAGGTTTGGTCGATATGTACGGATGGTACAACTGGTGGTTTGGTCGATATGTACAGGTGGTACGTCTGGTGGTTTGGTCGATATGTACAGGTGGTACGTCTGGCGGTTTGGTCGATATGTACGGGTAGTACGTCTGGTGGTTTGGTCGATATGTACGGGTGGTACATCTGGTGGTTTGGTCGATATGTACAGGTGGTACGTCTGGTGGTTTGGTCGATATGTACAGGTGGTACGTCTGGCGGTTTGGTCGATATGTACGGGTAGTACGTCTGGTGGTTTGGTTGATATGTACGGGTGGTACATCCGGCGGTTTGGTCGATATGTACGGGTGGTACATCCGGTGGTTTGGTCGATATGTACAGGTGGTACGTCTGGCGGTTTGGTCGATATGTACAGGTGGTACGTCTGGCGGTTTGGTCGATATGTACAGGTGGTACGTCTGGTGGTTTGGTCGATATGTACGGGTAGTACGTCTGGTGGTTTGGTACATATGTACGGGCAGTACGTCTTGTGGTTTGGTTGACGAGTACGAATTGATAGTATGTCTGGTGGTGTGGTTGAGGGTTACGGGTTGATATGCCCCGTGGTTTGGTTGACGGTTACGAGTGTATGGTATGCCATGGTATGGTATTGTTTGTAACCACTCGTCGCACGTCCACAGTCGCATCACTTATCATTGTGTCACTGATGCAGGCCGCCGTAATCTAGGTGAATCATTAGATGCGGCGTCAACCGACGAAGGTTCACTTCCACTTCACGTTCTTATGATATGAGTATAGATATAACCGTTTTTGCAGGAGAGGTTTCACTGTCAAAGTGATAAATCTACATAAAATCACACATAATGTTGTACACACACACACACACACACACACACACACACACACACACACACACACACACACACATATAGATATATATATGACTTACAATTGTAATTATTCAGGGTTTTACCTTGATCCTGGAATGAATCACTGATCATGCGGACAGCGGTCAGGACTGATAGATGACGTAACAGATGCGCTGTATTCGATGTTCTTTATTCATGAAGAATGTAGGCCTCCGGTCCGTGTTCATACAGGTGGTCAGTCAGCATATAACATATGTAACAATAGAAATAATCAGTCAAATTGGATCTTTCTAATGCAACTTTTCATAACAGATAAACATAGTCAAATGTCTACATCGGATCGGACCCGTGAAGATCCCGGGGTAGAATAGGTCTTCAGCAACCCATGCTTGCCGTATAGAAAGCGACTATGCTTGTCGTAAAAGGCGACCAGCGGGATCGGGTGGTCAGGCTCGCTGACTTGGTTGATACATGTCATCGATCCCAACTGCGTGGATCGATGCTCATGATATCAATCACTGGATTATCTGGTCCAGACTCGATTATTTACAGACCGCCGTCATATAGCTGAAATATTGCTGAGTGCGGCGTTAACCAACCAACCAACCAACGTTTGATGCCAAAGACATATGTAATATTACGTGTAGGGTGTGATATAAAATGTAGTAGGTATGTACTGATCACGCAACGTTTTATACCAGACACAAACCATCATAAAATGATTTTCGTCATCGACGTAACCTTTCTTACAAAGTGTGCGCAACTTTTATCTCCATGGTTACTAAAATACCTGCCTGTATGCATTAATGTGCGACCCTCGGGACGCAATATATTTTTTCTGCGTCCATTTTCTACTTTTGTGCGCCGCGTTAAACCCTGAATAATTAATACAATTTAACCATTTTTTTTTAATAAACGTATCAGATCGGATTATGCTGTTATGCCATTGCATGCATTTGGATGGTGAAAACAAATTCTCGCTCACCTGGGAATATCACTACGGATAGAAACTAAACACGTTTACACGTCAAAGTTTTCTTCGGGAAAATTTAACTTACTCACCTATAACGCGATGCATATATCATCTTCTATACAATATTATGTCATAATCTGCATGCACTGTATGGGTTTACCCAATGCATATTGCAGATCATTACACTGCATCGCGATAAAAGCAGCCGTAAGCTCCTGACAGCCTATGCAGTGTGGAGCTTTTTTAGCCTGGTCTCTAGTGTATTCTGTTGAATTTCTCTACCTCAATCTGCACCGACAGCATGGGTGGGTATTTCCTATGCGCTGTCCGATCCTGAGAGGGACGCATATCTTATTATATCATTCGCGACGCAAGTGGTGTACGAGGTAAGAATGAGTATCATATATATTTTCACGTGTCAATAAACATTGAAAACTATGCTGAATGTACTGTTCACTTCCAAATGCAAAGACATCTATTGCTATTCTTTTAAAGGAACGTAATTTACCGTAGTTCCCATGATTGTGCTGTGAACTGAACGTATGCTTCTGTATTGGGGAATACGGAAAGGACACTCGACCCGACTGTTGATCACGATGAACATTGTGTCGTTCAGACATTAGGCAATATTTTGTTCGCGCACAGGTTAGTTAACGCTGTCAAATATTCTTTTTCGTGGTACTACGTACATGTATTTAAACTGGTGTACACAAGTCTGGCAACTTAGCCCTGTCTGTTTTTCAAACCAGTCGTATTATATTTACATCTTCAGAGAGGAAATTTAATATTTTACATCTGTGGGTAATTTCGCAGTCAGAGGTATACCCAGTGTCGAGCGACCACAATTCTAGCACATGAAACGCATTATCTCAACCTTAGTCTTAGAGAAATTCAGTTCACACGTTCATCAATCATTCTGATACCGTATATATATATCGTCATAGACATGAATTAATATGTTCCAATTTTATACCGGGATTCCTTCTCAGATGGACGTTTACAAGAGGATGAAGCAGGTTATAAATGCCAACTACATGCCACTTCTAGCTGAATTAGACCCCGGTCTTATTGCTGCACATTTGAAGAGTGTTTTATCTGAGGGGGGAGCGGATCATTATGAGGTTAGTAAATACCTGTACTTCTACTGCTACTAATAATCAGACCCCTGAAGATCTGGGTAGAGAATGAGTCGTAAGAGGCGACTGACGGGATCGGCTGGTCAGACTCGCTGACTTGGTTGATGCATGTCATCGTATCCCATTTGCGTAGATCGATGCTCATGATGTCAATCACTGGATTGTTTGGACCAGACTCGATGAGTCGTCTCTTACGACAAGTATAGTCGCCTTTTACGGCAAGCATAGGTTGCTGAAGACCTATTTTACCCGGATCTCCATGTTTCCGAGTGTGTCGTTAAACACACACACACACACACACACGTAAACACACACACGTAAACACACACGTACACAATGGACGCATGTTTGAATCATCAGGTAAGCCCTGTTGACCACACACATATTTGTCTCGACACCAAAAACTCCCTGGCTGTAGGGAATATTGCATACCTGCCATATATTCACTGTGTTGAATCCATTGGGGTTCCGGATTGGAATATGCCCCAATGCGACCTATGCTAGTCGTAAGAGGCGACGCTAATAGAGATTAATACACGAGTGTCTGTCGGATACCATTTATCTTACAACGAGTGTTTCAAAACGTATCTAACGAGCGAAAGTGGTATCTGACACAACGAGTGCAGTAATCTGTTGCTTACACACCCTAAAATCGCAGCTTTAACATCGCATTTTGTCTATGCCCATGATCGCAGTTGCGCATTAATATACAACAAAACCGCCATTATTGACGTCACCGGACGTACTGCTTACTAGGGGCCACGGGTGGCCCAGTCGTCTAAGGCGCCGCGATTCGCTGTGCAGAGTTGCGTCCCTTGGGCACGCCAGAAACCTATGATTGTGGGTTCGAATCCCGGTTCGCCCCAATTATGTTTCTAGGTTTGTCAGCACCATACCCGTGCTCGTTGGTTTCACCGTGGGTAAACGTCTGAGACCTGCATCACTTCGGGCTTTCCTCCCACATTAAGCTGACACGCCGCGATATAACTGGAATAGTGTTAAAAGCGGCGTTAAACCCAACTCACTCACTCACACTACTGCTTACTACTCATGTCCTGTGGTCAGGTAAGGTAATTTAGCGTATCAACGTACCCCAATGGCGTGGGTCTTTGGTCACAATATCAACCACTGGATTGTGTGGTCCAAACTTGATTATTTACAGGTCGTCGTCATATCGCTGGAATATTGCGGAGTGCAAACAATATACCTCTATACAGTGTTTTCATACCGTAATTTGTTTGTCAGCGTTGTTTCTTGATTTCCAGCAAATAACCTTAAAAGGGACCAGACAGGCACAGTGTGCCACCCTTTTGGACGTTATTACGCTGCACGACAAATGGTGGACCCACTTCGCTGAAGCTCTAAAGAAATGCGGGAAAAAAACTCTAGCCTCTCTTTTCACAGGTATTTAGACATCAGTTAATGCGCTGCCGTCCATGTACATACAAGAGGCGGTACACCATGTGTGTAATGACTGATTGATTTGTAGTTGTCCATGATCCAAAGTTGGAATATCAACCGTTGTCACAGATGCCTCGCCAGACCATAATTCGGATAGACGAATTATATAATACTGCTTATCGACACCTTTGTATTTCTTTGTAAAAACAATCTTGTTACAAGAGACAGAAATTATTTGCCGACTGAGTTTCCGTATCTTAACTACCTTACATATGCGAGCCTTAAGCGACGTACATAGGGAAATATACTTGACAACACGATTGTAATAGTATCTCATTAATGTATGTCTATCACAATAATCATTTCCAGTGATATTCTATTGTCTATTAATTGTGTCATAAGGATTTCACGCTCGCCTGAGTAATACCTTTGGAGTCAGATTCATATTTTATGTACTGATGTTGAGAATTGAACTCGGACCAGACGTTGAACTCACATGTTGCTGGTTGGATGTTATTCGGTTGTCCATCCTTCAACACTAACCGGCTGCTGGAAACGTCTGAATCATTGTAAGATTAATTTATCCATCCAGTAGTGACATGTCGCCCATTTGGTTTCAGAGGAGCTGAAAAAGATAGAATCACATAAAGGAAAAATGACCAAAAGAAATCGACACACAACAACACACAACAGACACGAAAGCAAGACAGGGCTCACTGATACTGACTCGGCCTTTCCTTCTGCATGTCATTCACCAGTCTTGCTATCTTCCCGCAGCCGTCGAGGGTCAGATGATGGGTCCATGGCGAACTCAGCGGACAATGATAAAACTGAATTCCCCGTCAGACCAAGTCTAAATGGTGCTGCTGGCTGTGGACGGAACCTAGCCTCTGGACAAACAGATTTGTCTGTTGCGATGGCACAAAACAGAACAAAACAGACAAGTTCTGACAATTTGCAATGTACGTATACACTAGACACACCCTTGGGAAAAGCTCCTGGAACATTTATCACGAAGTTGTACCGACATCTAGATTCTGAAACCAGGATGGGAAACTACAAGGATCTAGCTGGTGAATTAGGTAAATATCTTGAATGACTCATTCTTTCTCTCAGCTTTTGAATGTCTGTTGTATGGCAAACTAGAATTGACAGTAACATGTGCACAAACTTTACATGTAAATATATATGTTATAGAAGGGTCGAGGGGATACACTGTTACATGCTCAAGGTGTAGGTAAGACATTCAATGACGAAAATAGAATGATAAATGATAAAGTGTTGGGCGAGAAGTACATATTGTGTGAAGATTCTTGAGTATTTGTCTTTATTTGTACAAGGAACCAATCATTTAGAATTCAAGGGGAGGATATTGAATTTTTTTTTTTTCAACAAAATACCTTTTCGGTTCCATGCTGCAAGACACAAAGGAAATCAGGAACTGAGCAAGATCATTTTCACAACACAATTGTAAAATCAAAAACAAAAACAAAAGTTTTTTCCCAGTATTTGGGTAATATATTCTTTTTTTTCAAAATAATCTCAGGGGGTACAGTGCCGGTAGTTCTTTATGATGACTTACCAAATTACTTATTTACATTTACAGGGTTTACACTTGACGAACTCTCAGCCCTTGTTAACACAGAGGGTGTTATTCAACGTTTCTCACAAGCACATCCCAAGAAGGCAACGTTTCGTTTCCTCATGGAAGCTCTCGATAAGTTAGAGAGAAAGGATGTTTTGGAGGACATCCGTAGGCTCACAGGCCTGGTTCTTCAAGTACAAGATCAAGAGGAACTAAATGGAACATCTAACTCAACCAGGACATTGGACAGAAACTGTGAGAGAATACCTGGAAAGGTTCCTGACATGTGCGGCGAGGTTCCTGTTGACCCAGGTGTGATCCCTTCTGATGTTACAAACGTTACACAGCAAGGTGGGTTTGGCCCACCCTCTAACATTAACCACAAAGACAAAATGGAATTCCATGGATCTGATGCAACCAAAACAAGCGAGACTATCAACATCCCGACCATGAAGACCGATCATGAAAAGACTTCTGAAAACAGAGTAGTTGAAGATGATTTAGACACTGCAGTTCATTTGGAAGAAACAGTGATAGCTGTGCATGGACATAAGGCGGGAGAGTACCTTGGGGAACACGACAATAGAAAAATAACGGCTACTGATGGTATGTCAGACATACCAGGTAACATTGATGATGGGGCAAAACCTGTACCCATATCTAAGGTTTTATCTTGCTATTCTGTTACTGGGGCAAGACCAAAACTATACCCTGGTAGTCACGTTCCAGGAACAATATATCTTCCTCCTGAAACCATAAATGAAAGACCAACACTGAAGCAACTGTCATGTCGGGAATCCAACAATGAAGAAAGGTCTTCTCAAGGTGAAACTCACGCACCAAGCCTTGAGAACATTGACCATCGAGACCAGACCCAAGCGCCTTCTCATTGCAGCAAATTATCGCCAGGGTTGGCAAACATTCCCAACTTCAGTGATATACTTCCTACAAAGAAGGAAAGAAATGAAAACGTTGCTTTAGAGGAAAATCATTCATCTAATGCACCTACATACACCCACTGCATTTCTTGGAGTCAATATTCTGAAAATGCAAGTGTCCATGACAAACTTGCAAAGGAAGTCCTCGAGAAACAGGAACTCAGGGGTGGGCATCGCCTCGAGCGCCAAGGTTCGGATGGAAGGTCTGCAACCCCAGATAAAACACCCAGATACACTCATGCTAATCACACCAGGGGAACAGTTGGAGCAAATCAAGGACTCGAGTTGAGAAAAACACAGATGAACCTTGGTCCTTGTCTTCCAATTGACGACAGTGAGTCTGAATCGCCATCTATGTCAGGTACAGATGATGAACGTGGTGAAGAAATGGACACTGGAAAGGGCTCTTTGGGTAAAAGCGAAGGTTCGGTGATTCAACAGAGACAGATACCTGTTGGTGTGGAGAGACAAATGGCATCTTCCCTTCTCAAATGGAAACGTTGCTTAATGACATTAGCGATGCACGTACATGCTGGCATCAATACAAACACTCTGCCGAACTGGTACGCCTAGACAGGACAACCAGAGAGCTTGATATTTGATGTAATGAACACATTTCAGGTCATATCCAAAGGATGTGATGTATAGGTGGAATCTTTGCTTGAAAGTGATGCCACACGTGGTGGTGCGTCTAGATCTTAACGGCCTAAAACTCATCTTAGTCAACTCATGCCACCTGCTCTGGACACTGATGACCTAATTTATCATGGAATTGGGTATATTTTAGTCTGTTGGAAAGCTAGCTTAGTGTCATACTGTAGTTGTTAAAGGTAAGACCATGCATACGTTATACAGAGCTGGGACATCTTATAATGCTTGATACAGAAAAAAATTATATCTTGATACAGAAGAAATTCTGTGTCTTATCATTGTTGACAATTGTAAGGTGGTCTGACAAGTAGGGAGAAAGGGATAGGAATGCCATGCTTCAATAACTTGTCACTAAATATTCGTCGTCTTCATTTATATTTTTAAAATCCATTGACATTCAGTTTTAACATTGACTTACATATACCTTCATTTTGGCGGGCATTTTTGGGGAAATAAAAAGAGACCAGTGAAACTGCCTCATGTGTTTCAAATTTGGATATATTGGATATAAAATATATCCACAATACTATATCACAAGAGGGATGACTTCAACTTTCCAACAGTCAAATTTCTCTTCATGTCCAACAATTGTTCACCATCTCCATTGTCATTTATCACAACTCGAGCCATCAACCAGCTTCGTTTTTAAATTCGCGCCTTGACGATGGCACATCCGGGTAGGTGCAGCCTCATTCTGATGAAGCTGGGCTGTGGACCATCGCCTGTATACTGACGGGGGCACTAGATGAGTACCAGAACTGGATACTGTCAGTCAAGGTGCGTCAGTTTACCATGTATAATAAATTAATGACTGCTAATTATGCATTATAGTTTAATACTGAACGTAGGAGTGTCATTTGTTCTTGATCTGATAGTTATCCTGCATCGCAATCGTCACATATCCACTCTTAGTAATACCTATGTTTCGGATGAAGCCAGTTAGCTCACAGGAACTCGATGATAGCGAGTATAACATAATATATTCGTATAATGAAAAACAATCTCACCCCTCTATACACTGGGACCCCGTGGTACCGCGGCATTCATCGCATCGCGACATTAATGATTTCCGATAGGTCAAGCGGGACACGCCTCTTAGCGGTTGTCTATTAATGCAAATCAGTAACCAGGAAGTGCTCACTTCGTAAACAATTTCAATTTCCTCGGAATGTTCCGTCTGCTGTAAGTAAGGGGTTATTTATGCGTTGTTACTTGCAAAACATATCCCAGGCTACACAATCGTGTTCATATGTGGTCACCTTACCTCGTATTTATTTTAAACCAACAATCAAATCTCAACCCTAAGCTTCGCCGCCGAGGTAAACAAGAAAAGGGTTGGCCGGAAATAACGTCAATCTATTTGTAGGTACGTGTTACGTGATTGTCATTTCACCGCCCACAAATAAAAGCTCGGAGAGAGAGAGAGAGAGTCTTGACGGCGTGAAACATTGATCATTATCAGGTGTGTCTACCTGAGCCAAACCCTGTACAGGTCGTCGTGACATATCTGGAACACCAACGACTGCGGTGTTATCGACTAACAAAACGTCCCCTTATAGCTGAAGGTACGTTTGTTACAAAGTGTGACCTGGCTGATTGTGTAGGCCGTTGCTGGTGTATCAGCCGTCTGACAGCCTGGTCCAAAGGCCTTATATTTCTTTTACGTGTATCTGCAGTGCCACCATTTTGAGTTTTTAGTTTCAGAGAATAACCTACGATCTATGAGAAGTTACGGATTATCTGTCCAGAGTGTATTCATTCGGTGAAATGATTTGTATAAGTATCAAATATTTGTATAAGTATCACTTGTCCCCAACTCGTTTCAAATAAAACTGTTTTCTATACAGCTGGCTACGGCACTGTCTATCTATTACTCCATGTGAAGAAAGTATGAAGACAAACGTATAATGTGAACCTTGACGAGAAACTTGATACAAGTCAACCCAATGTTTTTGACGTCTTGCCAAATTTCAAGTTTGACCGTATTGATCTCAACCATGAGTGAGTGAGTAAGGTTTTACGCAGCTTTTGGCAGTATTCCTGCCATATCAGAGCTTCACACTTTGACCCATGTGGGAAATCGAACCCAGGCCTTCGTGGTGACTAGCGGGCTCTTTAACCACCAGGCTACCGAACCGCCGCTAGCAACAATGACTAAACTACCCATGTGCAAATATCGGAAGGTAATTACACTCCTTCTTTTCACTGTAACGTAATATGTAGTGGATATTTGTGTTTTCTTGTCAAACAACATATTCATATCACCGAGTGCCCCGACAATGTTGATATTTTCATGAGTAGCAGTTGAGATGAGATAAGATTTTGACAGGGAAACAAATGACCTATTTATTATGAATTCTATTACTGATGACATAGTGTCACCGAGGCCGGCTGACAGTAGTTCCGGCATGAACTGATATTTAACGCGAGCGAGAAAAAGCATTAGTTCACTGCTACAAACATAACGTATACCGCTGATGAAAAACAAACGCATGAACATGTCATTAGAGAACAGTTCAAAAGTTCGATGATAGATAACAATCTGAATTCCTTGAAGTGCAAGTATCATGAAAAATAGTACATCATTATGTACCCAGTATGATGTACAATACGATGCCCGAGAAAAAAGTATCAAAACGTTAAGTTAGTTCATGTTTCATTAGTTGTTGGGAGACCTGTGTTGTACATATTATACCGGTTATAGTAATGGATTCATCCGTGTGCGAAATACACATAATGTCGGAAGGCGCACGTTTAATCTCCAATAATAAGTTAGTAAGTAAGTAATGAATTCATGTATGTCACGAGTATGGCAAGTGGGGGCGTGTCAAGTGAATTATATAAGTTTAACATCGTACGATATTTTCCTTTTCAATTTTACGGGCGCGGGTTCCACACATACCAACACCCTCAGTCCGTGCCTTTATAAAGATATACATCGAAAGATTTGTGTAGACAATTAATCATAATTAACCAGAACGGTATTTTCTTACCTTCAGTCACCCATCTCCCAACAACATGTAACTGCGGTAGATTATTGCATAATGTGTGCCAGCAGTCAGTCCAGGGCCCACTTGCACAAAGCGATCTTAGCGCTAAGATGATCTTAACTCCCATACTTTAACATAGGCTTACAATAGTCTTAGCGCTAAGATCGTATCATAAAACACTTACTAGTAGCCATGTGTATAGTGTAAATGAACACGTCAGCAAGTGACGCGGATTCACAGAGTCTATGACATGCCGCTGCAACTGTAGTGCTATTTCAATACTACAACGGGATATTGTGATAAGTGAGTGAGTGAGTTGAGTTAAATGCCGCTTTTAACAGTATTCCAGTTATATCACGGCGTGTCAGCTTTATGTGGGAGGAAAGCCCGAAGCGATGCAGGTCTCAGACCTTTACCACTTCGGTGAAACCAACGAGCACGGGTATGGTGCTGACAAACCTAGAAACATAATTGGGGCGAACCGGGACTCGAACCCACAATCATAGGTTTCTGGCGTGCCCAAGGGACGCAACTCTGCATAGCGAATCGCGGCGCCTTAGACGACTGGGCCACCCGTGCCCCCGATATTGAGATAAGGAGAAAATATACTAACCAAACAAACCAATGTGCCCAAGATGGGGTTATCCTGATTATTTTCGCCGCTATTGTTGGTCACAGGTAGGTGTTCACTTGTACTTCTTCCGAAATCACCAGTTCATCTTCCGAGAAACATTCACGTTCCATGATAATTCGAAAACTATTGTCACTGTCTGAGTAGGACAAGTTGGGATCAGCATCCCGCCAAAAGAGAAGTAGTAAGTGCGATCGAAGCTTCATCCTTTTATACACAGATCAGTGAATATTTTGAACGAAGAATAGGTCTTCAGCAACCCATGCTTGCCGTAAAAGGTGAATATGCTTGTCGTAGGCGACTAACGGGATCGGGTGGTCAGGCTCGCTGACTTGGTCGATGCATGTCATCGATCCCAATTGCGTGGATTGATACTCATGATATCAATCACTGGACTGTCTGGTCCAGGCTCGATTATTTACAGACCGCCGTCATATGGCTGGAATATTGCTGAGGGCGTTAAACAACAAACCAACCAACCAAACACAGAATAGTCTCAGTGAATGAGTGGGTATGGTTTCACGCCGCTTTTAGCAATATTCCAGCAATATCACGGCGGGGGATACCAGAAATGGGCTTCACACATTGTACCCATGTCGGGAATCGAACACGGGTCTTCAGCGTGACGAGTGAACGCTTTAACCACTAGGCTACCCGACCGCGCCAGAAAAGTCTCACAGCAACATAAATGAAAGTACCAAAACGCGAACAATAAATTCAATTGAAGAAATAGTACGTTTCGCACAGTGTTTTCTCACCGAATAGTGACCTTAATTTGTGATGCGAATGGCCATTGTCACATTTCCGTTGTATATTTTAATCCTTTAATCCCACTCATACCCATGCCTGATTTTAATAAGCCAAACAAGTGACTTGAAGGGTCAATTCCGATATATTTTGAACAATTTATGTTTTTTGCAGACACTCAAACCATATTTTTTCCAATAGCACCTCAGTATGAGGCATGGGAGGGAGGGGCGGGGCTTGTGCGACCAAGTGTGCAATTTTAAGGAAATTTCCTCTAACAAGACCATATATTGAGCCTCTGTATATAAAACTCAAGGAATGAAGTTTTCAACTGGTCCCTGAGCAATGACATTCGTTTAGCCATATCAGTTGGTTCAATGTTTGACATAAAACCATCTGCTCATTCATTCGAACAATTGTTTCTCGTTTTCAGATGTCTTCCCGCGAAATGGGAAAAGTGATGGAGAAGGCTGTGAAAGGGGTATATAGGAAAGTAATTTACGGTATGGACCCATCAGTAATGCTCCCAATGATTCGTGAGACCGGAATTCTTACTGTGGATGGTTATGAACCGTACTGTGTAAGTATATTCTGTCCTATGGATACCATGTATAGCTGCTTGTGAGCACCCACACTGCATTTTCATGAGACGCATTAAAATATATCCACTACGTTTATATCAAAGTCAGTTCTTAAACAAATGTGAATGTTCACAATGCAATGTACTAACCACATACACCTGGAGAAAGAGTAATAACTAGAGAGTCAGAATCCTATGACGTCTTTACTGATTGCACATAAAAGAAGTCAACTTCTTCAGTGACAGGTACAAACATTTCATATTCAACTTCTATACATAACCTTCAAGGCTTTAAGCTGCGATAGTTGATATCACGTTGTTCTGTGTAAACAGGGGCAGTCAGTTGGCCTAGTGGTTAACGCGTTTGCTCGTCACGCCGAAGACCCGGGTTCGAATCCAGACATGGGTACAATGTGTTAAGCCCATTTCTGGTGTCCGCTACGTGATATTGCTGGAATATTGCTAAAAGCGGCGTAAAACCATACTCACTCACTCATCCTCTTTAGTTATCTCTCACATGAAATAGATTCTTGGGACCTTTTCTTCATTTCAGTCCCCATGTTAATAAGTGAGTGAGTGAGTTAATGCTTTAAATCACATCGGCAATATTTCAGCCATATCGTGTCGAGAAATTATACATTTTTAATACATATATTTAAACTAAATAAAAACTGTCATCGATGGGCAGTAAAATTTAAATGGATTCCTGGGACCTTTTCTTCATTTCAATCTCCACGTTAATGAGTGAGTGACTGAGTTAATGCTTTACGTCACATCGGCAATATTTCTGGCATATCGTGACGAGAAATTATACATTTTTAATACATATATTTAAACTAAATAAAACCTGTCATCGATGGACAGTAAAATTTAAAATTTAAATATTTAAACACCAGGGAACCTATCCCCACATTAATGCAACGAATCCGAACTGCACCTTCACTAGTTCGTATCGATTTCCATACAGCCATTCACGTATTACACATGCATAGCCATTAGGGAACACAGCCTCCGGGAAATCCTACGGTATGGTTTGTTTTTACAGCACAAAGTATTGGGTTCAGCTGAATATACGTCAATCAAATTTCATACTAAATGTATTTAAAACATTATTCACCATGGAAAATCGGATACAGAAATTGAAATTATTCTACTTGATATCTGATTACTCAACACAAACGCTGGTGTCGCCAACGTGAATACCATGGGATCATAGAGAAAGCGGAAGATATATTTTTATATTTTTTTACTTTTATTTTCTATCAAAGGATGAACTCAACAAAATGATTCAGCATGGAAGAACTATTGCGGACATAAACACGCGACTACTTGACATTCTGTTCACCCGAGACAAATGGTGGATTGTCTTCATCCGAGTCTGTGGACAATGTGGATACCAGGGCATCATACAGGCAATTGAAGGTATATCAGTTACACCGATGGGGGTACTATGAACCACTATCTGGAACCTGATTCCAATCAAGGTCCACACAATGGTAATCAATGAGACATAACTACCTGGATTGATATACATCCGGGTACTGTTGTTCAAAACAACATTAGCGCCACGACTGTCGTAAGTCTATGTTACGGTATGGGAGTTACGATCACCTTAGCGCTAAGATCGCTTTGTACAACGGCACCCAGGTGTGTTTCCAGACCGCATCAAACTTCCAAGCACTGCCAATTGGTTCCGTTTTAAACATCCGAAGAAACTATTTCGAAACCGAGAATTGCCTTTTTCCTATTAACATAAAAGGTTTGAAATAAATATTTTTCAAACTTCAAAAGTCCCAAGATAAGACTAATCTATAAACACATAATGTGAATGTATTACATGCAAGTAGTGTATGTTGACAGTTCCTTTGTATTCAGTTTCAACAAAGTGTTGTACTTGCAAAGATACTGATACATGAACATATACAGGTTCAAGTCCTTAGGTTTAATGTTTAGTGTATGATGTCTGTGTTTCTAACCCATATTTCAGAAAAGTTGACAGCAACTCAGCGATCTGAACTGCGATCTAGTACCAGGCAGCGAAGGGGTGAAGGAAGACGTGGGGGGATGTCACATTCAGACAGGAGACGACAGCGTCACCCTGACAAACCTTCAAGTGATTCAAACCAGTTCTCAGAAACCAACGCCATAGCCACGACACCAACCCTAAGGGAGGATCCTACACTGGGAAACATTACATTGGAAGGAGGTCAATGGGAAGCAAGATACGAGAACAGGAACAGCAGCATTGGTCCATCTCCTGGTCAGCCATATATGCTTTAGAATGCATTGTGTATTTCACAACAAATTGCATACTGTCTTCTCGAAAAGCCGTCTTCATTGTAGATGACCAAATGTTTTGTGTATTAAAAATATAATCACCATGGCAAACAAATAATGAAAACATATTTCGGTTAGATTTAATGTTCGTTGTATTCTCCAGTAGCTTATGGGTGTCTTAAGAGTGGGCTAACATAGATCAGATGGTCTGAGTCGATGACCTGCGCGAATAGGTGTTGTCATGCATGATGACAGGTACACCTAGTCACTACTTTGCCTGATCGCAACTCAAGTATATAACATACAGCTGGTATATTACTGACTGCGGACCGCCTCTGTGGTCTAATGGTAGAGCGTCCGCCCGACGGCGTCATACCAAAAGACGTAAAAAGATGGTACTTGTTGTTACCCTGTCTGGCGCACGGCATTAAGGGGCTAAAACAAGGACTGGTCGGCTCGGAGTCAGTATACTGTGTCTGAGTGGGGTATTCATGTTTAACTGCGGCATGGTATCTCAGTGACCTAGCACTATAAATCGGCATCAGTCCGGACTAGTACAAGCAGCCACACACATACATACACGTGCATGCACGTCGCTATTTAAGTGCAATATTCTTGGACGCGACGTTAAACCCCATTTCACCTCACCTACTGACTGCGGTGTTAAACAACACTCATGTATCTTGCTATTCCATTGTGTGAGTTAGCCACGAATGTTTTTTTTAATTATTGATGCAGTTCATGCAATCACTCACTCACTCACTCTGTTTCAGAATCGTTGATAGAAGCTCAACGCCCTCGACTACACATGCGAACACAAGTTCTTACATCGCAGAGCGGTAGTGAAAGGAGAACCAAAGGACAACAAGAATTGTCAGATTCATACAGCAGACAACAATTTGATCAAAATTCATGGGATTCAAACACCTTTTCTGAAACCAAGCCATTAGCAAAGGCATCGACGCAAAGGACAGATCCAACACATGGAACCATGCCTTTGGGAGGTGTTCAGTGGGAAGCAGGATACGACAACACACAGATGAACAGTGACATTGGTCGATCGCCTGGTCAGTAACACATTCCACATGAATGATGAGTTAACTGCTTATTCATAAATACCTCAACATTTTTACAGGTGTTTTCTTGAAAGGTTTCTTCTTCATACATAGATAACCAAAAGGTCTGTAGATAATATCATAGTTCTTGTAACAATAAAATACTTAAAATTTCAAACAAAGGTATTATTTTAACAATTTATTTAACAATTACTTGGTCACAATTACAAACATGTTATAAAGAATGATTTTTTTAAATTTCCAATCCAGGAAGTCTAATTGATGACGAGAAGAAATTCACTATCAAGAAGGAAACTATCCACTTTATTCAAAACATTCAAAGAGCAGAAAATAACTTTGAGGATGCGTTCAAAGATTTTACAATTTCAAAAAAGGATACTGACAAAATCAGTCCTAATTTTTGGAATATCCCAGTCCGTGCTAACAATGCGGTAGATCACAATTCGAATTTAACGACAGGAGGCGAATCAAACATGCACAAAGTCAGTAATCTCTCGTCGCTGGAGAATAACAAGCTCCAAAGCTACCCTGGAGAGGATGAGAGTGATACTCGTTCAGTCAACGATGATGCAACAATGGAATGGAACCATGAACCACACCCCAGTTTTCAAAACCACCCAATAATAGATAGTCACCACGACGACAGAGAATCGGAAGTAAAAGAGAAGGTAATGCAGAGTTCTCCCGCTATGGACGGATCTAACATGGCACCATATGTTAGTAATTTAATCATTCAGTCACAACTTGACCAGCAAAGAAAACATGAGGGTGCACCACTCGGTCAGGAAACTGTCACTGTTGAATATCAGAGCACAGAAGGCTTGGAAGTTGAGCCGCCAAAGGAGAAGGGGCGTCATCGTGTTCCATGAAGTCAGTATCATCATCCCAAGGAACATTATCATACAGAAAGTACAAGTGTAAAAAGCCACTTTGATGAGAAGACACACTGTGACCCCGAGTCCAAGGTGATCAACACCGAAATGGCCTACCAAGAAGAACCTGCGTTAGCTGGAACAGAAGCAGATTGTGTCACACCCCGCTTGTCAGGCCCTGTCGACGTGTCTGGAAACGCTTCTCCGGTTGGCAATATCCCACTTTTTGGACTGATCGAGGGGGAAACTTCACCGAATGTCATGTCTGACAGGCCGGGACATGACACACTACATATTGCAGGTAATGGTACATATTTGGCTGAACCATACAATGTGATGTCTGACAAGAAAAGGTCCAGTGGCAGCACCTGCACCCAACCAGTTAATGTCCGTCTAAATACACCCCAACAGGCCTACTCGCCCCTACGTGAAACGTCTGATGGGAGTGTACGCCTTTCCTCACACTACCATCCCAGCTTTGGCGATTCACCGGTACCAAACTATACTCACATTCAACCTCCAGTCCACATTGTGTCAATGTCGGAAACATCTGAACCACCCCCTATCCATGAGGCTTTAGCTGAGATGACACTGACCCGAATGATGGATGGAGCCAGTACAGAGACACCTCGTTAGTCCGGATCCTTCTAGGGTGTGGACACCGTCTTGCGTTCAGTGTTGGAACGTTACATCTATGCAGTAAGTCACACCAGGGATTCTGGGTGGAAGAGGTACCCTGCAACCGGTGCGTGTGACACGCATCCTAGTGGATCGGAAGGCCAGGATCAATGATTTGGTTAACCGTGTGTCATTGTAACCTCGTCGGTGTAAGACATTGCACATAATATCAATCACTGGGTTGTCTGGTCCAGACGCCATCGTTTTACAGGCCACCATCATATGCTGGAATATTGATGAGTGCAGTGTTAATTAGTAACGAAAAGTATAATGCGGGCGGGGTCACGAGATGGATGCAGATTGGGTATGAAAGATCACAAGATGACATGGGATCACTATCTCATGATGGTGCAGGGTGTCAACTGCTGCTTGGCAAGAAGGTGGGGATTCGGAAATGGCCGTCTGAAGAATTGTAGTTCATATATGTCTGTGGTGACTAGTGTAAAACAGCCCCAAAAGCGGAGGCGAACCTTGCGTTCAGCATGACACTGACGAACCTTGTGTTCAGCATGACACTGGCGAACCTTGTGTTCAGCATGACACTGACGAACCTTGCGTTCAGCATGACACTGGCGAACCTTGCGTTCAGCATGACACTGACGAACCTTGCGTTCAGCATGACACTGACGATCCTTGTGTTCAGCATGACACTGGCGAACCTTGTGTTCAGCATGACACTGGCGAACCTTGAGTTCAGCATGACACTGGCGAACCTTGTGTTCAGCATGACACTGACGAACCTTGTGTTCCTCATGACACTGGCGAACCTTGTGTTCCGCATGACACTGACGAACCTTGTGTTCAGCATGACACTGGCGAACCTTGTGCTCAGCATGACACTGGCGAACCTTGTGCTCCGCATGACACTGACGAACCTTGTGTTCCGCATGACACTGACGAACCTTGCGTTCCGCATGACACTGACGAACCTTGCGTTCCGCATGACACTGGCGAACCTTGTGTTCCGCATGACACTGACGAACCTTGTGTTCCGCATGACACTAACGAACCTTGTGTTCAGCATGACACTGACGAACCTTGTGCTCAGCATGACACTGGCGAACCTTGTGCTCCGCATGACACTGACGAACCTTGCGTTCCGCATGACACTGACGAACCTTGCGTTCCGCATGACACTGACGAACCTTGCGTTCCGCATGACACTGGCGAACCTTGTGTTCAGCATGACACTGACGAACCTTGTGCTCAGCTTGACACTGGCGAACCTTGTGCTCCGCATGACACTGACCAACCTTGTGCTCCGCATGACACTGACGAACCTTGCGTTCCGCATGACACTGACGAACCTTGCGTTCCGCATGACACTGGCGAACCTTGTGTTCAGCATGACACTGGCGAACCTTGTGCTCAGCTTGACACTGGCGAACCTTGTGCTCCGCATGACACTGACGAACCTTGTGCTCCGCATGACACTGACGAACCTTGCGTTCCGCATGACACTGACGAACCTTGCGTTCCGCATGACACTGACGAACCTTGTGTTCGAATGCAGGATTGGGGTCTTTGGTGAAAGGCCACGTCATAATAATTATCCCTCCAGTAATGTAGGATGAAGCTAACAGCAAGATGTATGGGAACAATGAATAAAACATTTAATATTCTTAGTGACCCACTCCCTTTGCTAATTATCGAGCTAGCTTCTATTTGTCATTTCTATTCTATTACCTATTTCCATTCTATAACCAATCAGTGCTAATTACCCTCGGTATCCCATTTGCCCATTGTCTATAACCAATCAGTTATAAATGAAGTGTTGGCTTCCACTGCTCATCACCTATCAGCGCCAATTGTTTGTTGGCTTTCCTTGTTAAGTTTCCTCCTTTGTTGATCTTATTACTTTTGTTGTTCTTACAGGTACATACATACATACATACATACATACATACATACATATTCTCTGCCCCATATCATTTATTTACCTGATGAAGGAGTAAGTAAGTGTTCCTCCCAATAAAGATGTTAACATCCATAAATTCTCTTCCTTATGTGTATCACTTCTAAATGTCTTTTGAAGACTTGCCATACCCTGACACATCATTAAAAGTGGTGAACACGTAACTCGCTCACGAAAAGAAACGCGAAGACAGCTAAATTAACAGCTTTATCCTTAAAATGTGTATATAATGCATAAACATGTTGTTAGAAATGACACTGTTACTTCAGATACCGCAACTTTTGACACTGCGAAAAATTCAAGCATTTCATCCCGAACTGTTGTGGAGTTTAAGGAGTGTTTTAAACGTATCGAGATTCAGTTGTCTTCTGAAGTGTTTTTACATTGAACCATTATCTTATTCCGCACATTCAAACTTATATCAAAGATGGGTAAATTTATTTTTAACATCGTTGTTAACAACGATGTTATTAAAGCTTGGTGTGAATATTTTAGAAAATATGAATTAGACCTTTCGCTTATTGAAAACATTATGAATCAACCATTATGTTTAAACCACTACTTAAATTCCCCAAAGTTTTTCATAAAAGATTGGTATAACAAGAGTATTTGGTCCCTAAAACATATATGTCAGGGAAATAGATTTACTCCATTTGAAATTCTAAAAGAAAGATACAATATTAAAGGGACATTTTTGCATTATGTTCAACTTATTTCAATTATTCCCCAAACATGGAAAACAGCAATTAAAAAACAATTTGATGTAGATTTATACTTTGACATGTATATTCTTCCATGTTATCAGGACTTATTGATTTGTAAAAAACGTTCAATACTTTTTTATGATAAACTTGTTTTTTCTGACTCACAACCTAAAATATGTAAGAAATTGGAGATTGAATTTGGTAAATGCTTAGAATGGGCTAATTTTTTTTGTCTCTTTTAGAAAAGACATTAGAGATGTAAAAGCGATAGATTTTCAATTTAGATTCCTGCATGGAATGATATATTAAAAAAAAGAACTATATAAAATGAAACTTGTCGATGATGATTTATGTGAATTTTGCAAGATAGAGAAAGAAAACTTGATGCATGTATTTAATGACTGTGAATATGTGTTCGAATTCTGGCATAACTTGGAGTCTTTTTTTAATTCTGTTGGAAATTGTGATGTACTTTTTACAAGATTTAATGTATGTTTTGGTGAAATAAGTGCAAAACCTGCAATTAATCATATTATTATGTTAGCTAAGAGACACATTTTTATTTCTAGTTTAAATAAAAGGAAACCCTCAATGGACGTTTTTAAACAAGTATTAAAAGATGCTATCTATTTGGAATATCTGTCAGCAAAATCTAATAATAAGCTTTGCACTTATAACAGAAAGTGGAAATGGTATTGTGGTTTACATGATGCCTTGAATCTTACATAGATTGCTGACTGTGTTATTATTGATTGTTTCCAATCACTTTGACTCTATTGCCAAAGAAACACTGCAATGTTTCTCCAAGATAATGATTACAATATTATAGTTTGGTATTGTTTATTCTTTTATTATTAGCTTATCTTTCTATGATTGCTAATAAATATGGTGTTAACAACTTTCATGACGGAACATCTTGCTCGATCCTACAAGATCAAGGCCTATCCTCCAAATATGCTGTGTCAAATTGTTAATAATGCTATACATGTATATATCACTGTGTATGTAACCACTGAAACTGGAATAAAAATGATTGGAAAAAAATTAATTCTTTTTAACATTGCGTTCAAGACAATTGCACTTATATAGCGTTGGGTATACACGTGTATTAGTGTGGATGCTATCAATAGTCCGGACTTGTGCCGGTCTCACCATTTTTGCAAACACTTGGAGGCATCACTGATTTTCAGTCATCCATTCATATAGTTTTGATCGTTCTTCTGCCTGTTGCGCCCAATGGAGTTTTGAGTTTTGGTGGATGTTCGAAACTGATTGTTCTCTAGCGTCGACGTTTTGAATTTAAAGTGCTAGCCCACTGAGACTCCAAGCCAAACAGTTCTTGTGGTACCACCTAATTCCGAGCGCAAAACATGGAAACAACAGGTATTACCTTCCAACGTCATTTAGGAATACGCGGCCAGGGGATTCGACCCACCAACCCTCCGCTCTTCTCCCGGGCGGTGAATTGATGTCAAAAATATAATGCAAGTGCGTGAGATCGTGCACATTGTACGTACACATACCTTGCTGATCACGCCCTGTAGAGAAAGATTGAGCGGTTATTTGCGCTGTCACTGTCAGTTGTCAACTGCATAAATGACAAGATGTCGATGATCGCGAGGCGTATTCTATCAACCGCTGCATTGCAACTATTCCATAAAATCTCATCTCGGCAAACTAAATAAATCTTATATTCCTTGCTATACTGAATGCGAAACAGGGATGTTGTCTGCAAGGCCAAAGCCACAACAGGTTTCAGGATTGTGTGACATCATGCCCTGATGGCGTGGGTGCTCATGCTTTCAGTCTCTGGTTTGCCTGCGCCAGTCTTGACACACCGCTGTCATGTAGCTGGAATACTGCTGACAGTGGTGTTAAACAGCATTCACACAAAAACATAATAGAGAGGTACAGGTTGTAAGATCAAAAGCAAATTTTGAAAGTATGACCTCTAGAGGGATTATACATTTCGGAGTAAGTATGTAACAGATTCCAAGGGCATTCAGGAAAGTAACCAAACATGATATCCATGGAGTATACTGAAAATAGGATACGAACCTCTTAAACATGTCCAGGAGCCATCATTAGTGGAAACAGGGAAATTTCAGTCTGAAATAGTAGGTTGTGATAAGATGTTTACAAGTGCCGATCAACTTCGACAGATAATTACTTGCTCACAACAATCATAGCGCTAGGAGTATTGTAAATCCATGTTAAAGTACGGGAGATATGATCTCAGCGCTAAGTTTGCTTTGTGCAGGCGGGTCTTGACAATGACATCTCACTTTACTTTCAGTCATTATGGTGGTTGATTTGTTGTCCGCCACTGAAACATATGCAGGGTCTGGTAATGTCATCTAACGGAGACATACCTACATATCTCAGGATAAGTGCAGGGGTTTGAACATCTGGGGAGATGGACTCTCCCGCTGCCTACACTGATGACGTTGCCGTCCTGACCATCTGAAGGGGGAGTGGGGATCACACACGTGGGTGTGTTACTCGCGATCTATAAGATAGTACATTTAGTTCAAATGAAGCTTAAAAACTGACAAGACTTTTCAGTCTCCGATATGACTTTCTGTACTGTAAAACGATATCAATGAAGCATGGTAACTTTTCATATACGGGAAGAAATTGTCTTTTCAGGGATATTGTGTTTACAATTCTTTTAGGTTAAGTGTAAACAAGCTTGGAATTAATTGTGAACCTGAGTCATCATTTCTAAATGACCGTACAGGAGACTGCTATGAATGTCGCAGGATCAGGCTTCTAGTCGTCCCTGACAAGTATTCGAAGATGAGTTTCAATAAAATGTATTTATTTGCCTGTAACATGAAACGTCAGTATCAGAAAAGTGTTGATTGCTGTGGGCCACCCTACCAGGCTGACAGGTGACAATTGACTGTCCATACAGTATAGGATCTATATAATAATGATAGGAGTAAAATAGGCAAAATATGTATAAGCACTGATTGGCCATGCATGCTAGTGCGTTTATAACGAGATAATATACTGACGTCACACTTATGGCGCAAAGTCAGTGATCCCTAAAATTGTGTTTCGTATGTTATTAATATATACATATAGTGTTATTCCTTCACACAGTCTCTTACGGGCTATGCTGGTGCAGTGTTTAAGCAGAGACCATATAATAGAGGGACGGCCCTCTAGCCTATGCGCGAAACCATCAGTGCTACGGCCTGTACTGCGCAGCCTGTCCGGAAGCGAGCAGAAACGCGTTCACTGCAGTCATCGTTGTCGCCTTTTTTCCCATGCAAAAGATATATTTCACAATACATATTTACACTCATGTATTTCTTAACATTGTAAACATTACAACTGAGATTTGTTGGTGCCCTAAAGCATGTCGTTGTCACTGTATTTGATGACTGTGATCACGCTTTGTCTTTGTCCGAGAGAACAAAATGGCGCACATGTAAAATCGGCAAAAGTGCAGATTTTGATTTTCAATAACGGCCTCTAATTCGCAATGAAAGTCCTTGGTTACCAGGATGTATGAAAAGGAGATATGTTAATAATTGGTTTAGTGCCATTAACAAATTTAGGGCGGATGCGAAATTTCAGATTTTGACTCCAGAAATGGGACTAAATCTCAATTCTCCCGAAATAATTACACCACAACTCTTAATTTTCGCATGCTTTCAGACGAATGTGTTCCTATTATCGGTCCTGAATTAAATAGTTTTACATTCATCAAGATTTCTCCCTTGGCTTGGTACCAAAGTTATTTAGGAACGATCGGTAGGTTTTTTTGTATGATTTTTGGCGCAAGGTCATATTTTACGTCACATATTTTAAGTTAAATTACCATATAGCAGACGACATAACATGCATTTTGTCTGTGATTATCATCCGCATATATCTTTTGAAACATTCTACAAAGTGACTTTTATTGTATGATATTAGAATTGTTTTTGTAAGACGCGTATTTTTTTTACCATTGCTTTCGCCATTTCTTCGTAAGTTTAACTTTGTTTCAATTAGGCTTCTATCACATATCGCGCATAAACTACAATACTACATATTCGTTATCTTCTGTAGAATTTGTCTGTATTAATCATGACTACATTTAATCAATTATTTATTTTATGCCGTGTAAATATTGATTATGAGCAAAATGATCTTGGCCTAAACCCAATCATAATAATGTAAATATGATGAAGGTACTACTTACTTTGTGTATTTGGAAAACAATGAAAACATCATACAAAAATAAAAATCCGTTACATGAAATATTTGTATTATAAAATAATTATTTACTTTGTAAATGCCAAGAAAGAAGAAGGATTATATCGGCAGTCGTCGGGAGAGAAGTCCCAGACAACAAGGTCGAAGGTGTCATTCAGTAAAATGTATAGATGGTCTACATCTACATGTGTCAGAGTTTGTGATGTTTCGTTTTGTTTTAATAGTAATAGTTGCATGCCTCGTTCCAGGTTAGAGTTTAAAGTTTGTTTTTCATTGATCAGCTATAAATAGAAAACTATGATGAAACAATTTTGAAAACTACAAACGTTACTACAGTTTACATATACTAGTATATATCTGGTACCATGCTCGTTGAAGCTATATTGTTATACCTGAAATACCTAATTATTTGTATGCTGAAATATCAAACTAATCGGGTAATATTAAATAACGATTGTAAAATTACAATCATCCTCTTTGCTTTGGAATTTAACAGTAGCCTCCCTTTGAAAAAAAACTTATCTCGCTCCGGCAAACCCCATTATCACTGCTAGCCCCAAACTGGCATTAACCAATAACATTTGATTCCTTCGAAGCCCATTGTCGGACACATCGAAAATTCATTTAACAATGCTCGTAGTTTAATGTGTATTTTTAATTCATTGGAACTATTAGCATTATAAAATAGTAGCTAATTTACATGAAATAAAAACATCAATAAGTCGTCATTTTTTCTGGCTAATAGTAAAGCATTTACACCAGTCGGTGATCATGCATTTTTTCAAGTAAATCTAGTCTGGACTTATAAGATATGAAGTTAATATGGAGATATATTTTGTGAACATCGGGAATATGGTGATATGTTACAAGTGTCTTCCCTGCTTCTGGATGAGTTTTATTTACACTTCCTGAGTTCCTGTGCAATTTACCGGATCGTAGTTTTCTGTAGCGTTCGTAGTAGATTTGGTATATTTGTTTATTTATAATAGTTAACAATTGCAGCATAAAATGAGATATATTAACTGATTTTCAAACAAATAGAATACGTTATACGATATCGGAACGGCTTTTTCTTCACACGCCCTCGAAAACTTACGCTTGTGGACAACAGTATAATTCTAAAAACGTTATAAATGACAAGTAATAAATAAAATACTAAACTCGCTCCCGTGTAAAACCAATTTTATGAAACTCGTGAATAGTTGTGGTATCTAACTCGCTTTCGCTCGTCAGATACCACAACTATTCACTCGTTTCATAAAATTGGTATTACACGGGAGCTCGTTTAGTATTCTATATTTCCTAACTTTTTCTTTGAGTGAAACTTTTTGGGAGGTATTTACCAACGGCTTGGTAGCGGTACCATCTCTGTGTCATTCTATTTAGACCACGAGTCATCCGAAACCAACCCCTGGTCTAAGAGTGGAAATTCTTCAAGTGGCATATCTAGATCCAAGACGAAATCGTCCCAGTGAATGAAGTCGTCCATGGCTGTGGCGAATGTAAATTGAAATAAATGTCCCGGAAGACACACATGTTTAGCAAATAATTTGCAGCCAACAGACATGTGCTAATGAGAGATATCATAAAAAAATCTTTGTAATCCGCTTAGAGACGTCCTTTTATTGGATTGTCGCTGGCCGCAGTCGGAGAAATCTCGGCTAAGGGAATTAACTCTTACCCCGGATATTATGTAATATTGTTTACGTGGTTACCAGAATGGTCAGTCGTGAATGTCTGCGCATCTATTGCGCATCTGCAGCGGTACAGAGAGGTTAACAGCAGGGTGTCGGGGTGTATCAGTTACATGCCAGACCGTAGCGCTGATGGTTTATGATAAACTGTTGGTGAGGGCCGTCCCTCTGTCGTAAGTCTATGTTACGGTATGGGAGTTACGATCACCTTAGCGCTAAGATCGCTTTGTTCAACGGCACCCAGGTGTGTTTCCAGACTGCATCAAACTTCCAAGCACTGCCAATTGGTTCCTTTTTAAACACCCGAAGTTAGAAACTATTTCGAAACTGAGAATTGCCTTTTTCCTATTAACATAAACAGCAACATTGGTCCATCTCCTGGTCAGCTATATATGCTTTAGAATGCATTGTGTATTTATAAATTTCACAACAAATTGCATACTGTCTTCTCGAAAAGCAATCTTTATTGTAGATGACCAAATTTTTTGTGTATTAAAAATATAATCACCATGGCAAACAAATAATGAAAACATATTTCGGTTAGTTTTTAATGTTCGTTGTGTTCTCCAGTAGCTTATGGGTGTCTTAAGAGTGGGCTAACATAGATCAGATGGTCTGAGTCGATGACCTGCGCGATTAGGTGTTGTCATGCATGATGACAGGTACACGTAGTCACTACTTTGCCTGATCGCAACTCAAGTATATAACATACAGCTGGTATATAACTGACTGTGGACCGCCTCCGTGGTCTAATGGTAGAGCGTCCGCCCGGAGAGCGGAGGTTCCGGGGTTCAATCCCCGACGGCGTCATTACCCAAAGACGTGAAAAGACGGTACTTGTTGTTACCCTGCCTGGCGCACGGCATTAAGGGGCTAAAGCAAGGACTGGTCGGCTCGGAGTCAGTATACTGTGTCTGAGTGGGGTATTCATGTTTAACTGCGGCATGGTATCTCAGTGAGCTAGCACTATAAATCGGCATCAGTCCGGACTTGTACAAGCAGCCACACACATACATACACGTGCATGCACGTCGCTATATAAGTGCAATAATCTTGGACGCGACGTTCAACCCCATTTCACCTTACCTACTGACTGCGGTGATATTCTATTGTCTATTAATTGTGTCATTAGGATTTCACGCTCGCCTGAGTAATACCTTTGGAATCGGATTCATATATAATGTACTGATGTTGAGAATTGAACTCGGATCAGACGTTGAACTCACATGTTGCTGGTTGGATGTTATTCGGTTGTCCATCCTTCAACACTAACCAGCTGCTGGAAACGTCTGAACCATTGTACGATTAATTTATCCATCCACTGCATTGTAAATAACGATATAGTTGCCATTTCGTTTCAGAGGAGCTGCAAAAGAAAGAATCACATAAAGGAAAAATGACCAAAAGAAATCGACACACAACAACACACAACAGACACGAAAGCAAAACAGGTCTAACTGATACTGACTTGGCCTTTCCTTCTGCAAATCATTCATCAGTCTTGCAATCTTCCCGCAGCCGTCGAGGGTCAGATGATGGGTCCTTGGCGAACTCAGCGGACAATGATAAAACTGAATTCCCCATCAGACCAAGTCTAAATGGTGCTTCAGGCTGTGGACGGAACCTAGCCTCTGGACAAACAGATCTGTCTGTTGCGATGGCACAAAACAGAACAAAACAGACAAGTTCTGACAATTTGCAATGTACGTATACACTGGACACACCCTTGGGAAAAGCTCCTGGAACATTTATCACGAAGTTGTACCAGCATCTAGATTCTGAAACCAGGATGGGAAACTACAAGGATCTAGCTGGTGAATTAGGTAAATATCTTGAATGACTCATTCTTTCTCTCAGCTTTTGAATGTCTGTTGTATGGCAAACTAGAATTGACAGTAACATGTGGAAAAACTTAACATGTAAATATATATGTTATAGAAGGGTCGAGGGGAGACACTGTTACATGCTCAAGGTGTAGGTAGGACATTCAATGACGAAAAAAAAAAGATAAATGATAAAGTGTTGGGCGAGAAGTACATATTGTGTTAAGATTCTTGAGTATTTGTCTTTATTTGTATAAGGAACCAATCATTTAGAATCCAAGGGGAGGATATTGAAATATTTTTTTCAACAAAATACCTTTTCGGTCCATGCTGCAAGACACAAAGGAAATAAGGAACCGGGCAAGATCATTTTTACAACACAATTGTAAAATCAAAAACAAAAACAAAAGTTTTTTCCCAGTATTTGGGTAATATATTCTTTTTTTCAAAATAATCTCAGGGGGTACAGTGCCGGTAGTTCTTTATGATAGCATACCAAATTACTTATTTGCATTTACAGGGTTTACACTTGACGAACTCTCAGCCCTTGTTAACACAGAGGGTGTTATTCAACGTTTCTCACAAGCACATCCCAAGAAGGCAACGTTTCGTTTCCCCATGGAAGCTCTCGATAAGTTAGAGAGAAAGGATGTTTTGGAGGACATCCGTAGGCTCACAGGCCTGGTTCTTCAAGTACAAGAGCAAGAGGAACTAAATGGAACATCTAACTCAACCAGGACATTGGACAGAAACTGTGAGAGAATGCTTGGAAAGGTTCCTGACATGTGCGGCGAGGTTCCTGATGACCCAGGTGTGATCCCTTCTGATGTTACAAACGTTACACAGCAAGGTGGTTTCAGCCCACCCTCTAACATTAACCACAAAAACAAAATGGAATTCCATGGATCTGATGCAACCAAAACAAGCGAAGCTATCACCATCACGACCATGAAGACCGATCATGATAAGACTTCTGAAAACAGAGTAATTGAAGATGATTTAGACACTGCAGTTCATTTGGAAGAAACAGTAATAGCTGTGTATGGACATAAGGCGGGAGAGTACCTTGGGGAACACGACAATAGAAAAATAACGGCTACTGATGGTATGTCAGACATCCCAGGTAACATTGATGATGGGGCAAAACCTGTACCCATACCTAAGGTTCTACCTTGCTATTCTGGTACTGGGACAAGACCAAAACTATACCCTGGTAGGCACGATCAAGGAGCAATATATCTTTCTCCTGAAAACATAAATGGAAGACCAACACTGAAGCAACTGTCATGTCGGGAATCCAACAATGAAGAAAGTTTTTCTCAAGGTGAAACTCACGCACCAAGCCTTGAGAACATTGACCATCGAGACCAGACCCAAGTGCCTTCTCATTGCAGCAAATTATCGCCAGGGTTGGCAAACATTCCCAACTTCAGTGATATACTTCCTACAAAGAAGGAAAGAAATGAAAACGTTGCATTAGAGGGAAAGCATTCATTTAATGCACCTGAATACACCCACTGCATTTCTTGGAGTCAATATTCTGAAAATGCAAGTGTCCATGACAAACTTGCAAAGGAAGTCCTCGAGAAACAGGAACTCAGGGGTGGGCATCGCCTCGAGCGCCAAGGTTCGGATGGAAGGTCTGCAACCCCAGATAAAACACCCAGATACACTCATGCTAATCACACCAGGGGAACAGTTGGAGCAAATCAAGGACTCGAGTTGAGAAAAACACAGATGTACCTTGGTCCATGTCTTCCAATTGACGACAGTGAGTCTGAATCGCCATCTATGTCAGGTACAGATGATGAACGTGGTGATGAAATGGACACTGGAAAGGGCTCTTTGGGTAAAAGCGAAGGTTCGGTGATTCAACAGAGACAGATACCTGTTGGTGTGGAGAGACAAATGGCATCTTCCCTTCTCAAATGGAAACGTTGCTTAATGACATTAGCGATGCACGTACATGCTGGCATCAATACAAACACTCTGCCGAACTGGTACGCCTAGACAGGACAACCAGAGAGCTTGATATTTGATGTAATGAACACATTTCAGGTCATATCCAAAGGATGTGATGTATAGGTGGAATCTTTGCTTGAAAGTGATGCCACACGTGGTGGTGCGTCTAGATCTTAACGGCCTAAAACTCATCTTAGTTGACTCATGCTCTGGACACTGGTGACCTAATTTATCATGGAATTGGGTATATTTTAGTCTGTTGGAAAGCTAGCTTAGTGTCATACTGTAGTTGTTAAAGGTAAGACCATGCATACGTTATACAGAGCTGGGACATCTTATAATGCTTGATACAGAAAAAAATTATATCTTGATACAGAAGAAATTCTGTGTCTTATCATTGTTGACAATTGTAAGGCTATCTGACAAGAAGGGAGAAAGGGGTAGGAATGCCATGCTTCAATAACTTGTCACTAAATATTCGTCGTCTTCATTTATATTTTTAAAATCCATTGACATTCAGTTTTAACATTGACTTACATATACCTTCATTTTGGCGGGCATTTTTGGGGAAATAAAAAGAGACCAGTGAAACTGCCTCATGTGTTTCAAATTTGGATATATTGGATATAAAATATATCCACAATACTATATGACAAGAGGGATGACTTCAACTTTCCAACAGTCAAATTTCTCTTCATGTCCAGCAATTGTTCACCATCTCCATTGTCATTTATCACAACTCGAGCCATCAACTAGCTTCGTTTTTAAATTCGCGCCTTGACGATGGCACATCCGGGTAGGTGCAGCCTCATTCTGATGAAGCTGGGCTGTGGACCATCGCCTGTATACTGACGGGGGCACTAGATGAGTACCAGAACTGGATACTGTCAGTCAAGGTGCGTCAGTTTACCATGTATAATAAATTAATGACTGCTAATTATGCATTATAGTTTAATACTGAACGTAGGAGTGTCATTTGTTCTTGATCTGATAGTTATCCTGCATCGCAATCGTCACATATCCACTCTTAGTAATACCTATGTTTCGGATGAAGCCAGTTAGCTCACAGGAACTCGATGATAGCGAGTATAACATAATATATTCGTATATTGAAAAACAATCTCACCCCTCTATACACTGGGACCCCGTGGTACCGCGGCATTCATCGCATCGCGACATTAATGATTTCCGATAGGTCACGCGGGACACGCCTCTTAGCGGTTGTCTATTAATGCAAATCAGTAACCAGGAAGTGCTCACTTCGTAAACAATTTCAATTTCCTCGGAATGTTCCGTCTGCTGTAAGTAAGGGGTTATTTATGCGTTGATACTTGCAAAACATATCCCAGGCTACACAATCGTGTTCATATGTGGTCACCTTACCTCGTATTTATTTTAAACCAACAATCAAATCTCAACCCTAAGCTTCGCCGCCGAGGTAAACAAGAAAAGGGTTGGCCGGAAATAACGTCAATCTATTTGTAGGTACGTGTTACGTGATTGGCATTTCACCGCCCACAAATAAAAGCTCGGAGAGAGAGAGAGAGAGTCTTGACGGCGTGAAACATTGATCATTATCAGGTGTGTCTACCTGAGCCAAACCCTGTACAGGTCGTCGTGACATATCTGGAACACCAACGACTGCGGTGTTATCGACTAACAAAACGTCCCCTTATAGCTGAAGGTACGTTTGTTACAAAGTGTGACCTGGCTGATTGTGTAGGCCGTTGCTGGTGTATCAGCCGTCTGACAGCCTGGTCCAAAGGCCTTATATTTCTTTTACGTGTATCTGCAGTGCCACCATTTTGAGTTTTTAGTTTCAGAGAATAACCTACGATCTATGAGAAGTTACGGATTATCTGTCCAGAGTGAATTCATTCGGTGAAATGATTTGTATAAGTATCAAATATTTGTATAAGTATCACTTGTCCCCAACTCGTTTCAAATAAAACTGTTTTCTATACAGCTGGCTACGGCACTGTCTATCTATTACTCCATGTGAAGAAAGTATGAAGACAAACGTATAATGTGAACCTTGACGAGAAACTTGATACAAGTCAACCCAATGTTTTTGACGTCTTGCCAAATTTCAAGTTTGACCGTATTGATCTCAACCATGAGTGAGTGAGTAAGGTTTTACGCAGCTTTTGGCAGTATTCCAGCCATGTCAGAGCTTCACACTTTGACCCATGTGGGAAATCGAACCCAGGCCTTCGTGGTGACTAGCGGGATCTTTAACCACCAGGCTACCGAACAGCCGCTAGCAACAATGACTAAACTACCCATGTGCAAATATCGGAAGGTAATTACACTCCTTCTTTTCACTGTAAGGTAATATGTAGTGGATATTTGTGTTTTCTTGTCAAACAACATATTCATATCACCGAGTGCCCCGACAATGTTGATATTTTCATGAGTAGCAGTTGAGATGAGATAAGATTTTGACAGGGAAACAAATGACCTATTTATTATGAATTCTATTACTGATGACATAGTGTCACCGAGGCCGGCTGACAGTAGTTCCGGCATGAACTGATATTTAACTTGAGCGAGAAAAAGCATTAGTTCACTGCTACAAACATAACGTATACCGCTGATGAAAAACAAACGCATGAACATGTCATTAGAGAACAGTTCAAAAGTTCGATGATAGATAACAATCTGAATTCCTTGAAGTGCAAGTATCATGAAAAATAGTACATCATTATGTAGCCAGTATGATGTACAATACGATGCCCGAGAAAAAAGTATCAAAACGTTAAGTTAGTTCATGTTTCATTAGTTGTTGGGAGACCTGTGTTGTACATATTATACCGGTTAAAGTAATGGATTCATCCGTGTGCGAAATACACATCATGTCGGAAGGCGCACGTTTAATCTCCAATAATAAGTTAGTAAGTAAGTAATGAATTCATGTATGTCACGAGTATGGCAAGTGGGGGCGTGTCAAGTGAATTATATAAGTTTAACATCGTACGATATTTTTCTTTTCAATTTTACGGGCGCGGGTTCCACACATACCCACACCCTCAGTCCGCTCCTTCATAAAGATATACATCGAAACATTTGTGTAGCCAATTAATCATAATTAACCAGAACGGTATTTTCTTACCTTCAGTCACCCATCTCCCAACAACATGTAACTGCGGTAGATTATTGCATAATGTGTGCCAGCAGTCAGTCCAGGGCCCACTTGCACAAAGCGATCTTAGCGCTAAGATGATCTTAACTCCCATACTTTAACATAGGCTTACAATAGTCTTAGCGCTAAGATCGTATCATAAAACACTTACTAGTAGCCATGTGTATAGTGTAATGGAACACGTCAGCAAGTGACGCGGATTCACAGAGTCTATGACATGCCGCTGCAACTGTAGTGCTATTTCAATACTACAACGGGATATTGTGATAACGAGGGAGTGAGTTGAGTTAAATGCCGCTTTTAACAGTATTCCGGTTATAACGCGGCTTGTCAGCTTTATGTGGGAGGAAAGCCCGAAGCGATGCAGGTCTCAGACCTTTACCACTTCGGTGAAACCCACGAGCACGGGTATGGTGCTGACAAACCTAGAAACATAATTGGGGCGAACCGGGACTCGAACCCACAATCATAGGTTTCTGGCGTGCCCAAGGGACGCAACTCTGCATAGCGAATCGCGGCGCCTTAGACGACTGGGCCACCCGTGCCCCCGATATTGAGATAAGGAGAAAATATACTAACCAAACAAACCAATGTGCCCAAGATGGGGTTATCCCGATTATTTTCGCCACTATTGTTGGTCACAGGTAGGTGTTCACTTGTACTTCTTTCGAAATCACCAGTTCATCTTCCGAGAAACATTCACGTTCCATGATAATTCGAAAACTATTGTCACTGTCTGAGTAGGACAAGTTGTGATCAGCATCCCGCCAAAAGAGAAGTAGTAAGTGCGATCGAAGCTTCATCCTTTTATACACAGATCAGTGAATATTTTGAACGGAGAATAGGTCTTCAGCAACCCATGCTTGCCGTAAAAGGTGAATATGCTTGTCGTAGGCGACTAACGGGATCGGGTGGTCAGGCTCGCTGACTTGGTCGATGCATGTCATCGATCCCAATTGCGTGGATTGATACTCATGATATCAATCACTGGACTGGCTGGTCCAGGCTCGATTATTTACAGACCGCCGTCATATGGCTGGAATATTGCTGAGTGCGGCGTTAAACAACAAACCAACCAACCAAACACAGAATAGTCTCAGTGAATGAGTGGGTATGGTTTTACGCCGCTTTTAGCAATATTCCAGCAATATCACGGCGGGGGATACCAGAAATGGGCTTCACACATTGTACCCATGTCGGGAATCGAACACGGGTCTTCAGCGTGACGAGTGAACGCTTTAACCACTAGGCTACCCGACCGCGCCAGAAAAGTCTCACAGCAACATAAATGAAAGTACCAAAACGCGAACAATAAATTCAATTGAAGAAATAGTACGTTTCGCACAGTGTTTTCTCACCGAATAGTGACCTTAATTTGTGATGCGAATGGCCATTGTCACATTGCCGTTGTATATTTCAATCCTTTAATCCCACTCATACCCATGCCTGATTTTAATAAGCCAAACAAGTGACTTGAAGGGTCAATTCCGATACATTTTGAACAATTTATGTTTTTTGCAGACACTCAAACCATATTTTTTCCAATAGCACCTCAGTATGAGGCATGGGAGGGAGGGGCGGGGCTTGTGCGACCAAGCGTGCAATTTTAAGGAAATTTCCTCTAACAAGACCATATATTGAGCCTCTTGATTAAAACTCAAGGAATGAAGTTTTCAACTGGTCCCTGAGCAATGACATTCGTTTAGCCATATCAGTTGGTTCAATGTTTGACATAAAACCATCTGCTCATTCATTCGAACAATTGTTTCTCGTTTTCAGATGTCTTCCCGCGAAATGGGAAAAGTGATGGAGAAGGCTGTGAAAGGGGTATATAGGAAAGTAATTTACGGTATGGACCCATCAGTAATGCTCCCAATGATTCGTGAGACCGGAATTCTTACTGTGGATGGTTATGAACCGTACTGTGTAAGTATATTCTGTCCTATGGATACCATGTATAGCTGCTTGTGAGCACCCACACTGCATTTTCATGAGACGCATTAAAATATATCCACTACGTTTATATCAAAGTCAGTTCTTAAACAAATGTGAATGTTCACAATGCAATGTACTAACCACATACACCTGGAGAAAGAGTAATAACTAGAGAGTCAGAATCCTATGACGTCTTTACTGATTGCACATAAAAGAAGTCAACTTCTTCAGTGACAGGTACAAACATTTCATATTCAACTTCTATACATAACCTTCAAGGCTTTAAGCTGCGATAGTTGATATCACGTTGTTCTGTGTAAACAGGGGCAGTCAGTTGGCCTAGTGGTTAACGCGTTTGCTCGTCACGCCGAAGACCCGGGTTCGAATCCAGACATGGGTACAATGTGTTAAGCCCATTTCTGGTGTCCGCTACGTGATATTGCTGGAATATGGCTAAAAGCGGCGTAAAACCATACTCACTCACTCATCCTCTTTAGTTATCTCTCACATGAAATAGATTCTTGGGACCTTTTCTTCATTTCAGTCCCCATGTTAATAAGTGAGTGAGTGAGTTAATGCTTTAAATCACATCGGCAATATTTCAGCCATATCGTGTCGAGAAATTATACATTTTTAATACATATATTTAAACTAAATAAAAACTGTCATCGATGGGCAGTAAAATTTAAATGGATTCCTGGGACCTTTTCTTCATTTCAATCTCCACGTTAATGAGTGAGTGACTGAGTTAATGCTTTACGTCACATCGGCAATATTTCTGGCATATCGTGACGAGAAATTATACATTTTTAATACATATATTTAAACTAAATAAAACCTGTCATCGATGGACAGTAAAATTTAAAATTTAAATATTTAAACACCAGGGAACCTATCCCCACGTTAATGCAACGAATCCGAACTGCACCTTCACTAGTTCGTATCGATTTCCATACAGCCATTCACGTATTACACATGCATAGCCATTAGGGAACACAGCCTCCGGGAAATCCTACGGTATGGTTTGTTTTTACAGCACAAAGTATTGGGTCCAGCTGAATATACGTCAATCAAATTTCATACTAAATGTGTTTAAAACATTATTCACCATGGAAAATCGGATACAGAAATTGAAATTATTCTACTTGATATCTGATTACTCAACACAAACGCTGGTGTCGCCAACGTGAATACCATGGGATCATAGAGAAAGCGGAAGATATATTTTTATATTTTTTTACTTTTATTTTCTATCAAAGGATGAACTCAACAAAATGATTCAGCATGGAAGAACTATTGCGGACATAAACACGCGACTACTTGACATTCTGTTCACCCGAGACAAATGGTGGATTGTCTTCATCCGAGTCTGTGGACAATGTGGATACCAGGGCACCATACAGGCAATTGAAGGTATATCAGTTACACCGATGGGGGTACTATGAACCACTATCTGGAACCTGATTCCAATCAAGGTCCACACAATGGTAATCAATGAGACATAACTACCTGGATTGATATACATCCGGGTACTGTTGTTCAAAACAACATTAGCGCCACGACTGTCGTAAGTCTATGTTACGGTATGGGAGTTACGATCACCTTAGCGCTAAGATCGCTTTGTACAACGGCACCCAGGTGTGTTTCCAGACCGCATCAAACTTCCAAGCACTGCCAATTGGTTCCGTTTTAAACATCCGAAGAAACTATTTCGAAACCGAGAATTGCCTTTTTCCTATTAACATAAAAGGTTTGAAATAAATATTTTTCAAACTTCAAAAGTCCCAAGATAAGACTAATCTATAAACACATAATGTGAATGTATTACATGCAAGTAGTGTATGTTGACAGTTCCTTTGTATTCAGTTTCAACAAAGTGTTGTACTTGCAAAGATACTGATACATGAACATATACAGGTTCAAGTCCTTAGGTTTAATGTTTAGTGTATGATGTCTGTGTTTCTAACCCATATTTCAGAAAAGTTGACAGCAACTCAGCGATCTGAACTGCGATCTAGTACCAGGCAGCGAAGGGGTGAAGGAAGACGTGGGGGGATGTCACATTCAGACAGGAGACGACAGCGTCACCCTGACAAACCTTCAAGTGATTCAAACCAGTTCTCAGAAACCAACGCCATAGCCACGACACCAACCCTAAGGGAGGATCCTACACTGGGAAACATTACATTGGAAGGAGGTCAATGGGAAGCAAGATACGAGAACAGGAACAGCAGCATTGGTCCATCTCCTGGTCAGCCATATATGCTTTAGAATGCATTGTGTATTTCACAACAAATTGCATACTGTCTTCTCGAAAAGCCGTCTTCATTGTAGATGACCAAATGTTTTGTGTATTAAAAATATAATCACCATGGCAAACAAATAATGAAAACATATTTCGGTTAGATTTAATGTTCGTTGTGTGTAGCTTATGGGTGTCTTAAGAGTGGGCTAACATAGATCAGATGGTCTGAGTCGATGACCTGCGCGAATAGGTGGTGTCATGCATGATGACAGGTACACCTAGTCACTACTTTGCCTGATCGCAACTCAAGTATATAACATACAGCTGGTATATTACTGACTGCGGACCGCCTCCGTGGTCTAATGGTAGAGCGTCCGCCCGGAGAGCGGAAGGTCCGGGGTTCGATCCCCGACGGCGTCATACCAAAAGACGTGAAAAGACGGTACTTGTTGTTACCCTGCCTGGCGCACGGCATTAAGGGGCTTAAACAAGGACTGGTCGGCTCGGAGTCAGTATACTGTGTCTGAGTGGGGTATTCATGTTTAACTGCGGCATGGTATCTCAGTGACCTAGCACTATAAATCGGCATCAGTCCGGACTAGTACAAGCAGCCACACACATACATACACGTGCATGCACGTCGCTATATAAGTGCAATATTCTTGGACGCGACGTTAAACCCCATTTCACCTCACCTACTGACTGCGGTGTTAAACAACACTCATGTATCTTGCTATTCCATTGTATGAGTTAGCCACGAATGTTTTTTTAATTATTGATGCAGTTCATGCAATCACTCACTCATTAACTCACTCTGTTTCAGAATCGTTGATAGAAGCTCAACGCCCTCGACTACACATGCGAACACAAGTTCTTACATCGCAGAGCGGTAGTGAAAGGAGAACCAAAGGACAACAAGAATTGTCAGATTCATACAGCAGACAACAATTTGATCAAAATTCATGGGATTCAAACACCTTTTCTGAAACCAAGCCATTAGCAATGGCATCGACGCAAAGGACAGATCCAACACATGGAACCATGCCTTGGGGAGGTGTTCAGTGGGAAGCAAGATACGACAACACACAGATGAACAGTGACATTGGTCGATCGCCTGGTCAGTAACACATTCCACATGAATGATGAGTTAACTGCTTATTCATAAATACCTCAACATTTTTACAGGTGTTTTCTTGAAAGGTTTCTTCTTCATACATAGATAACCAAAAGGTCTGTAGATAATATCATAGTTCTTGTAACAATAAAATACTTAAAATTTCAAACAAAGGTATTATTTTAACAATTTATTTAACAATTACTTGGTCACAATTACAAACATGTTATGAATGATTTTTTAAAATTTCCAATCCAGGAAGTGTAATTGATGACGAGAAGAAATTCACTCTCAAGAAGGAAACTATCCACTTTATTCAAAACATTCAAAGAGCAGAAAATAACTTTGAGGATGCGTTCAAAGATTTTACAATTTCAAAAAAGGATACTGACAAAATCAGTCCCAATATTTGGAATATCCCAGTCCGTGCTAACAATGCGGTAGATCACAATTCGAATTTAACGACAGGAGGCGAATCAAACATGCACAAAGTCAGTAATCTCTCGTCGCTGGAGAATAACAAGCTCCAAAGCTACCCTGGAGAGGATGAGAGTGAAACTCGTTCAGTCAACGATGATGCAACAATGGAATGGAACCATGAACCACACCCCAGTTTTCACAGCCACCCAATAATAGATAGTCACCACGACGACAGAGAATCGGAAGTAAAAGAGAAGGTAATGCAGAGTTCTCCCGCTATGGACGGATCTAACATGGCACCATATGTTAGTAATTTAATCATTCAGTCACAGCTTGACCAGCAAAGAAAACATGAGGGTGCACCACTCGGTCAGGAAACTGTCACTGTTGAATATCAGAGCACAGAAGGCTTGGAAGTTGAGCCGCCAAAGGAGAAGGGCCGTCACCGTGGTCCTGGAAGTCGGTATTATCATCCCAAGGAACATTATCATACAGAAAGTACAAGTGTAAAAAGCCACTTTGATGAGAAGACACAGTGTGACCCCCAGTACAAGGTGATCAACACCGAAATGGCCTACCAAGAAGAACCTGCGTTAGCTGGAACAGAAGCAGATTGTGATATACCCCGCTTGTCAGGCCCTGTCGACGTGTCTGGAAACGCTTCTCCGGTTGGCAATATTCCACTTTTTGGACTGATCGAGGGGGAAACTTCACCGAATGTCATGTCTGACAGGCCGGGACATGACACACTACATATTGCAGGTAATGGTACATATTTGGCTGAACCATACAATGTGATGTCTGACAAGAAAAGGTCCAGTGGCAGCACCTGCACCCAACCAGTTAATGTCCGTTCAAATACACCCCAACAGGCCTACTCGCCCCTACGTGAAACGTCTGATGGGAGTGTACGCCTTTCCTCACACTACCATCCCAGCTTTGGCGATTCACCGGTACCAAACTATACTCACATTCAACCTCCAGTCCACATTGTGTCAATGTCGGAAACATCTGAACCACCCCCTATCCATGAGGCCTTAGCTGAGATGACACTGACCCGAATGATGGATGGAGCCAGTACAGAGACACCTCGTTAGTCCGGATATATGCCTGTGGTGACACAAAAGCCCACAAAAGCGGAGGCGAACTGTTCATCAGCACACTGGCGAACCTTGTGTTCAGCATGACACTGACGAACCTTGTGTTCAGCATGACACTGACGAACCTTGTGTTCTGCATGACACTGACGAACCTTGTGTTCCGCATGACACTGGCGAACCTTGACGAACCTTGCTTTCAGCATGACACTGGCGAACCTTGCGTTAAGCATGACACTGGCGAACCTTGTGTTCAGCATGACACTGACGAACCTTGTGTTCAGCATGACACTGACGAACCTTGTGTTCAGCATGACACTGACGAACCTTGTGTTCCGCATGACACTGGCGAACCTTGACGAACCTTGCTTTCAGCATGACACTGACGAACCTTGTGTTCAGCATGACACTGACGAACCTTGTGTTCAGCATGGCACTGACGAACCTTGTGTTCCGCATGACACTGACGAACCTTGTGTCCAGCATGACACTGACGAACCTTGTGTTCCGCATGACACTGGCGAACCTTGCGTTCAGCATGACACTGACGAACCTTGTGTTCAGCATGACACTGACGAACCTTGTGTTCCGCATGACACTGGCGAACCTTGCGTTCAGCATGACACTGACGAACCTTGCGTTCAGCATGACACTGACGAACCTTGCGTTCAGCATGACACTGGCGAACCTTGCGTTCAGCATGACACTGACGAATCTTGTGTTCAGCATGACACTGGCGAACCTTGCGTTCAGCATGACACTGACGAACCTTGTGTTCGAATGCAGGATTGGGGTCTTTGGTGAAAGGCCATGTCATAATAATTATCCCTCCAGTAATGGTGGATGAAGCTAACAGCAAGATGTATGGGAACAATGAATAAAACATATAATATTCTTAGTGACCCACTCCCTTTGCTAATTATCGAGCTAGCTTCTATTTGTCATTTCTATTCTATTACCTATTTCCATTCTATAACCAATCAGTGCTAATTACCCTCGGTATCCCATTTGCCCATTGTCTATTACCAATCAGTTATAAATGAAGTGTTGGCTTCCATTGCTCATCACCTATCAGCGCCAACTGTTTGTTGGCTTTCCTTGTTAAGTTTCCTCCTTTGTTGCTCTTATAACTTTTGTTGTTCTTACAGGTACATACATACATACATACACACACACACATATATATATATATATATATATATATATATTCTCTGCCCCATATCATTTATTTACCTGATGAAGGAGTAAGTAAGTGTTCCTCCCAATAAAGATGTTAACATCCATAAATTCTCTTCCTTGTGTGTATCACTTGTAAAAGACTTTTGAAGACTTGCCATACCCTGACACATCATTTAAAGTGGCGAACACGTAACTCGCTCACGAAAAGAAACGCGAAGACAGCTAAATTAACAGCTTTATCCTTAAAATGTGTATAAAATGCATAAACATGTGGTTAGAAATGACACTGTTACTTCAGATACCGCAACTTTTGACACTGCGAAAAATTCAAGCATTTCATCCCGAACTGTTGTGGAGTTTAAGGAGTGTTTTAAACGTATCGAGATTCAGTTGTCTTCTGAAGTGTTTTTACATTAAACCATTTTCTTATTCCGCACATTCAAACTTATATCAAAGAAGGGTAAATTTCTTTTTAACATCGTTGTTAACAACGATGTTATTAAAGCTTGGTGTGAATATTTTAGAAAATATGAATTAGACCTTTCGCTTATTGAAAACATTATGAATCAACCATTATGTTTAAACCACTCATTAAATTCCCCAAAGTTTTTCATAAAAGATTGGTATAATAAGGGTATTTGGTCCCTAAAACATATATGTCAGGGAAATAGATTTACTCCATTTGAAATTCTAAAAGAAAGATACAATATTAAAGGGACATTTTTGCATTATGTTCAACTTATTTCAATTATTCCCCAAACATGGAAAACAGCAATTAAAAAACAATTTGATGTAGATTTATACTTTGACGTATATTCTTCCATGTTATCAGGACTTATTGATTTGTAAAAAAGGTTCAATACTTTTTTATGATAAACTTATTTTTTCTGACTCACAACCTAAAATATGTAAGAAATGGGAGATTGAATTTGGTGAATGCTTAGAATGGGCTAATTTTTTTGTCTCTTTTAGAAAAGACAGAGATGTAAAAGCGATAGATTTTCAATTTAGATTCCTGCATAGAATTATATATAAAAAAAATCTATTTGGAATATCTGTCAGCAAAAACTAATAATAAGCTTTGCACTTATAACAGAAAGTGGAAATGGTATTGTGGTTTACATGATGCCTTGAATCTTACATAGATTTCTGACTGTGTTATTATTGATTGTTTCCAATCACTTTGACTCTATTGCCAGAGAAAAACTGCAATGTTTCTCCAAGATAATGATTACAATATTATAGTTTGGTATTGTTTATTCTTTTATTATTAGCTTATCTTTCTATGATTGCTAATAAATATGGTGTTAACAACTTTCATGACGGAACATCTTGCTCGATCCTACAAGATCAAGGCCTATCCTCCAAATATGCTGTGTTAAATTGTTAATAATGCTATACATGTATATATCACTGTGTATGTAACCACTGAAACTGGAATAAAAATGATTGGAAAAAATAAAATTCTTTTTAACATTGCGTTCAAGACAATTGCACTTATATAGCGTTGGGTATACACGTGTATTAGTGTGGATGCTATCAATAGTCCGGACTTGTGCCGGTCTTACCATTTTTGCAAACACTTGGTGGCATCACTGATTTTCAGTCATCCATTCATATAGTTTTGATCGTTCTTCTGCCTGTTGCGCCCAATGGAGTTTTGAGTTTTGGTGGATGTTCGAAACTGATTGTTCTCTAGCGTCGACGTTTTGAATTTAAAGTGCTAGCCCACTGAGACTCCAAGCCAAACAGTTCTTGTGGTACCACCTAATTCCGAGCGCAAAACATGGAAACAACAGGTATTACCTTTCAACGTCATTTAGCAATACGCGGCCAGGGGATTCGACCCACCAACCCTCCGCTCTTCTCCCGGGCGGTGAATTGATGTCAAAAATATAATGCAAGTGCGTGAGATCGTGCACATTGTACGTACACATACCTTGCTGATCACGCCCTGTGGAGAAAGATTGAGCGGTTATTTGCGCTGTCACTGTCAGTTGTCAACTGCATAAATGACAAGATGTCGATGATCGCGAGGCGTATTCTATCAACCGCTGCATTGCAACTTTTCCATAAAATCTCATCTCGGCAAACTAAATAAATCTTATATTCCTTGCTATACTGAATGCGAAACAGGGATGTTGTCTGCAAGGCCAAAGCCACAACAGGTTTCAGGATTGTGTGACATCATGCCCTAATGGCGTGGGTGCTCATGCTTTCAGTCTCTGGTTTGCCTGCGCCAGTCTTGACACACCGCTGTCATGTAGCTGGAATACTGATGACAGTGGTGTTAAACAGCATTCACACAAAAACATAATAGAGAGGTACAGAATGTAAGATCAAAAGCAAATTTTGAAAGTATGACCTCTAGAGGGATTATACATTTCGGAGTTAGTATGTAACAGATTCCAAGGGCATTCAGGAAAGTAACCAAACATGATATCCATGGAGTATACTGAAAATAGGATACGAACCTCTTAAACATGTCCAGGAGCCATCATTAGTGGAAACATGGAAATTTCAGTCTGAAATAGTAGGTTATGATAAGATGTTTACAAGTGCCGATCAACGTCGACAGATAATTACTTGCTCACAACAATCATAGCGCTAGGAGTATTGTAAATCCATGTTAAAGTACTGGAGATATGATCTCAGCGCTAAGTTTGCTTTGTTCAGGCGGGTCTTGACAATGACATCTCACTTTACTTTCAGTCATGTGAACGATAAGATGGTGGTTGATTTGTTGTCCGCCACTGAAACATATGCAGGGTCTTGTGATGTCATCTAGCTGAGACATACCTACTGATCTCAGGATAAGTGCAGTGGTTTGGACATCTGGGGAGATGGACTCTCCCGCTGCCTACACTGATGACGTTGCCGTCCTGACCATCTGAAGGGTAAGTGGGGATCACACACGTGGGTGTGTTACTCGGGATCTATAAGATAGTACATTAAGTTCAAATGAAGCTTAAAAACTGACAAGACTTTTCAGTCTCCGATATGACTTTCTCTACTGTAAAACGATATCAATGAAGCATGGTAACTTTTGATATACGGGAAGAAATTGTCTTTTCAGGGATATTGTGTTTACAATTCTTTTAGGTTAAGTGTAAACAAGCTTGGAATTAATTGTGAACCTGAGTCATCATTTCTAAATGACCGTACAGGAGAGTGCTATGAATGTCGCAGGATCAGGCTTCTAGTCGTCCCAGACAAGTATTCGAAGACGAGTTTCAATAAAATGTATTTATTTGCCTGTAACATGAAACGTCAGTATCAGAAAAGTGTTGATTGCTGTGGGCCATCCTACCAGGCTGACAGGCGACAATTGACTGTCCATACTGTATAGCATCTATATAATAATGATAGGAGTAAGATAGGCAAAATATGTATAAGCACTGATTGGCCATGCATGCTAGTGCGTTTATAACGAGATAATATACTGACGTCACACTTATGGTGCAAAGTCAGTGATCCCTAAAATTGTGTTTCGTATGTTATTAATATATACATATAGTGTTATTCCTTCACACAGTCTCTTACGTGCTATGCTGGTGCAGTGTTTAAAGGGGCACTGATCTAACGCAATTCCCCGGGACTGGTTGTTGCCTTTGTTATTGTTTTTTCCCAGTGAGTACCCGGATGTATAGCAGAAATCTAGACTAGTTCGCGACCTCTGCTGCGCCATTCGTAAGCGCACTAGTCACTTGTATGGGTAGTAATAAGGGCGTATGGTCACATTGATCAACAAAATGAAATAAAGTTTTGGAGATAATATGGAAATGTAGGTATCTTTGTGGTTAGCATCGGTAATGGTGACGAAGTTTTGATAAGTCACTTGCTTGGTAATTTTGCGATTTTCGTTTACACTATTTTGACTTGCAACACAAAGTAAATATTTCACCCCGAGCTTGCTTTTTGATAGTGTGTATATTTTTTACTGTCAAAATGTGTAACATTTTCAAATTTATTCAACGCCTAAATATTCAGTTATTTAACAAATTGACTGAAAAACATTTCCAACTGTATTATTATGATAACGAATTCCAAACATTTTGATGTTTAATGTCATCACCAAGAGACTGAAAATGTTACGTTGAAAAGTACATTTCTATGTTGTTTGGCTTCTAATCCTACATAATAATCTGTTGTGATGTTTGTAGGCCCTTTTGATTGCCTTAATCAATCTGGACAGATTTTTTAGTCAAAATGACTGAAATATTTACACATTTTATAAATTGCCTGAGAGAATTACATTTTACAAATAGACGGTAATATATACACGCTTACAAGGGAAAAGGCCTGTGAAAACAACGTATATCGCGCATTGAAGAATTCCCCAACCAAGACGTAGAGAAACAAGGACGAATCGGTTCAATGCTACAGCAAATGAAGGAAAACAAAATGCAAATACCATAATTACAACCTACCAAATGTATCCGTGAATATCCACACAAAGGAACAATATCCCATTCGTCTGCAGCTGTACAAAGAAACCTATTCGATGTCACGTGTCTCTGTAACATCACATATTTTAAAAGATATATATCGTTTCGGGATATTATAACCCGTGTTCGTTTCTCAACTGATCACTTGGATTGTTTCAGGTGTTTCACATAGGTGTCAAGTCTCAAGGGTCAGCTGAGAAAGCCCACGTGACAACTATTTTCATAACGTCCACGGTTCCTAAAAAATCCATTGAGTGATAGATAACAATGATCAATCAAACAACGTATTATCAGTTCACCCTTTGAACAAAGTATGTTGTTTTTACACCGGCACTTCACACAAGGATATGTGTGTATTCCCTTTGTTTTAGTAAACCTAGACATGTAAACACTCACTTTTGACATATCCACGTGCACTGTGCAAGATAACAGTGATTAATCAATCAACGTATTTTCTGTTAATCCTTTGATGACTAGGAACGATCCGTTGATTTACAAAAAAAAGTAAATCAACTGATCATTCACCTTTTGCTGGTCTGCCACGTGCATATTACATAACACACATTTCACCTCACTTCAAACCTTGATTTAGATTGAATAATTACCCTAGACACAATAAATGCCAAATGGGAACCTTTGTCAGGTAATCTATGTGGTGCTACCACTAATTGTACCTGTAATAAATTCATTAACTGAGCATCAATGACGACAAATACACAAGTGTAGGGTTATGCGAGAAAACGTGGATGACAACAAGGGAGTAGTAATCGTATTATCGACGTAATTCGAAAACCGAAAATGCTTTCACTGCATGGATACTTTTTTTAGTGTTAACTATAACCATCTGGGGTATTTCCAAATGACGACATCCGATGAGCTCCGCCGTTCTTTTTGTCTGTTAGTTTAGGCTGAAGAAATTAATTAACATGCGCCCTTTGTCGAAATCTTTTTAGATCACGGTTAACCAATCAGTGTTTCTGCAAAAATGCGTAAAACAAATATTGCCTCCAGCCTCCAAGTTTATTTAGCTGTCCTTGCAAACGGTAGCCCAGTCTCTGGTCACGCTCAGTTGCGTTGCGTATCATCCGGGTACTCACGGGGGAAAAAACAATAACAAAGGCAACAACCAGTCCGGGGAATTGCGTTAGATCAGTGCCCCTTTAAGTTAGTAATAGTGTGACGGTTCTAGGAGTGAGCTGCCGAATTTTAACGTGAAAATAACATCCAGACATCCAATACTTCGCGAAGATGATTACCAAAAATAGATTTGAACCAGCTGCTACTTTCTTATTTTCCCAAACAGAAAATGTGCCCATATGATGCATAGTTACTTCCCTTTTATACACGAAGGAAAAATAACAATCCATTCGTCGTCACTCGCATCGTTCCGTAACCTTCGGTTGGATCCGGAAAACAGTCGACGTACTACCACGTGACGTCTTTTGGTCACGCCCCCGGTAGGAAGAGACGGGTCCTCGGGTCATGGTGACCGCGGATAAATAACAAATGTGAAGTGTCAACTCCCTTAGCATCATACCATTTCCAAATTGTAGCACGTAAGATGTTAATCAATTTGGTACCCATGCCAGTATTTCAATTATTCACCAACTAGAATTCCCATACGCTTGCTGAACGCGCGAACACCTGTTCTATTAATAGTAACGTGGCCTGGGAATTCCCGTCACAGTTATTATCGTTTCGAGCTGTCCGCCATCGCCTTGAGCAAGAACGGTGATGCTTGGATACAAGGTTTGATCACGACAAGGTTGGTGATGTTATCGTAACGGATCATGCGTTATTCCAACGGGAAAATGTTTTAAGGAATATTAACCTGTGCGTTGTTGTCAACGTCGCAGTAAATTAATAAATGGCCCCTTCACCATTGTGGCAAATTGTTCACTTCCGACGCATCGATGAGATAACTTCGGAATCGAAAAAGGTTGTCGACTGCCATAAAATTTTGAGAGTGAATCTGTTCAGCTGTGAAGGTACTGTTATTATTTTGTCTTCGTAACATACTTCATGCACTGCTTGGTACGACAATGATGGCGGGGAAATGTGCCACATGCTCGTCCATCAAATCATACCATAACATTCTTTCCTGTAGAAATCAAGCTATTAGATTTACCTTGTTGTGCAAGTTTATAGTATTAACCGGTGTTCACAGACCGTGGTGATTACCAGAGCACAGGAACTCGATGACAGCGTGTATAGCATAATAAAGTGGTGTTGAACAAATCACACCCTATCGATAGATTTTTTTCTCTGTACGAATATATTATGCTATACACAATGTCATCGTTTCCCTGTGTGCCAGAGGTTTCATTCTGAGATGAGGCAAAATTGACGTGTTACCTAAAAAGATGTCTTGGCGAAAATGTAGGTAGCACCAGTCAGATGGAATGTATTAGACAGACTCCATAGTCATATTGACTTTTAATACTTCCTGATATTTCCACATAAGCACTTCAGTGATTGTCAATGATGATTGATCAGATCAGATGCGATATAGAAGGTCACAATTGCTCCTTTGTTGAAAACAAGACCATATGACCATGATGACATCATCCCTTGTTAATGTTTCACTAAGTTTATGTAAACAAACAATGGGTTGACTTCAGTTAAGTTTCTTTTTTAGGACTGACATTTCAAACATTTTCTCACTTTCTTATAAGGATTAATATATCAAATATATCCAATTATCTGTCCCTTGAGAATGAATGCTGTAAGCATGATTAGTCTGTCGCCAAGGCTCAGTACGTACCATTCATTCACTTTGGACAAAAAGTCCTTAAGCCCTTGTGACTTTTTTGTTATTCTCTTATTTTGTCCAGGCAAAACTCTCAAATAAGAGGACTAAAAGTTTTCGACTTCAACCTCTGCCACACGGTTTAAATAAAACAGGGTGTCACTGCGATCAAGGGTTCTCATTGGGTGCTGGTAGGATGATGTAGAGGTTGTAGTGTTGGAGACAGCACAAAGAACCATACTCAATTTCAATCAGTATATTATAAACAAAATAATCATCAGCCATTAACCAATCGTGACTTCTTATCAGTATTTAAACCAACCCATCTTCCCGAGGCAAGTGAGTTAACTGACTATAAAAGTCCAGTTTCCACCCTTGCCGAACTAGGCTGGTATTATGATATTACATTTTGGCTGGGCTAACGAGTCTATGCATAGTCCAATCAAAATCACTCACTGAAATCGAAATCCGATTTGTAAAATGTCATGCAGATTTCTGTCCATTGCAGGATTTGCAAAGCATGTGCAACGCCAACTCGTTGTCAACAGATATTTTCCAAGTCTTTTCATGTTTTTAATCAAGGTGCTCACGTGATTTGATGCACTTCGCTGTAAAAGACCCATTTTATCACAATATAGATCTTGATTATCAATCAGATCGTTTTGACTGGGCGCCACCATTTTGTTTGAAACAAATGCAAGTGATACGAGAGGTGGAGTGAGTGAGTGAATATTGCTTAATGCCGCATCAGCAATTTTGCAGCTATTCGCGAGATATACGAGAGGTGGAATCTGATTGGTTCATAGGAGAGGCCTAGAAGGAACAAAACTCGAAATAACCACTGGTGGCGCTACGGTCGAGCCCTGGAATTCGAGCCTAGTTCGGCAAGGACGGAAACTGGACTTTTATAGTCAGTTAACTCCCTTGCCTCGGGAAGATGAAACCAACCAGTTACCATGGTTACATTAACAACCGAATCTAGGGCTAGACCAAATTTCTTACCAGTAAACTTCTAGTGCTGATAGTTTTTGGTACTTACCGTATCTTCTTTTCAGTGGTTGGTTGATACTGCGTAATATCCATTGCCTTGAAATGTAGACATGGTACATTAAGCACTTGACTTGCATCTAATTCTGGGGATTCCAGGACAAAGTAGGTCCCCTGTATCCCATGCTTGTTGAAGGACAAGGACAAAAGGTGATTAATGACGAATAGTTTGATACAATGTGTGACATGGCTGATAGGCTGTCAATGTGCACATGAGTCAGCCATTGCATCACATGGTTAAACTGTGTGACCTGAGTGTGTATCATTGTGTCCCGAAGACATGGATCTTTTCTCAGCTGGTTGATGGACTCAGTTATTTACAGGATGTTGATGTCAATAAGGATTCTGCCAGCACCATGGAGTAACACTGTCATAAACAATACCGTATTCAACGTAATAAGCGCCCATGGCGATATTTGCTAATATATTGGCTAGTGAACAATCCCAATTAGCACCCCTTATTTATTTGCGTATAATACGTACTCGTGTGTTATATGCACCCTTAATTATGGGCAATTAAATTCTGGAAAAATACATCTGTCGTATATAAACATTTCAGGCTGTCAGCAAAACCACAAAATTTATCTTTCAACTCTCTTTTTTTCACCAAAATAATATTCTAATAAGAGCCACCTATTTCTAATTTTGAGAGCGCCATGGCCGCTTATTACGTCAAATATGGTATGTCATAGTGAAAGAAGTTTGAAATGACTAGGTTTAACTATCAATGTGATTGTGGCACTAACTGAAATAAAATAAAATGCCAGGGTGCCATCAGGACCTCAAGACTTAAAAAACTGCATTCCCTGACTAAACTCATCATGCTCTCATTAAAGAAAACTGCACTTTATTGTGTCAAACAAATCGACACATAGATTTAGCTGTAAGGACCCATACAAATTTGAAACTACAGACCCGCCACAAGATCTAACTGCCATGGGCCTATGGACAGGCGCTCATTTCGAACACTGGTATCATGGTAACAATATTTTCCAAATGTTCCTCAATTAAAAATCAGTTTAATAAACATCATGGTTTTAGTGAATAGAAATGCTCATTAAAAGGCCGTATGTGGACCATTACATGTAGTTTTATCACTATTTTCTTGATTTTAGCTGGTGTTTATTTTGTTGAAGTATTGTGTGGACTGTAGTCATCTGTTACTTAGTGTATATTTCAACACAACCAATGTTTTTTTTCTGCTGTACAAAGGGCACAACATTCACCTTCTCATGAGAAGGTGCCCAAGTGTGAATACAGCCAGGTGCTTGCATGATAGCAATGTCTTGATATATCATTTGACATGTGTGTTTGTCATCTAAGAACATCACAGATATTGTACATGTTGTATGTATCCTGCAAAACAAGGCCAGTGGAGCAATCACAAATATTATATATGTAATGTTTTAAGCATGTTAAGTGTCTTCTGTTCATTTTGATTTTGTACTTTATTTACAGATGTCTTCAAATGTGGAAGAAAAAGTGAAGAAAAGAATAAATAAAAACTATGTAAAAATAATCCAGACACTGGATCCCAAAATGATGTTAACACATCTGAGGCAGACTGGCATCCTCACAGTTGCAGGTTATGATCAATACTATGTAAGTATCCATAGTAACTGCACTCAAGAATCATGGTAAATAGTGCCTTCAATACAATAGAATGTCATGTCCATAGACATTATTTAAAGTATAATGACAGCGATGCAATGGGTGTGCAGTAGGGCTGGGACAAGTCCAAATCTGCTACCCGGGTACCCACCCCACTATTACCCAACCCTACCCGGGTACCTGCTGTAGGTCTCAAGAGATAGGTAAAACATGTCCAATTGGAAATAGTGTTTGACCATACTCCAGTCAAAATAAATTTAGATACATGTATAAATTTGGTCATGCATACACAAAGTTGGCTGATGTTTTACCATTATGCAATCATATAAAGTCAGAAGGAATGTGTGCAATGTAAGAATGAAATGTGAACATTTATCACTTATATTGTAACCATAGAGTTCTAGATAATTTTTGCCATTAAACAATATACATGTACCGGTAATCACGTGACTAACCACGTGTTCAGGTAGTTCTGTGGGTACCCGGGTCCTACTTAGTATCCACCCGACCCGGTTGCCCGAGTTACCCATCCCAGCCCTAGTGTGCAGGATTGTCAGCTTCCACTTGGAGCAATATTTCCTTGAAATGTTTTGTGTTGAGTTGTCTGTGTGAATTTTTTAAACTACATTCCCTTTTCATCTTAGTCCCTAAACATGCTTACCATCTCTGTATTCACATCCTAACCTGTGATTTATTTACTTATTCTAGGAGGAACTCAACAATATGCTTACTCATGGAAAAACTAAACCAGAAATCAATATAAGATTACTTGAAATTCTCTACACACGAGACAAATGGTGGAGACCTTTCTTTAAAGCGTTATATCAGTGTGAACACCAAGACATCATTGACATTCTTGAAGGTAATGTATAAATGAATGTTCCTATGGATTTGTATGTCCAGGTGTATATGTGCCCATGTGTGCACTATGTCTGGACATGCTAGATGGCCCAGTTGTTTATTGTACTGCATAAATCTCTGCAAGGATCCTCTGATCTAGGATGATGATCCAGATTGTCTCCGATTATGATCCTTGGTCTATTGGCATCAAACCCTTCTCACTGGTATTACCAAGGTGCAATCTCATTAAAATCAGATCTTAGTTCTTGCTATTGCTAAACAAAGATCTGGGGACATCCCATTAAGGGTCACGTCAGAACAACCTTTCATCCAACCAATCAGAGTGTTGCTTACCAGATCGTGAAAGCGACTGTCGGATTGTGTTTTCTAATCATGCAACCAGGAAATATTTAACACAGGGTATTCCGAACGACAGTTATGGGTTGTATGATTATATCCATACAATCTAGGCCATCTATAAGCCATTCCAGAATGTTCTTCTTATCAGTTTTAATTTTTTTAATCGAGAATACGTCAAAATATGTTTCGAAGCATAGTCGCCAGTTTGAAACTAGTGTCGTAAAGCTCGAGAAAGCTGCCATCTGATTGGCTAATGTCGATTTCTTGTCAGTCATTTCATTGGTCGGTCAAAATTCGCAAAAGGTCGTTCTGACGTGACCTGTCAGACCTTTGTTTGGCGGTAGCAAAACTAAGATCTGATTTTAATGAGATTGCCAAGGTGGTAGGCATCAATACTCTACATCTTCCCTCAACATTATGCTGACCATCCTTGACATCACAGAGAAAATGTTCATGGTGGTACTGGATACATCTTACTCTTAAGTTTTTATGCATGCCTGTATCACGTCCATATTTTCACCTCATCACAAATTTTAGAATGGTCGTCATAATAGAAATGAACCAGTTACTTCTGTGACAGAGCTTGTACGAATTTCTTTGATTCTTGGTTTTTAGGAGCTTTGTCACAAGAAGAAATAGAGGAAGCTGACCAGCCTAGAAGTAATCGGAGGCAGAGGCAACGCAGATCTGAGAGAATAGTGTATCATAGGAGGGATCGGCAACCATCTGACTCGGAGTCAGATCAGGGTCCACATTCAGAAAGTGCCACATACCATTCCCTTCCTGCGCCAAGATCTCGAAGGAGAACTTCCCATGAAGCAGATCAGGCAGAAACAGGGCAGAATTCTCCCAGACAGTTTCGCTCTGATTGCTATGCAGCACCAGAACCTCTGCCAACTCCCCGAAATGATGTTCGGGAAGTAACACAGCAGAATTCTTCCAGACAGTTTCGCTCTGATTGCTATGCAGCACCAGAATCTCTGCCAACTGCCCGAAATGATGTTCAGAAAGTAACACGGCAGAATTCTCCCAGACAGTTTCGCTCTGATTGCTATGCAGCACCAGAATCTCTGCCAACTACCCGAAATGACCTAAGACTGACACAGGGGTCCTACGGTAATGTACCCAATGGGTATCCGCAACATCCTGCCCCACAGGATAATCCCGCAGGTCTTCATCAACAATCACACCACCAAAATAGGCCAACACAGACACAAAACTCAGCCCATTATCAAAATGGATATCCCCACGAACATTCTTTTGATAGAGATCACAATCTATTACCTCGGTCAAGACCTATACAGTCTACTCAGTCTGACCCTGGAGACAGGCCAACAGCAGTGATGACAGGCTTTGCTCGATCCTCCTCTTCCCCTGCAGGTCCTCAGAATTCAGATGACCGTGGGGAGTCCATTCCAAGACAGTGCCACAATCAGGGTCAGGGTCAGATTTCAAGGGGACAGTTCTCAACCTCTCCAGGTCCTGTCATCACATCTTCTTCAGCCTTAATTGGCCACACTTCAAGGCAGGACAGAGTGATAGAAGGAGATCCCAGGACAAGTGGTCCATTGTGTGAACAGGCCTTAGCACCCAGCCCTCAGGCAAACAGTTCCACATCTTCCATTTGCTGTTCATCCTCAGCTCCTTTGACTGGACGTTTCACTTTAAATACTCCATTGAAACTCTTACCAGAGAAGTTACTGAAGCTGTTAGACACACTCGATTATGGAAGGAAGTGGAGGGATCTGGGGTCCATCTTAACTGACAGTGAGTATGATGTTGTGCACCATTTTTACACTGTATTTTCAAGGGTTATCATGGTTACAAATACAGTTTTGTTAAATGGTCATTATGGTAGGTCATACAGAAAGAAATACATAAAATTAAAATAAAGGTTTCTAATACACAATATATCCTAAATTTTCCAAAGAAAAGTTTAAATGTTCTTAATTATGGTTAACATATGAAAATAATTCCAGAATGAATAAATTACACAAATTTAGGCGATTCCGATTGGTTGAGAGCTCCCAAAAACTTGCATTTATATTCAGTAAATGCACAAAAAGTTACACTTATACATCATAAATGCACGCTTTCCCTGAAGTGACAGACCTTCTTTCCAAATGACATCAACCTTGTTTACGTCTATAAATAGCTTGATGTTGGGAATTCCGATATAGAATGCTGATCAATTTTTCAACTGTCTTGAGATCCATTTAATATTGTTTTTCATTTTTTGTGCATGCATCGAAGTACAAGAGTCACGAATTGTATAAAATTGATTAATTATACGTGACATACTTGCTCACCAAAGTAGCGCCAAATCCCTGGACGTCGAGTGCCCGCCGCCACATTTCCAAATACAGACTGTAACACATTTAGGTCCACATTTCCCCAGCACCCCTGCAGGCTTCTCAATCACTTTCTGCTTCTCATGGCATTTTGACTTATTCAAATTTTGAAAACTGTCGGTTCTCAATTCATATGATCCACACTTGAAATTACGCCGCCAGCTGCTGCTGCAATGCTTGCTGTCAGTGCTACAATGATATGACATCATTAACATATTCCCTTCCGAAATGTCTTTCTTGCTCAGGTATAACATCAGTGAAGTAAAACATTTACACATACAACATAGTGTATGGGCATCCATTCAATAAAATTTAATCTTGCAAAAACACTTGCTTGTTATATGTATGACCTAGCGATAAGGTTCTATTCATGTATTCTTGCGCTTGTTACAATGTTCAGCAAAATAATCAAATTTGTCACCAAACCTGAAAAATAGAGTAAATATATCTGACAAGTGTCAATTTTGTAATTATAAGAATTGGTTTTCATTATTTCCTATGAATCGAGGTATAACGGTCACAAGTTGTATAAATACAATTTTTGAAACTCCATGTGGTAACATTATGATTCACAGAACAAACATCTGAACATGGGTATTCGTTAATTGAGTTATCCACCTTACCTCAAAGACACGGAAGGTTGTAAACTTTTTAAAATACCACTGTTTTTCCTCCACCTCCTCATGTTCAGGGTGAAATGACACCCAGAGATCATAGATGCTTCAGAAGGATTCTTGTTGGCACACTCAAAATCCAAAGGGCACATAAACTCAAACTGTAAGGAAAAACATCAATAAACAACACAGACATCATATAAGTAGCAAAGAAAAGATGCCATAGACTGGATAGAAAACAAAGATCACTGTTTGTAAAAGAACATCAGTTTGCACTGGACACCAAACATTAAAGATCAGTATTCACTATAAAGAATGCCAGATCGTGCTACATTCCAATTCTAATCAGCTTTTTCAGTGTATGTGATACACCCATCCAATGTGCATCACGCCACCTGAAGTGCACAATGCATCCATGCATTACGTCAGTCCTTATGCACGCTGTGATGCCATAAGCATGATAAGCATATGTGATCTGCTCATCTTGGCCAGGGAGCAAAGCCTGGTATCACATATCAAGGGCAATGCAGAAACAATATAGTAAACTATGGTTATAACGAACTCAAAAGGACCACTAATTAAGCAGTTCATTATATCCGTCAGTTCGTCATAAATGTAGTTTACAAAACTTATTAATACCATTAAGAAAGCATATTAATCTTAGCCAAGAAGCATCAACACATATTCACCTCCCCTAGTTCCTTGGTATAAGCTGAATGATAAATGTTTCAGTGCAAAAGCATTACAAATTAATGAGAAATAATTATGATATAGGCTTGGGTAGCATCAACATGATAAGCATACTTTTTTGCTAACATGATTTTCTACAGTCAACATTATCAACATTAATATTATGCTGTCAAATGTTGATTCTACAGTCAGAGCCCCCTTGGCATTGCTTTGTCTACTTGGTTGAGTAGGTTCCCAGTAACTTATGCTGAGTCTCCAACAGGATGCCAGGTTAGGATACCAGGGTAGGTCCCAAATTACTTCTGCTTGTCTCCCCTTAGGATTCTGGGGCAGCATAGCATTAACCTGTTGTAAGAGGTGACTACATCAATCACATAAAAACTCCTCCATTTCAATAACTTTCTTCATCAAGATTTAATGAGGTCTTTGATGATCTTTGTGAGCTTTTGCAAACACTGATCTTTCCTTACTGTTGCTTCTTTTCTTTCCTTCCTAGGAGGATGTGTCTGTGTTTTCATTGATGTGTTTTTGGTCAGTATTTTGAGCAATTTTGATGCCATTCACATTCAAATGGTGACCATTATTTAAAGGTTCATGTTTCAGTAACCTACCCATATATAAACATGATAAACTGTGGATATAGTATTCATCGGTATTCATCATGATTCATAATATTGTTTGAATCAAGATAAACTCCAATATATATATATATATATATATATATATATATCTCTCTCTCTCTCTCTCTCTCTCTCTCAATGTAAAGGTTGACATTTTGAGTGGTCTGTAATTGTTTCTGTAAACCTAGATTGATTTTGTTTATGTGTGAATATTCATACAAAAGAAATCAAAATTGATTCATATTAACCATGAAAATGATCATATTCTCTTGTTTTTAGTTTGAACAAGGAAAAAAGTTATGTCTCTTTTAACATTGCTTAGGCATGACATAAGGTTCTCAGTACATTGTAATGTTATGGAGTATCATGATAATCACAATAATGTTCAATCAAGTAAGAAATAGCTAATTATGACTTAAAACAAACAAATTCTAACCTTGACACAGATTAATTATAACTGAAAAATTTGTCTTCCAGAATTTTTGTCGGAGCACCATGACAAAATACAAATGTCGTCAGATGAATTGAAGACCAAACAGGTTCTGGATTTCTTCAAGGAAGTGGAAGGAGAGAGGGCTACCTTGGGTAGACTCATAGCAGCTCTTCAGGAAATGCAGAGACAGGACCTTCTTGATGAGATACAGGAACAGACTGGCTTGACCTTTCAAGGTGAACATGGTGAAGGGGATGCGATCAATGAACTTAGGAGAAGTACCAGCAGTAACATGGTGGACTTGGATATCCCAGATCCAGACCTCACACCAGCAAGTGTAGGCAGTGCAGCAGCAGTTGTACAAAAGTCTGACGTCATCGACCAGTTAGAACAGAGTTCCATGTCCTCTCAGACTTGTCAAGAGGCAGACCAAAGCAGCTGCAGGGAGGAAGTCAAGCAGTCCTTCAACAGGACCACAGGTGATGAAGTCTCACAGAGTTCTATCACTGATGCCAGATCTGGCATGTATGTAAGTAACCAAATCATTCTGTCACAACTAGAAGAAGAAAAGAAACTAGATGAAGCAATGAAATTGGAAAGGCTTGGCAATCAGAACAGGCCTGTAGAAAGTCCTGATGAAGAGCTTCAGACAAACCAAGAACATGGTAATCCTCAAAGTCCAGAAAGTGACACCTCTGACGAGAATAACATGCATCAAAACTCTCCAAACAAAGCTGAAGGGGTTACTACAAAAATGGAAAATGTTGAAAACCAAGATACCAAACCCAAACCGGAACTTGAATCAAAAGTCATCAATACAAGTTCCAGTGTCAGCCCAAACAGAGAAACAACCTCACATCCTAGACCCTCAACAACGACTGCAGGTGCCCCTAACTCCTCTTTATCCAGACCAATGAATGCAGCAGGGAGCCCGCCTGGCATTGGTCAACATAGTCAGGCTGGGAGACATTATCCTCCCCAGCTTCCAGTACATGCCCAGAACCAACCACAACCTTTGATACCTGGGGCTCCTGGACATGTCTACAATCAGGGAGGGACTCAACACCGTCAGTCAGTCTTCACAAGTACAAAGTCAGGATGTGATACTTCCCAGACTACACCCAGTGGTGGCATGGCATCAGGAACTGTATCTTCTGGACAGCTTCCAAAGTTTGATAAGATCCAGCCTATTTCACTGCAACCATCGGGAACATCAAATGCTTCCTACAGTAATCCTGGAAGTAATGCTGCAGTTTCAAATATTCCAAACCTTCATTTGTTAGGTCCTGATTCCAGTATTTCTGCTGGAACTGAACCTTTAGCTGAAGATGAAACATCACCAAAATGTGCTGTAGCTCAAGATGAAACTATTCCCAAAACCGTGGAAGAAGTCAGTGATGACGGTATTATTTCTACTGAAAATATCAATAAGGCTTCTCAGGTAGTGTCCGAACAACACACCTCTGGTGTCGAGGACAGCACACCACCTAGTCCCACTGGTGGAAGAGTCTTTCGATCATACTTGCAGGCAACTTCTGATAGCAGTGTTTTTGTTTCAACATTAGGAACATCCATTCTGGATGATAGACAAATCCCTACAGACCAGGAGGAAAACAGTTACATAGGAGAACCACATATTTTGACAATGTCAGAGGCATCCATAACTCCACCCTTGATTGCTACTCATGAACTCAAAGTACTGCAACAGTCAATGAGTACTGTGAAATATTTTGAAAAAGTGCCAACTTCTAATGGGGCTGATGAAAATGATTTTTTATCTTTAGGGGAAAGTGAGGAGGAAGAAGGTGAAACCATTTCAGAACGTAGTGAGCTCATGGAAGAATCTCATCAAGGTCAAGGTCACTCCGGAGCTGAAGGATCAAGAAACTTAGTTGGTGGGTTCACAGTTTCTGGTGGGACAACGACAGCAAACTCCAGGAGCAGTGTGTCAGTAGCCAATGGAACAGAAGATACATCTTCAACTACATCAGCTCATTCAAAAGGAGGAGGAGCAGCCTCAACTACTAGGGGTACATCCACTTCAGCAATTGGGGGTACTTCTCTTGTGAATGGGGGAGGTACTTCCTCTGTAAATGGAGGGACATCAGCTACTGCAAATGGGCGGTCTCGCTTTGCAAGCGTGATTTCCTCAGGATTTAAGCTGCTTGAATTTTTCACAGATGTCACTGATGTAAATAAGATGCCAAAGTTTCATCCCACCTGACTGTGTGTACCACTGCGGGTTTGGACAGTGCCTGACCTGGTTCAAGTCGATCTTCCAGCTTTAGCTACTCACATGGGTTGTCGCAATCTCATGAAAATCAGATCTTAGTTCTCGCTACCACTAAACAAAGATCTGACGACATCCCATTACAGGTCACATCAGACCGACCTTGCGTAAACTTTGACTGACCAATGGATTGACCAATCAGAAGGCAGCTATCTCGTGCTTTACGACACTATTTTCAAATTGGCGACGCTTCGAAACATATTTTGACAAATTCTCGATTACAAATTTGAAACCTAAACAAAAGAACATTCTGGAATGGCTAATAGATGGTCTAGATTGTAAGGATTCAGTTGTTAAACCCGTAACTATCATTCAGAATACCCCATGTTAAAGTTTTCGAGGTTGTATGGTTAGAAATCACATTCCAACTGTCACTTTCATGATCTGGTAAGCAACGCTCTGATTGGTCGGATGAAAGGTCATTCTGACGTAACCCCTAATGGGATGTCTTCAGATCTTTGTTTAGCGGTAGCGAGAACCAAGGTCTGATCTTAATGAGATTGGGGTTGTCAGGGCAGATGTGGTCCCTGGTAGCTAGGGATAACACAAATTAATCAATAAATGAATGAAAATACAACACAAATAGGCTGCGTGGAAATTTCCTACAGTACACTTGTAATACATGTATAACCTTGTGCTTTTATATCCATGCTGCAGTTGAAGTTGCCCATATAATCATACAGCACTTGCATTTGGTGCAATTTGATCGCTAGAAAATTTCAAATGCACATGCTTACAATTACTGCATGAGCTTAACAGTTGCACTGCAGAAAGTAGGTCTGTAAACTGTCAGTTTGTTACAAAAGTATTCATTTGAAAATAGAGTGACGTTATAGCTGTATTGTAACAGTAAATATAAGATTAGACACCTGCCTGCCTCAGAAACCCTCCTTTAGCTGTTTTTCTCTATCTGAGCAGTCATATTCAGTGACAACAACAATGTATTCTAATGGGGATACTGGTGTATTTCATTATACTTAATTATGTATAGCTGCACATATTATAAGTCCGGGAATTGTGGAATAACGGGAATATCACACCTTTCTGTACCATTGAAAGACAATGTTAATGGAGTAAGATTTGATCTGACTACCATACGTTAATTAATAGGGACACTACAAGATAATGGTTTGTCTTGTCCAGCAGACTCAATTACTTACAATCCACTGTGATATGACCTTATATTGGCAAATGTGTTGATGGTGTGAAACACCATTCAATTACTCGTTTTGAGTAAATGTTCGAATATAGATACAGTCTTTCATTGTGTGTTACTTTTATTGCCTTTATTTCGTAGACTAGTTCTTAAATTCCATATATGTTAGTGTTTGGGAGTATTCAGTAGATGTGTACTCCCTTGGGTCAAGTCTGTTTCATATTTTGAAACCAATACTAACAAATTTTGAAATAATTTAGCTTAACGTGCTGTTTCAGGTGCCAATTTGTGTATTATTCATTGCAGAAGAATTCATGTTGATTTGACACATGCATTCATTTTTAAAGAAATATGGGCATGAAAACTGAGTAGGTATTGTACTTAGTATAGCGTTGTACTAGTGGGTTTGTTTTACATTTTTCATGTGTATTTGTGTGCTGGCAACTAAAAATTTATTTTGCGTATTTCACACAAATACACAGCTTATCAGCTTTTCTGTATATAACCAGTACATGTACATGTTTAGTGCTAGTCATCAACATGTCAGCTTAATATTGCTGGCATTACGGTAAAGATGTTCCAAGTGAAAAAACTGCTGGTGCTATTTCCCTTCAATTGTTATTATAGCACTGTGTTTTGGTTGATTATAGTATTCAGACGCCATGTTAATTGTTGTGCTTGCATATGGCGTATATGCTGGTCAAACCTGTCTTGTGTCCTTATGTCTCACAATGGTACTTTTCTTGCCATGTTGTATTTACTCAAGCTGTTGTCATTTGTTGAGTTCATTGTTCCCAATATTGTCCCACTAATATAACTGCCATTGTTATTCTATGCAAGATAGCTGGAAAACAAGTGCAAAAGTGAGCGTAGTGTGTCAGTAGTTACAAATTAAATAGCTAGGATAGGGTAAGGGTTTGAAAAATTCATAAAAAAATGGAAAATTTATAAGAAATTTCTTTTTCTTTTCACTGCACCCCTCCATATGACACAGATTATATGTACTAAGTTTGAGATGAATCCAATGAATAGTTTAAGAGAAATCGTGCGGACAAAGTTTTCGGACGGACGTTAGGGTTTGATAAAATTCATTAAAAAAATGGAAAAATAATAAAAACAGTTTTTTGCTTTTGACTGCACCCCTCCATATGACACAGATTATATGTACTTAGTTTGAGATGAATCCACTAGTTTATAACATGCTTCCAATCATCTGGGTGTCATGGTGTTTCCTGTCTATATATTCTGTGAATCCAAGTCAAATGTGTCTGTCTGATCATACTGATATTGCTTGTTTGTATATATGATTGTAAATCAATGAGCTACTGTTCTAGTCACTAGATGTATTGGGGACACGGGTGGCCCAGTCGTCTAAGGCGCCGTGATTCGCTGTGCAGAGTTGCGTCCCTTGGGCACGCCAGAAACCTATGATTGTGGGTTCGAATCCCGGTTCGCCCCAATTATGTTTCTAGGTTTGTCAGCACCATACCCGTGCTCGTGGGTTTCACCGAAGTGGTAAACCTCTGAGACCTGCATCACTTCGGGCTTTCCTCCCACATTAAGCTGACACGCCGTGATATAACTGGAATACTGTTAAAAGCGGCGTTAAACACAACTCACTCACTCACTCACTAGATGTATCCATACACAACCTCCTTGTACTATCCTTGATACCAAGCTGTTCTGCTGCTCGCCTTGTAGCTTCCTCTGGGACAATATGTCAAACCTTTGACACCTTTAAATAGAGTAATTCATAGGCTGCATTAATTAGGTTTACAGATTCAACCAACCAGAGCCAAAAGCCACAGCTAGAAAGGAAAATATGGAAGTTTAATTTTATTTTTGTTTGCCCAAATACTCTTTCATGGATTAGAAAAATGTAAAGATATCAAGTGCAGTGTGTAATCTATTGTCACTGTCATCTTCTTGTTATGAGAACAAAGCCTCTTTGATAGTTAGACATACACAGATAGCTGGCTGTAAATACACTTCACACTCCCATGCTGGTTGTAAGATACGACCAAATTGATTTGGTCATCAGGCTCAGTGACTTGGTTGTTTGCGCATCTTTGTACTTGAATGGCGGGCATCGTTTCTCACAATATCGATCACTGGATTGTCTGTTCCGGAATTGATTGTTTACAGACTGCCATCATTCAGCTGGAATATTGCTGAGCATGGTGTTAAACAACAAACTGACACACATGCTAAGACATCCGACACTTTAAAATAGATTTATTTATTTATTTATTTATTTATTTATTTATATATATATATATATTTTTTTTTTTTTCAAGCTGGCCGACCAAACCAAACTGTCATGCCAAGGACAATTAAGAAATAACGAGTGACACAAATTTGGTTTTATTTATATTTCAACCAGCCCAAGCTAATTGGTTTAAAATAATTGTTTATGGCAAGAAAGTGTGGCCTAATTCTTCATTGTGAATATTTGACCTCTCATGATGGAAAGCTGCAAATGTCAAGTTTTCAAGTATGGTATAGCAACCTTACATTACCATCGAGATATGTGCGGTATTATGACCTCTTAAAAAGATGTTCTTCAAACAAACTGACTTGGCGAGTTTGTACTGAAGATGTTTTTCCCTGACTGATGGATCTGGGATGTAGTGACTGTATATACCTACATGTATATATCAAGGATGCTCATTACCATGTTCATTAGTGAATAGTGCTTAGTGATGATTTCAATAAAATTTCCTTAAATTCTTAATCAATATTTGTCATACATAAATCATCTTCCTGAGGCAGACCACCTCCGTGGTCTAGTGGTAGAGTGTCCGGAAGGTCCCGGGTTCGACCCCCGACCATGTCATACCAAAAGACGTTAAAAGATGGTACTTGTTGTTACCATGTCTGGCACTCGGCATTAAGGGGCTAAAACAAGGACTGGTCGGCTCGGAGTCAGTATACTGTGTCTGAGTGGGGTATTCATGTTAAACTGCGGCATGGAATCTCAGTGAGCTAGCTCTATAAATCATCATCAGTCCAGACTAGTACAAGCAGCCACACACACATACATACACGTGCATGCGCGTCGCTATATAAGTACAATAATCTTGGATGCGACGTTAAACCCCATTTCACCTCACCTCACCCACCTCTTCCTGAGGCGAAGGGAGTGGGAATTGAAGAGTTACATTTTGGTTGGACTAAAGAGTCTATGCCTTGTCCAATCAAAATCGCATGATGAATTAGACCAGATTCATGAAGAACATGGGGACTGACGTGAACATTTTGGTCGATTGCAGGATTTGCAGAGCAGATGAACTGTCAACTGGGCGTCAACATATTTCCAAATATTTTCATGTTTATAATCAAGGTGCTCAAGTGATATGAAGCACTTCAGCATATAGCAAGTAGGAACTACAAGAACAGAGTCCCTTAGGTTTGCCCCCAGACCATGTTCATGACTAACGAACACTTAAACAAGTTCCTCCCACCGCTCCAACTGATTTGGACACAACAATAATTGAAATGATATCCAAATAACTAAAAGTATTCAGTTAAATGACTAACCTGTTAACTTCCTTTGCTTTTATGAAATGTTGCAGAATTTTGAGCACCAGAATATCCAATCTTTTGTAGAACACCATATTTCAACCCATGGTCCAGCTGATAGTAATAAACTGTCATGAGAAACACATGTTATGGCATTAGTACACAACACAACATTATCAGAACACCATCAATAACATGCAGCATTGGCAAAACATCTTTCGATCAACAGGGGCAGCATTAACAGAACAGCATACCACCAACTGGGGCAGCATTATCAGAACACCATACCACCAACTGGGGCAGCATTATCAGAACAGCATACCACCAACTGGGGCAGCATTAACAGAACAGCATACCACCAACTGGGGCAGCATTATCAGAACACCATACCACCAACAGGGGCAGCATTAACAGAACAGCATACCACCAACTGGGGCAGCATTATCAGAACACCATACCACCAACTGGGGCAGCATTATCAGAACACCATACCACCAACTGGGGCAGCATTATCAGAACACCATACCACCAACAGGGCCAGCATTATCAGAACACCATACCACCGACAGGGCCAGCATTATCAGAACACCATACCACCAACAGGGGCAGCATTATCAGA